TGGCTGTTTCTGTACGAGGATTCAGTATGTGAAGACTCAGGTGTAGATTGACTACAAGTGCTACCAAGTGTAGCGGAGCTAGTTAGCGCTCCTTAACAGAAGAAGTTCGAGACAGAGACTTTTAGTCGTCTGAAACTAACAACAACATACAATCTTTTAAGCGTACGAGCTTAACAATTTTGGTTCCAAAAGGATGACGATTCACAGAATCACACACTGACTAGTCACTACTAGTTAAAGAAGAGTAAGCACCTTTACAAGGCTACACTCTTACAACACACCATGCATTAACTCATCACTAGTGTCCAGCGATTCAAAAGGGGAACTGAACTTTGTTTATTCTTTAACTATGGCAATCAAACCATAAAACCTTGTCTGACTACTACATAACGGTTTTTTTCATTAAGACTAATGACGTAAAACACCTGTAGGACTGACTCTATGTACGATCCTATGACAGAAGTCTTATCCCTTATTCCTAACCGATATGGTGCGGTGTTACCCTGAGCACATGGCACCAAGACTGTACCACTAAGATCCACCGATCTTTGCTTGGTGTGGACACGCAACATAACCGGTTCGATAACCTCGTGTAACCCCGTTACGAAGAGACTACCTGGACCGCACTACAAGGACCAAACGGCGGCTCTAGGCATCCACGCTTGCTCGGATTTGAAAAGTGTATCAAGGGTTTCGGTGCAATCCGAGCTTCAAGCGCAGTTTATAAAGAATAGTCTCAACGTCAATTATTACCTCAGAGTTGTTTAGACGCAATGAGTGATTGGACGCACATATCTCTTGTTTGTTAGATGCATTCATGTGATTGGATGCAGTCTAGAGTAGGCAAGGTTGAGAATTATATTTTAATCACTTGCATACATTCCTTCTTCAGCACAGGTCTTCTTCACTTTGTGGTGTAGACTTCTTTAGCGTACTTCAAGCTTCGTATCCTCGCCCTGTACTCTGTAGACTTCAACAGGTTACAAGCCTAAGCGCGATGTCTTCTTCCCGGACCAGCTCAATCCGAACCGCCTGCTCAGCTTAGTATTTACGACGTAGTTCTTACGGTAATAACCATAGTTGATTAGACGCGTAGGATGATGAGACGCTTCACTTGATTTTTATGTACACCACATATAAATCATGTAGTAAGCAGTAAGCCCCGATAATCAATCACTCTCAAATCTTCCAACTAGTAAGGAAGTGTCTTCTGCTCTACTCTCTTCGGTATCTCCGCTCCCTTCGGTCCGATCTCTGCCAAGCAACATACTCAATTTGCGATCGAAGTAGCACGATGTGTCGTGCACTGAGAAACTTGTAAGTTACCGACCTGTTCCGGGCCAGGTATCCGGTTGGAACACCCGTCGAATAGACAGTTGTCAGTAAGACACACGTGCAAGTAGAACCAAACGAAGTACATTGGCCTGTGGGTTCGTAGAGTAGCACCCCCAACTCAATCCCGGTATAGGAAGCGGTCTCAATACCCTAGCGGTAAGGGAGAAGACACGTAAAAGCCAGGCGGTTAACACCCCTGAGACAAGTAAAGGCCAGGCGCTACCAGCACCTGAGACAACTGTTTATAAGACCATTTACGACCAAGTCGATCGAGTGGCCGCCTACATTGGACCCCGACTGAAGCATATACGCTCGAGGCTCCCACAGGTCGACCTCCATCAAGGTTGACGTCTACATCATCACCAATTCTTCCAAAGAGTGAAGTCCGCCAAGCCGACGGGTACATAAGGTAAGTCAAGGTCCACAAGCGGCATCGGAGTAGCCCCTCCGACAGTCGGCAGTCCGGCACAGTGAGTGGTTTGGGGTCTCGTCAAACTGTTTTGACAACCCCACTCCACCATAAATGCACCTGCCGATAGGGACTTTCATAACTCTGCAATGGAGTGGAGATCATAGGAGTAGCAGCGATTTCTAATGCAGTCGCCGCAAAATTAGAAGAGAGGAGAAATAGGCTAACCATATTGATGTGGTGATGGATGTCCATGATTCTTCAAGTATTGGCAAGGTCTTTCACTTAGCGACCGCTAGTATAGAGTAACTAATCTAAATACATAGCCGTTACCAATCGGGCATAAGTAGGCGAAAAGTGGTAGTTATTGCGGTAGAAAGCGGTATTTTTTTCAGTTTCCCCCTAAACGCTAGGTATGGTCGCCGGTCACGTAAACGGATGACCGCAGCACATTTCTGTATTGACGATAAGATGAAATTATTTTCCTGTTTATTTAACCGAATCTGCTTGAGTGCATTTAATGAAAATGAACTCGACTTGTGGCTAGGGTAGATGGCGGCAGCGGGGAGTTCGTCACGAGGTCAGTATCTGCATGTGATAGTTTAGTTCATTACTAGTACCACCCCGTGCGGATGCCCTTAATTTTTTTAGCGCGGCACGGGACCCAGGGCGCATTGCGTGTTGTCGTTGTGAAAAGGCTAGAAGAAGGTGTTGTAAATTTCCAGAGAATAATTTTACGCGAAACAGCAGCAACTTCAGGTACGAGGCTCCTCAGTTCAAAATGATTTTACTTCGATAAGCTTGCCAGGAAGACACAAATACGCTCAGAGCAACACTCACACTGTCGCGGCCAATGCTGAAGAAATTCACGAAATCGAAAGTCGAGATGTCGAGCCTTATCGTTGCTATAAAGGTAAGACTGGTCTAAGGTGCACAATGCTATGGTAAAACTTTCTGTTACCCGTCGCTAGGAAGCTAAGGTACCATATCGACTACTACTGTATAAGCTAAATAACAATAGTCCCCGGACGGCGTAGAACCTTCGCGCAAAGTCTTGTATCAAGATTACAAACTTTCTCTATGCCAGAGCGGGACCCTGTAGAACCTGGTGGTTATCGTGAGAGGACTATAGCCAATGGTTGAAATAATTGTCGAGGAAGGTCGCCACCCCCTTTCAACACCTTGGTCTAAAGAAGCGTGATCTTGTATCAAAGCCCCTGTGTACATAGCTATTTTCGCCAATAGATCTGCCATTTTGTTTTAGGTGCGATAATGATATCCCTGGCTAAATACATCGAGATGTTAGCTATGGCCCGTACCTCTTAGAATGTTCGCACCAGGTTTTCCTTGTGTGAGGGATGACGCGTCCAAAAATGCGAGAGCACTAGCGCGCTGTCCCCAAAGTCATGAAGGGGTGAGTAACAGCTTATAATTGCTTGAGATAGACCGGCCCGAGTCCCCAAAATTCAGCATAACTGCCAGTGGTATCTGCAGAGCCATACGCCATGCTCTATACCCACATGACGCTTGCGGCGTGCATCTGACTGTATAGTTAAACAACGACGGATCCTTCTCCTCCTGACACTGGACTTCCTCGTGATTCTCCGTCGAAAAATAGGAGACATAACATTCCTGGGCACCGTTCAATTGGTAGCGCTCGAAACAACGGTGGTTTATCGTAGCATAGTAGAGCATCAGCTAATGCAGACCTTACTTGCACAAAGAGTTGCTCGTCTCCCCACATGTCAGGCTGATATGCTGATTTACGAGAGCGTATAACTGACCATTGAAAGGTCTTGGATCTGGCTATGTGTTCCTCCTGTGACAAAGACGATTCCAACATGCGGTGTAGGCGCGCGGCCTGGATGTTATTAAGTTCTGTAGATATGACAAAACCCCATTGCTCTCGATCTGCCAAGAAGACCGCAAGCTTATCTCTTGAAGAATCTGCTCCTGGAACTAGATGTCATTTTATAGTGTAACATACCTTGTACGCACCCTCTCATAAGTTCATGCTAAACAAGCTGGCGTGTAATTCAGCATCCTAAAAAGCGCCAAGCAATTGTCGCCTATCGAGTAGATACTTCCAGCGGCGACACGCACTAGGGCGGGTCCAACAAACATGACTTTTTCTTGCTGTAATAGCAACCGAACACTTCATACAAGGTACGGCAGACCTCGGGTAGGCTAATATCCAGAGCAGAAATATGTTACTCTATAGCCAACACGACTAATGTGTGATAGTCTAAACGGACACTCTGATCTACCAGATATATCTTCAAGTAATCAACGGTGTTCATTCCTTGACCACGCAAAAGTCCTTATTTGCCTCACGTTGATCGAGGATTTGAATTACTTCGGAACGATGCCGTCGGGAGTTGACTCGTTTGAGCTCTCTGCGTTGTGGCCGCCATCTTCAATGTCATGTCCAAATTTGTACAACGCGAGTGAGCGCCGAATGCGAGATAAAGTGGACAGGAGTCTCACTGGATGCAGATGCGGCTATATCGCATGCCAACGTGGACGCAACTGGTTTCGCTCCGCATCCTATGCCTGTATCGAATGATACAGCGATGTGCCGCCAGTGTTGCGAAGCCAGTCACATAAATCAATACACCTTTTTTTAAGTGTGCAGTTGATGACTTCAGCTTAATTGACTGATATACCATGGATGGTAAATTGTATAGAAGGACAAGTTAAAATTACCCAAAATGACACCGCCTCACCACTGATTGGGTCAACATGTCACGCGTGGGTGAATCCGGACTACGCCACTCTAGATAGTTGCCCAATATATTGCGTCGCCAATGAAATTCCGTCTTTGCGCAAGTCAACCCCATTAAAGATAAATGTCTGATATCGACAATCCCTTAGCTACGACAAATCTCTGGGGATTTTGTGTACTATCCACCACTTATTAAATAGCCCCGATGCAAAGATGTTGACAGTCATCGCTTTTCTACCAGTGTTGGTATCCACAAACGGTCCAATCCGAACCGCCTGCTCAGCTTAGTATTTACGACGTAGTTCTTACAGTAATTACCCATAGCTGATTAGACGCGTAGGATGATGAGACGCTTCACATGATTTATATGTGCACCACATATAAGTCATGTAGTAAGTAGTAAGCCCCGATAATCAATCACTTTAGAATCTTCTAACTAGTGAGCAAAAGGTCTTCTTCTCTACTCTCTTCAGCCTCTCCGCTCCCTTTGCTCCGCTCTCTGCCATGCAACATGTTATGAGCCCAAGCGCCATGTCATCCATTACCAACGCATCATCCAACGCCTCCATTGACAAGTTCAACGGAGACAGCTATGCGACTTGGAGTCGATACATGCGCGGTGTGTTTTTGACGAAGTCCGTCTGGTACGTCGTAACCCGTGAAGCGACTCCGACTTTCACCGACCCGCGAGCGTCCGATGACTACGTCCAGGCAAGCAACGTCGCGTTTGGTATGATGCTGCTGCTCATGAATGCGGATAACCACCATGTGCTGGACAACTGCGAGGAAGCCTGGGTTGCGTTGACAAGTCTGAAGACGCTGTACGGAGGATCGCAGAAGGCAGGATGCATCTTCCTCAAGCGAAAACTTTTCAGCGTCAAAATAGCTGAAGGCGCGAACATCAAGCACCACTGCAACGACGTCCTCAACATCGCCGCCTAAGCTTAGCGGCATTTTTGCAAGATGGAGGACGAAGATGTTGCAATCTGTCTGCTGCTCAGTCTTCCAAAGAGCTACGAATATGTGGTGCTCAACATGGAAATGAGCAGCGCCGAGCTTCGTACCCAGGATGTAGTGAGAGTGCTGACGAATGAGCACGCCAAGCGTCAAGGAGAAAAAGGGACAACGACAGCGACTACGGTGAAGGCTGAAGATGCAAGCAAGGCATTCAGCACCGAACATAAGCCCTACAAATGCACGTATTGTAGCAAGGTGGGACACACGGTGGATCGTTGCTGGACAAAGCAGAAGAACGAAGGTCGAGGAGCCCGACGCGGCGGCAATGGTCGTGGACGCGGGGCTAATAACGCCCAGGGGGGAAATTATGATGAAGGCGATGGCTACGATCTAGTGGCGTTTGCAGCCTCGTTAGAACATGGAGTTTCGACGAGCAAGGACGTGTCTGGAATGTGGGCCGTCGACAGTGGTGCAACGCACCACATTTGCCACGACAAGACCAAGTTCGCAAGTTTGGCAGATCGCAATGAGGGCGAACTCTTGGTGGCTGATGGCAACAAGGTGGCCATCAACGGTGTGGGAACCATCATGGAAAAGGTGGTTCTGCCCAACGGTGAAGAGCGTGAGATCGAAATCAAGAACGCGCTGTATGTTCCAAGTATGAGCAAGAACCTGCTCTCGGTGCCACAGATTAACAGCCATGGCAAGTTTCAAGTCGTGTTTGACGGGTCCAAGATGTATGTGACTCTCAAGAACTCACAGCAAGTGGTGTTGACAGCGGACCTCGTGAATGGACTTTACTGGCTTCGTACGACTCAGCGATCAGCAAATGTGACAACAAGTGGAAACATTTGTGCTGATCTACATGCACGAATGGGTCACGCTCCAGTCGACGTACTTCGCAAGATTATTACGACCACAATGATCAAGGATGTGCGTGTCCCTCTTAAGTCGAATGGAGCAACTGCACGTCGGGGGTGTCAATAAGGGAAATGGTCCAATTACCATTCCCAAGCAACGGCGACAAGCGTAACTACGATACGTCCGAGCTGATTCACATGGACATCTGTGGACCCATGGAAAACGAATTGCTCGGTGGCAGCAGATATCTGCTACTGATCGTAGACGAAGCCAGTGGAATTATGAAGAGCTTCTGTTTACGAGCGAAGTACGAGAGTGAAGACTACATCCGGAAGTACATCACTATGGTACGGACGTAGTTCAGTAAGAAGGTCAGGTTTGTGCAACACGACGGAGCCCGCGAGTTCGCAACCAACTAGCTTCAAGCGTTCTACAAAGATGAAGGCATTAACAGCAGACAACGGTGCCATATGCACATCACACAAATGGAATATCAGATTATGCCATCAGGACTGTCGTCACGATCGGCGGCAGCATACTTCATCATGCCGCAGCAATGACGGCCATCTACATCAAGAATCGACTCCGGTCACCTAAAGTCGTACACAAGACCCCTTTGAGATCGTCTATGTTGACGGTCATCAGTTTCTACCAGTATTGGTAACCGTGACCGGTCCAATCCGAACCGCCTATTCAGCTTGGTATTTACGACGTAGTTCTTACGGTAATTATCCATAGCTGATTAGACGCGTAGGATGATGAGACGCTTCACATGATTTATATGTGCACCACATGTAAATCATGTAGTAAGTAGTAAGCCCCGATAATCAATCACTTTCCAATCTTCCATCTACCCCCAAGTGTCTTCTCCGGTCTTCCGAGTGGACTCCCAGCATCACTCCCAGTTTCGGTCGTCAAGCTTTTCACCCCTCAACAGGTTATGAGCCCAAGCACGATGTCCTCTGCTCATGATGCCACCACCAAGATCTCCATTGACAAGTTCGACGGCGACAACTACGCGACGTGGAGCCGCTACATGCGTGGCGTGTTCCTGACCAAGTCGGCGTGGCACGTGGTGAGCCGGGAGACCACCCCCACCTTCGCCGATCCTCGCGCCAGTGACGACTACGTCAAGACGAACAACATTGCGTTCGGCTTGATGCTGCTGCACATGAGCGCAGATTATCATCACGTGGTTGATGACTGTGAAGAGGCGTGGGTCGCGTGGGCGCGTTTGAAGACGCTGTACGGCGGGTCGCAGAAGGCTGGACGCATCTACTTGAAGCGCCAGCTGTTCAGCATGGAGATGGCGGAAGGCGGCAATGTGTTGCATCATTGCAATGAGGTCCTCAACATCAGCGCAAAGCTGGCTAGCATCGGCGCCAAGATGTAGGACGAGGACGTTGCGATCTGCTTACTGCGCAGTCTGCCCAAGAGTTTCGAAAACGTGGTTCTCAACTTGGAGATGAACAGCGCAGAGCTTCAATAGCGGGACGTCGTGCAAGTGCTCACGAACGAGCATGTCAAGCGGCAAGGTGAAAAGACGACATCGGTGAAGACTGAAGACGCGGCCAAGGTGTTTAGTACCGAGCGTGAACCTCGCCAGTGTACATACTGCAGAAAATTGGGGCATACGATGGACCGATGCTAGACCAAGCAGAAGGGCGAAAATCAAGGTGGAGCTCGACGCGGCGGCAACAATGCTCGTGGACGCGGAGCCAACAACGTTCAGTGGCGAACCAACAACAACAACGACGACAACTACGATCGAGTTGCGTTCGCGGTTTCGCTGGAGGCTGGACTTTAGAAGGGCAAGAATATGCCAGGGATGTGGGCAGTCGACAGCGGTGCGACGCATCACATCTGCAACGACAAAGCCAAGTTTGCAAGCCTGAATGAGCGAGAGGAAGGCGAACTATCAGTGGCTGATGGCAGCAAGGCTGCGATCAAGGGTGTGGGAACCATCATGAAACAAGTGGTACAATGGTGGCGAACGCGACATCGAGATCAAGGACGCACTGTTCGTACCAAGTATGAGCAAGAATCTGCTTTCGGTGCCACAGATCAACAAGGGTGGCAGGTTCCAAGTCGTGTTCGATGGATCCAAGATGCAAGTGAAGCGCAAGAATTCCACACAAGTCGTGGCAACAGCGGATCTCGTCGATGGACTTTACTGGCTGCGGACTCCTCAACGATCGGCAAATGCAGCAACACGCAATGGGACTATCGACTTGCATGTGCGCATGGGTCAAGCACCCCTCGAAGTTCTGCACAAGATGGTGGCCACCGGCATGATCAAGGACGCCAAGGCACCTCTCAACTCGACTGGTACAAGTGTGTGTCGCGGTTGTCAGCAAGGAAAGATGGTCCAAAAACCATTCCCAACCAACCGTGACAAACGCCAATATGGTGTGTTCGAGTTGCTGCACTTTGACATATGCGGGCCCATGGAACAAGTCTCGATCGGCGGCAGCAGATACTTACTGCTTGTGGTTGACGAAGCCAGCGGTTGCATGAAGGACTTCTGTCTGCGGTCCAAGTCTGAGAGTGAAGACTGTATCAAGAACCACATCATCAAGATTCAAACTCAGTTCGGCACGAAGATCAAGTTTGTTCGGCACGATGGAGCGCATGAGTTTGCGACCAACTCGATCAAGACCTTCTACGAAGATCATGGTATTGAACAACAGATCACGGTGCCGTATGAACACCAGACCAACGGCACCGCAGAACGCGCTACAAGGACCATCGTCACGATCGGACGCAGCTTGTTGCATCATGCAAAGCTGGAGAAGTGTTTCTGGGCTGAAGCGGCAATGACGGCGATCTACATCAAGAACCGCCTGCCTTCACCCAAGATCGACCACAAGACTCCGTTCGAGATCGTGTACAAGTCGAAACCAAGTGTCAAGCACATGCGCGAGTTTGGATGTCGGGCGTTTATCCTGAAACCAAGGGAGAAGCGATTGAAGTGAGACCCGAAGGCCCGTGAAGGGATGTTCATGGGCTACGAAGAAGCGTCAAAAGCTTATCGAGTATACGACATTGAGGCGGACCAAGTGGTGATCAGTCGTGACATCACCTTCGACGAATCGACTTTTGATTTTTCGATGGACCGACCAAGTGACGATGATGAAGATGCGGAGTTGGACCTCGACCTCCTGGCGATCAACGAGGACGACGTGCGTCAAACCGTCTACAAGCAGACTGGCAAGCGCAAGAGTGAAGCAAGACCCGGCATGTCACGTTCAGCTCGCCCTCGAACTGGGTTGGAACAAGCAAGTGCGCCGGAACACGTCTCCAACCGTCACCAGAAACGACGATCAAGTGCTCCAGAAACGATGTCTGATGACGAAGAAGATGCAAGCGTCTACGATCAAGATGACGACTCGACGCCTCCAACATTTTGGCGTGCAAGTGCAAACGCAGTGGAAGCAACGGACCTAGCAGAACCTGTGACTTTTCAAGACGCGATCAATGGTCCTGATCAAGCTCACTGGCGAAATGCTGTGAAGGCGGAACTCAAGTCGATGCATCTTCGTGGAGTTTTCCGTGCGGCAAAACTGCCAAGAGGCCAAGGCGTGATCGGCACCAAGTGGGTGCTCAAGATCAAGCGCAAAGCGGATGGATCGGTCGAGAAATACAAGGCGTGTTTCGTTGCCAAGGGCTTCAAGCAGAAGTACGGCATCGACTACACAGAGACGTTCTCGCCCGTGGTCAAGTACGTGACAATGCGTATGGTGATCGCGATCACCAAGTATTTCGACTGGCCACTGGACCAACTCGATGTGGTGACAGTCTTTCTCTACGGAGTGATGAAGGAGAAGGTGTACTGCGTGATACCAGAAGGCGTCGAGATGGATGGCGACTTCGACTGTCTCGAGTTAGTGAAGGCGATCTACGGTCTCAAGCAAGCTTCACGTGTGTGGAACGAGACTTTCGACGAGTTCGTATGCTATATCGGTTTCGAAGCGTCGGCGTTCGACCCATGTCTCTACATCAAAGTTGTCGACGGTCACTGTGTGCTCGTGCTGGTCTACGTGGATGACGTGTTGGTCACCGGCAGCTCGCTCGAGTTGATTGCGCAGACGAAGGCCGACCTCAAGACGCGTTTCGAGATGACCGACAGTGGCAAGTGTACTTTTGTACTGGGCATCGAACTGGTGGACGAATCGGATGGCAGCGTGACGATGTGCCAGCGACGGTATGTCAACGACATCCTCAAGCGCTTCGGCATGGATGAGTGCAAGGCCACAGCAAGTCCGGCCGATTTGAACACTCGGCTTGTCGCAAGCAGCGACGCGGCCAAGATCGACGCTCCGTTTCGTGAAGATGTGGGAGCTTTGATGCACTTGACGACTGCGACGCGCCCGGACATTGCGTATGCTGTGGGGTACGTCTCGCGCTTCATGGAGAATCTGCAGCAAGAACATTGGACGGCGGTGAAGCGCATCTTTCGTTACTTGCAAGGGACCAAGTCGCACGGACTCCGCTTCCAGCCAAGCGACAAGATCGACTTTCGTGGCTACTCGGACGCGGACTGGGCCGGCGACCACGCTGATCGCAAGTCGACTTCGGGTTACACTTTCATGCTGATGGGTGCTCCTGTGAGTTGGGGAAGCAAGAAGCAGTCAATTGTGTCGCTGTCGACGAGTGAAGCGGAATACATCGCACTGAGTCTGGCCATCCAGGAAGGCAAGTGGGTGCATCGATTGCTATGCGAAATTTTGGCGGCCGCAAACGAACCAGGACCGGACCTCGTCATCCGTGAAGACAACCAGTCGTGCATCAAGATGACGAAGAATCCGGTGAATCATGGCCGCGCCAAGCACATCGACATCAAGTACCATCACATCCGTGATGAGGTCAAGCGCGGTGAAGTGCAGCTCGAGTATTGCGAGACTTCCGTGATGATGGCGGACATCATGACCAAGGGACTTTCGGGACCTCGTCACAAGGACTTGACGACGGCTCTCGGCATTCGTGCGAGTTCGGATTGAGGGGGCGTGTTGACGGTCATCGGTTTTCTACCAGTATTGGTAACCGTGACCGGTCCAATCCGAACCGCCTATTCAGCTTGGTATTTACGACGTAATTCTTACGTTAATTACCATAGTTGATTAGACGCGTAGGATAATGAGACGCTTCACATGATTTATATGTGCACCACATGTAAATCATGTAGTAAGTAGTAAGCCCCGATAATCAATCACTTTCCAATCTTCCATCTACCCCACCCAGTGTCTTCTCCGGTCTTCCGAGTGGACTCCTAGCATACCTCCCAGTTTTGGTCGTCAAGCTTTTCACCCCTCAACAGTCTACAACTCGAAACCAAGCGTCAAGCACATGCGAGCATTCGGGTGTCAGACGTACATACTGACTACAAAGGAGCATTGACTTAAGTGGGATCCAAAGGCTCGCGCTGGCATTTATGTGGTCTACGAAGAAGTATCGAAGGGGTATCGAGTTAATGACATTGAGGAGGGAAAGGTGGTTATCAGTCGCGATGTCAACTTCGATGAGTCCACCTTTGGACTTTCGCCGCTGATCACTGATGAAGATGTCGATGACCTGGACTTCGAATTGCTCGACTTCAACGATGAAGGGTCGCGTCAGGTGGAGTACAAGCAAGCAAGAAAGCGCAAAAACCGCCTCAGTGATGAAGATACAGCTCCACGACCGCGTGCAGTGCGTCCACGACCAGGACTAGAAGAGTCAAGCGCGCCGGAAAACAACTCGTCACGCCAAGAAGAAGACGAAGAAACGAAGTATTCTGATGGATCAGCACCGCCTGTGTTTTGGCGTGCGAGTGCGAATGCCGATAAAGCAGCAGCGGACTTATCAGAGCCCTCAACATTTGAAGCAGCAGTAAGCGGCCCTGACCAAGTGCACTGGAGAAAAGCAATTCATGCAGAGCTCGAGTCAATGCGACTTCGCGGTGTGTTTCGTGCAGCCAAGCTGACCAACGGACAACGCGCCATTGGCACAAAGTGGGTGTTCAAGATCAAGCGCAAGGCGGATGGGTCAATCGAGAAGTACAAGGCACGACTTGTGGCCAAGGGTTTCCGCCAAAAGTATGGCATCGACTACACGGAGACGTTTTCGCCTGTGGTCAAGTATGTGAAGCTGCGAATGGTGATCGCAATTTCCAAGCATTTTGGATGGCCCATCAACCTGCTTGATGTGGTGACAGCTTTCCTGTATGGCGTCATGAAGGAACAAGTGTTCTGCGTGATTCCTGAAGGCGTTGACCTTGACAGTACGTTCGACTGCCTGGAATTGGTGAAGTCAATTTACGGCCTCAAGCAAGCGTCGCGAGTGTGGAACGAGACGTTCGACGAGTATGTGTGCTCCATCGGATTTCAAGTATCGGAATTCGACCCATGTCTCTACATCAAGACTTCGGACGGCCATTGTGTGTTTATACTGGTCTACGTGGACGACGTCTTGGTGACTGGAAGCTCGCTCGAGCTGATTGCACAAACCAAGAACGACCTGAAGACGCGGTTCGAGATGACGGACAGAGGCAAGTGTTCGTTTGTTCTTGGGATCGAGCTTTTGGACGGTGAAGATGGCAGTGTGACACTATGTCAGCGCCGTTATGTCGATGATATCCTCAAGCGCTTTGGAATGGAGGAGTGCAAAGCTGTAGCGAGTCCTGTGGATGTCAGCTCTTGACCGATGTCCTGCAACACTTCGAGAAAGATCGATGTTCCATAACGTGAATCTCTTGGTGATTTGTTACATCTGACGACTGCAACACGACCGGACATCGCCTATGCGGTGGGCTTTGTGTTGCGCTTATGAAGAATCCCCGAGAAGAACACTGGGTTGCGGTCAAGCGCATCTTTCGCTACCTACAAGGCACCAAGATGCATAGAATTTGCTACACGACAAGTGCAAAGATCGACTTTCGTGGCTATTCGGACGCATACTGGGCCGGCGATCTTACTGGTCTCAAGTCAACTTCTGTCTACGTTTCATGCTATCTGGTGCTCCAGTGAGTTGGGGCAGCAAGAAGCAGCCAAGTGTGTCACTGTCTACAATTGAAGCGGGGTGCATTGCGCTAAGTCTGGCGATTCAAGAAGGCAAGTGGATGCATCTTTTACTATGCGAGATCATGGCGGCTGCTCACGAGGACTGACCCTAGCTCATGATCCGCGAAGACAACCAGTCCTGCATCAAAATGACCAAGAATTCGGTCAACCACGGCCGCGCCAAACACATTGATATCAAGTACCATCACATTCGCGATGAAGCCAAGCGCGGTGAAGTGCAGCTCGAGTATTGCGAAACTGCGGTGATGTTAGCGGACATTATGACCAAGGGACTTCACGGACCACGCCACAAGGACTTAACGGAGGCACTAGGCATCTGTGCGTTCGGATTAAGGGGTCGTGTTGACGGTCATCGGTTTTCTACCATTATTGGTAACCGTGACCGGTTCCATCCGAACCGCCTGCTCAGCTAATTATTTACGATGTAGTTCCTACGGTAATTGCCATAGTTGATTAGACGCGTAGGATGATGAGACGCTCCACATGATTTTTATGAACACCACATCTTAATCATGAAGTAAGCCCCGATAATCAATAACTTTCAAATCTTCTAACTAGTGAGCAAGGTGTCTTCTTCTCTACTCATTTCGGCCTCTTCGCTCCCTTCACCCCGCTCTCTGCTATGCAACACATCTGTGAAGACTGAAGAAGCGACCAAGCCTAAGTACCGAACGTTAATGCCGTCAATGATCGTTCTGCAAAAAATGCAACACGGTGGAAAAGTGCTGGACCAAGCAGAACGAATACAACAGAGGAGCATGACGCGGCGGAAACAATGCTCGTGGACGCGGAGCAAATTAAGTCCAATGGGAAGGCTACAACTGCAACAATCACGACCATCATCAAGTGGCGTTTGCTGTTTCGCTGGAATGCAAGCTTTCGACAACCAAGATCATGGTGGGAATGTGGGCTATTGACAGCGGTGCGACGCACCCCATCTACTATAACAAGTCCAAGTTTGAAGTTCTGGACGAGCGCAACGAAGGCGAAGTGCTGGTTGCAGACAGAGACAAGGCTGCGATCAATGGAGTTGGGGCTATCGTCGAAAATGTGGTCCTATCAAACGGTGAAGAGCGCGAAGTTAAAATCAAGGACGCACTGTATGTCTCGAGCATAATCAAGAACCTACTGTCGATACGTTAAATCAACAAAAGCGGCAAGTCCCAAGTGGTGTTTGATGGTAATGAGTCAAAGATTTCGCGCAAGGATCCTGCTTATTATGGCAATGGCAGATCTTATGAATGGACTTTACTACTGGCTTCTCACATCCATACGATCTGTGCCTGCTACTTTGCGACTGAAAATTTGAAGATCTCCAAGCGCGAAAGGGCAATGTACCACTCGATGTCTTGCGTAAAATGATCTTCAGGTATGTTGACGGTCATCGATTTTCTACCAGTATTGGTAACCGTGACCGATCCAATCCTAACCGCCTGTTCAGCTTAGTATTTACGACGTAGTTCTTACGATAATTATCCATAGTTGGTCAGACGCGTAGGATGATGAGACGCTTCACATGATTTATATGTACACCACATGTAAATCATGTAGTAAGTAGTAAGCCCCGATAATCAATCACTTTCGAATCTTCCAACTATTGGGCAAGTGTTTTCTGCTCTACTCTCTTCGGTCTCTCCGCTCCGTTCGCTCCGCTTTCCTCGCTCCGATCTACAATGCAACAGGTTATGAGCCCAAGCGCCATGTCGTCCACCAGCAACGCCTCCATTGACAAGTTCAACGGAGACAATTACGCAACGTGGAGCCGGTACATGCGCGGTGTGTTTTTGACGAAGTCCGTCTGGCACGTCGTCAACCGTGAAGTGAATCCGACTTTCACCGACCCGCGAGCGTCCGATGACTACGTCCAGGCAAGCAACGTCGCGTTTGGTATGATGCTGCTGCACATGAACGCGGACTACCATCATGTGCTGGACAACTGCAAGGAAGCCTGGGTTGCGTGGACAAGTCTGAAGACGCTGTACGGTGGGTCGCAGAAGGCAGGACGCATCTACCTCAAGCGACAACTTTTAAGTATCAAGATGGCTGAAGGCGCGAACGTCATGCATCACTGCAACGAGGTCCTCAACATCTCCGCCAAGCGTAGCGGCATCGGTGCGAAGATGGAAGACGAAGACGTTACAATTTGTCTGCTACTCAGTCTTCCGAAGAGCTACGAAAATGTGGTGCTCAACATGGAAATGAGCAGCACCGATCTTCGCACTCAAGATGTGGTGAGAGTCCTGACGAATGAGCATGCCAAGCGTCAAGGGAAAAAAAGGACAACGACAGTGACTACGGTGAAGGCTGAAGATGCAAGCAAGGCATTCAGCGCCTTTTAGTTCAACAAATAAAGAACTATTACCTTTTTAATTTTATTATCATTTTATTATTTTTATTCATTTTTTTATTAATTGAATAAAAATAAATTTCAAAAAATTATTAAGAAGCGACAGGTTTAGGAGAATTTTCAATTTCAATAAAAAATTAAATTTTTATTATTAATATTTGTCTTCATTTTTTTAAAAGGTTTTTTTAACAGCGCAGATGATTTCTTATAAAATAACAATTGGTTTTTCAATTCTTTCCGTTATAGTTTGTGCTAAATCGTTAATTAGTAAAAATATATTATTATAGAACTACTTTTAAATATTCATTTAATTAATCGTTTAAAAAAAGGAAATTTTAAGATTGCACATATAGGTAATAAAATTGATTTTACTTGTGAGCCCTACCAATGCACGTATTGTGGCAAGGTGGGACACACGGTGAATCGTTGCTGGACAAAGCAGAAGAACGAAGGTTGGGGAGCCCAACGCGGCGGCAATGGTCGTGGACGCGGGGATAACAATGTCCAGTGGGGACATCATGGTGAAGGCAATGGCTAAGATCTAGTGGCGTTTGCAGCCTCGTTAGAACATGGAGTTTCGACGAGCAAGGACGTGTCTGGAATGTGGGCCGTCGACAGTGGTGCAACGCACCACATTTGCCACGACAAGACCAAGTTCGCAAGTTTGGCAGATCGCAATGAGGGCGAACTCTTGGTGGCTGATGGCAACAAGGTGGCCATCAACGGTGTGGGAACCATCATGGAAAAGGTGGTTCTGCCCAACGGTGAAGAGCGTGAGATCGAAATCAAGAACGCGCTGTATGTTCCAAGTATGAGCAAGAACCTGCTCTCGGTGCCACAGATTAACAGCCATGGCAAGTTTCAAGTCGTGTTTGACGGGTCCAAGATGTATGTGACTCTCAAGAACTCACAGCAAGTGGTGGCGACAGCGGATCTCGTGGATGGACTCTACTGGCTTCGGACGACTCAACGATCAGCGAATGTGACAACAAGTGGAACCAGTTGTGCCGATCTACATGCGAGAATGGGTCATGCTCCAGTCGATGTACTTCGCAAGATGATCGCGACCAACATGATCAAGGATGTGCGAGTCCCTCTCAAGTCGGGTGGAGCAACTACATGTCGACGATGTCAACAAGGGAAAATGGTCCAAAAACCATTTCCAAGCAACCGAGACAAGCGCAGCTACGATACGTTTGAGCTACTTCATCTGGACATCTGCGGGCCCATGGAAAAGAATTCACTCGGTGGCAGCAAATATGTGCTGCTGATCATCGACGAAGCCAGTGGATGCATGAAGGGCTTTTGTCTACGAGTGAAGTCCGAGAGTGAAGACTACATCCGGAAATATATCACCATGGTACAGACGCAATTCTGTAAGAAGGTCAAGTTCGTGCGTCACGATGGAGCTCGAGAGTTTGCAACCAACTCTCTCAAGGCGTTCTACCAAGACCAAGGTATTGAGCAGCAGACCACGGTCCCGTACGCGCATCAAACCAACGGAACAGCAGATCGTGCCATTAGGACTATTGTCACGATCGGCCGCAGCATGCTTCATCATGCCAAACTGGACAAGTGTTTCTGGGCCGAAGCAGCGATGACGGCCATCTACGTCAAGAATCGACTGCCGTCACCTAAAGTCGTGCACAAGACCCCGTTTGAGATCGTCTACAACTTGAAACCAAGCGTCAAACACATGCGAACATTCGGGTGTCAGACATACATACTGACGCCTAAAGAGAATCGACTCAAGTGGGATCCAAAGGCTCGCGCTGGCATATTCGTGGGCTACGAAGAAGTTTCGAAGGCATATCGTGTTTATGACATCGAGGCGGGGCAGGTGGTTATCAGCCGCGATGTCAACTTCGACGAGTCCACCTTTGGACTTCAACTGCCGATCACTGATGAAGATGTCGATGACCTGGACTTCGAATTGCTGGATCTTGATGACGAAGAGCTGCGTCAAATGGAGTACAAGCAAGCAGGCAAGCGCAAGAACCGACTCAATGATGAAGATACAGCAGCTCCACGACCGCGTGCAGTGCGTCAACGACCAGGACTAGAAGAGCCAAGCGCGCCGGAAAACAACTCGTCACGCCAAGAAGAAGACGAAGAAACGAAGGATTCTGGTGATTCAACACCGCCTGTGTTTTAGCGTGCGAGTGCAAATGCCGTTGAAGCAGCAGTGGACTTATCAGAGCCCTCAACATTTGAAGCAGCAGTAAGCGGCCCTGACCAAGTGCACTGGAGAAAAGCAATTCATGCAGAGCTCGAGTCAATGCGACTTCGCGGTGTGTTTCGTGCAGCCAAGCTGACCAACGGACAACGCGCCATTGGCACAAAGTGGGTGTTCAAGATCAAGCGCAAGGCGGATGGGTCAATCGAGAAGTACAAGGCACGACTTGTGGCCAAGGGTTTCCGCCAAAAGTATGGCATCGACTACACGGAGACGTTTTCGCCTGTGGTCAAGTATGTGAAGCTGCGAATGGTGATCGCAATTTCCAAGCATTTTGGATGGCCCATCAACCTGCTTGATGTGGTGACAGCTTTCCTGTATGGCGTCATGAAGGAACAAGTGTTCTGCGTGATTCCTGAAGGCGTTGACCTTGACAGTACGTTCGACTGCCTGGAATTGGTGAAGTTAATTTACGGCCTCAAGCAAGCGTCGCGAGTGTGGAACGAGACGTTCGACGAGTATGTGTGCTCCATCGGATTTCAAGTATCGGAATTCGACCCATGTCTCTACATCAAGACTTCGGACGGCCATTGCGTGTTTATACTGGTCTACGTGGACGACGTCTTGGTGACTGGAAGCTCGCTCGAGCTGATTGCACAAACCAAGAACGACCTGAAGACGCGGTTCGAGATGACGGACAGCGGCAAGTGTTCGTTTGTTCTTGGGATCGAGCTTTTGGACGGTGAAGATGGCAGTGTGACACTTTGTCAGCGTCGGTATGTCGATGATATCCTCAAGCGCTTTGGCATAGATGATTGCAAGGCAGTCGCAAGTCCAGTCGACATGAGCTCTCGACTTTTTTCAAGTGATGCAACTACCAAGGTCGATGCTCCTTTTCGCGAAGCTGTTGGTGCGTTGATGCACCTGACCACTGCAACGCGTCCGGACATTGCGTTTGCTGTGGGCTATGTGTCACGGTTCATGGAAAATCCCCAAGAAAAACACTGGGTTGCAGTTAAGCGTATCTTTCGCTACCTACAAGGCACCAAGACGCATGGAATTTGCTACAAGCCAAGTGCAAGGATCGACTTCCGTGGATATTCGGATGCGGATTGGGCTGGTGATCTTACCGACCGCAAGTCAACATCGGGGTACACGTTCATGCTACTCGGTGCGCCAGTGAGTTGGGGCAGCAAGAAGCAGCCAAGTGTTTCGTTGTCCACGACTGAAGCTGAATACATCGCACTCAGCTTGGCGATTCAAGAGGGCAAGTGGATTCATCGTCTGCTTTGTGAGATCGTGATGGCTGCCAATGAAGAAGGACCGGAACTCATGATTCATGAAGACAATCAGTCATGTATCAAGATGACGAAGAACCCGGTCAACCACGGCCGTGCCAAGCACATTGATATCAAGTACCATCACATCCGTGATGAGGTCAAGCGCGGTGAAGTGAAGCTCAAGTACTGTGAAACTGCGGTGATGTTAGCGGACATCATGACGAAGGGACTTCATGGACCACGCCACAAGGAGATGACGACGGCTCTCGGGATTCGTGAGCATTCGGATTGAGGGGGCGTGTTGACGGTCATCGGTTTTCTACCAGTATTGGTAACCGTGACCGATCCAATCCGAACCGCCTGTTCAGCTTAGTATTTACGACATAGTTCTTACGGTAATTACCATAGTTGATTAGACGCGTAGGATGATGAGACGCTTCACATGATTTATATGTACACCACATGTAAATCATGTAGTAAGTAGTAAGCCCCGATAATCAATCTTTCGAATCTTCCAACTAGTGGGCAAGTGTTTTCTTCTCTACTCTCTTCGGTCTCTCCGCTCCGTTCGCTCCGCTTTTCTCGCTCCGATATACAATGCAACAAGGCACACGATTAAGGACGTCGAGATGCCATCAATACCTGATAGATCAAGCATGTGTCGCGGTTGTCAAGAAAGAAAGATGGTGCAACGACCGTTCCCAAGCAATCCAAACAAGCGCCAGTATGAATCGTTTGAGCTCCTGCACATCGACACTTGGGGGCCGATGGAAGTCAACTCGCTGGGTAGAAGCAAGTACTTACTTCTGATCGTCGATGAAGGCAGCGGAAGAGTATCAGTCTGCGCGCCAAGTCCGAAAACGAAGAGCGCATCAAGAAGTACATCATGGCAGTACAGACACAGTTTAACTACAAGGTCAAATTGTTCGACACGATGGTGCACGGAAATTCTCGACAACTTCGCTCAAGGCTTTCTTCGACAATCTAGGAATCGAGCAACAGGTCACCGCTCCGTATGCGCACCGGACAAATGGTACACCGAAACGAGCAACTCGAACTATTGTGAAGATCGGCCGCAGAATTCTTCACTACGCGAAGGTGGATAAGTGTTCGTATGCCGAAGCAGCAATGACGGCGATCTACATCAAGAATCTTCTACCTTCACTCAAGTGCCGAGATTAAAATCCGTTCGAGATTGTCCACGGATTCCGTCCAAGTGTGAAGCACATGCAAGAGTTTGGCTGCCAAGTGTTTATGCTGAACCTCAAAGAAAAGCGGTCGAAATGGGATCCGAAGGCTCGTGAAGGACTTTTCGTGGGGTACGAAGAAGTGTCGTAGGGATACCGTATGTATGGCATTGAAGCTGACTGAGTGATGATATTGCGTGATGTCACCTTCAAAGAGTCCGAGTTTTGCCCTCACCGACGATGTCACAAGAAAATGTGGATTACACTGCACATACCTCTACTCGATGACCATCAGTGATGAGCCACACTCCATGCAGTTTAAGCAGACTGGAAAACGCAAGGATCTTTCAAACAATCAAGAACAAGCTTTTCAACGGACTATTTCTGCTTGTCAAGGAGCCGGACTGGAAGAAGCAAATGCACCGGAATACCTTGAATCGCACCAAGCAAATCGACGATCAAGCACTCGAACTAACTTTGACGAAGAAAGGAAAGGCAGCGATGAAGATATTGATGACGCCACGCCTCAAGCCTTTAAGCGAGCGAGTGCAACGCAGTTGAACAATCTGTAGACATATCCGAGCCTACAACGTTTAAAGATGCTTTTAAATACCGGATCCCAGTGCATTGGCGTAAAGCGATATGCATCGAGTTGTATTCCGCGACGTGTTTCGAGCGACAAATGTTGACGGTCATCGATTTTCTACCAGTATTGGTAACCGTGACCGATCCAATCCGAACCGCCTGTTCAGCTTAGTATTTACGACGTAGTTCTTACGATAATTATCCATAGTTGGTCAGACGCGTAGGATGATGAGACGCTTCACATGATTTATATGTACACCACATATAAATCATGTAGTAAGTAGTAAGCCCCGATAATCAATCACTTTCGAATCTTCCAACTATTGGGCAAGTGTTTTCTGCTCTACTCTCTTCGGTCTCTCCGCTCCGTTTTCTCCGCTTTCCTCGCCCCGATCTACAATGCAACAGGTTATGAGCCCAAGCGCCATGTCGTCCACCAGCAACGCCTCCATTGACAAGTTCAACGGAGACAATTACGCAACGTGGAGCCGGTACATGCGCGGTGTGTTTTTGACGATGTCCGTCTGGCACGTCGTCAACCGTGAAGTGACTCCGACTTTCACCGACCCGCGAGCGTCCGATGACTACGTCAAGGCAAGCAACGTCGCGTTTGGTATGATGCTGCTGCACATGAACGCGGACTACCATCATGTGCTGGACAACTGCGAGGAAGCCTGGGTTGCGTGGACAAGTCTGAAGACGCTGTACGGTGGGTCGCAGAAGGCAGGACGCATCTACCTCAAGCGACAACTTTTCAGTATCAAGATGGCTGAAGGCGCGAACGTCATGCATCACTGCAACGAGGTCCTCAACATCTCCGCCAAGCGTAGCGGCATCGGTGCGAAGATGGAAGACGAAGACGTTACAATTTGTCTGCTACTCAGTCTTCCGAAGAGCTACGAAAATGTGGTGCTCAACATGGAAATGAGCAGCACCGATCTTCGCACTCAAGATGTGGTGAGAGTCCTGACGAATGATCATGCCAAGCGTCAAGGAGAAAAAGGGACAACGACAGCGACTACGGTGAAGGCTGAAGATGCAAGCAAGGCATTCAGCGCCTTTTAGTTCAACAAATAAAGAACTATTACCTTTTTAATTTTATTACATTTTATTATTTTTATTCATTTTTTTATTAATTGAATAAAAATAAATTTCAAAAAATTATTAAGAAGCGACAGGTTTAGGAGAATTTTCAATTTCAATAAAAAATTAAATTTTTATTATTAATATTTGTCTTCATTTTTTTAAAAGGTTTTTTTAACAGCGCAGATGATTTCTTATAAAATAACAATTGGTTTTTCAATTCTTTCCGTTATAGTTTGTGCTAAATCGTTAATTAGTAAAAATATATTATTATAGAACTACTTTTAAATATTCATTTAATTAATCGTTTAAAAAAAGGAAATTTTAAGATTGCACATATAGGTAATAAAATTGATTTTACTTGTGAGCCCTACCAATGCACGTATTGTGGCAAGGTGGGACACACGGTGAATCGTTGCTGGACAAAGCAGAAGAACGAAGGTTGGGGAGCCCGACGCGGCGGCAATGGTCGTGGACGCGGGGATAACAATGTCCAGTGGGGACATCATGGTGAAGGCAATGGCTAAGATCTAGTGGCGTTTGCAGCCTCGTTAGAACATGGAGTTTCGACGAGCAAGGACGTGTCTGGAATGTGGGCCGTCGACAGTGGTGCAACGCACCACATTTGCCACGACAAGACCAAGTTCGCAAGTTTGGCAGATCGCAATGAGGGCGAACTCTTGGTGGCTGATGGCAACAAGGTGGCCATCAACGGTGTGGGAACCATCATGGAAAAGGTGGTTCTGCCCAACGGTGAAGAGCGTGAGATCGAAATCAAGAACGCGCTGTATGTTCCAAGTATGAGCAAGAACCTGCTCTCGGTGCCACAGATTAACAGCCATGGCAAGTTTCAAGTCGTGTTTGACGGGTCCAAGATGTATGTGACTCTCAAGAACTCACAGCAAGTGGTGGCGACAGCGGATCTCGTGGATGGACTCTACTGGCTTCGGACGACTCAACGATCAGCGAATGTGACAACAAGTGGAACCAGTTGTGCCGATCTACATGCGAGAATGGGTCATGCTCCAGTCGATGTACTTCGCAAGATGATCGCGACCAACATGATCAAGGATGTGCGAGTCCCTCTCAAGTCGGGTGGAGCAACTACATGTCGACGATGTCAACAAGGGAAAATGGTCCAAAAACCATTTCCAAGCAACCGCGACAAGCGCAGCTACGATACGTTTGAGCTACTTCATCTGGACATCTGCGGGCCCATGGAAAAGAATTCGCTCGGTGGCAGCAAATATGTGCTGCTGATCATCGACGAAGCCAGTGGATGCATGAAGGGCTTTTGTCTACGAGTGAAGTCCGAGAGTGAAGACTACATCCGGAAATATATCACCATGGTACAGACGCAATTCTGTAAGAAGGTCAAGTTCGTGCGACACGACGGAGCTCGCGAGTTTGCAACCAACTCGCTTCAACTGTTCTACGAAGACGAAGGCATTGAACAGCAGACAACGGTGCCGTATGCACATCAAACAAACGGAACAGCAGAGCGTGCCATTAGGACTATTGTCACGATCGGCCGCAGCATGCTTCATCATGCCAAACTGGACAAGTGTTTCTGGGCCGAAGCAGTGATGATGGCCATCTACGTCAAGAATCGACTGCCGTCACCTAAAGTCGTGCACAAGACCCCGTTTGATATCGTCTACAACTTGAAACCAAGCGTCAAGCACATGCGAACATTCGGGTGTCAGACATACATACTGACGCCTAAAGAGAATCGACACAAGTGGGATCCAAAGGCTCGCGCTGGCATATTCGTGGGCTACGAAGAAGTTTCGAAGGCATATCGTGTTTATGACATCGAGGCGGGGCAGATGGTTATCAGCCGCGATGTCAACTTCGACGAGTCCACCTTTGGACTTCAACTGCCGATCACTGATGAAGATGTCGATGACCTGGACTTCGAATTGCTGGATCTTGATGACGAAGAGCTGCGTCAAATGGAGTACAAGCAAGCAGGCAAGCGCAAGAACCGACTCAATGATGAAGATACAGCAGCTCCACGACCGCGTGCAGTGCGTCAACGACCAGGACTAGAAGAGTCAAGCGCGCCGGAAAACAACTCGTCACGCCAAGAAGAAGACGAAGAAACGAAGGATTCTGGTGATTCAACACCGCCTGTGTTTTGGCGTGCGAGTGCAAATGCCGTTGAAGCAGCAGTGGACTTATCAGAGCCCTCAACATTTGAAGCAGCAGTAAGCGGCCCTGACCAAGTGCAATGGAGAAAAGCAATTCATGCAGAGCTCGAGTCAATGCGACTTCGCGGTGTGTTTCGTGCAGCCAAGCTGACCAACGGACAACGCGCCATTGGCACAAAGTGGGTGTTCAAGATCAAGCGAAAAGCGGACGCTTCAATCGAGAAGTACAAGGCACGACTTGTGGCCAAGGGTTTCCGCCAAAAGTATGGAATCGACTACACGGAGACGTTTTCGCCTGTGGTCAAGTATGTGAAGCTGCGAATGGTGATCGCAATTTCCAAGCATTTTGGATGGCCCATCAACCTGCTTGATGTGGTGACAGCTTTCCTGTATGGCGTCATGAAGGAGCAAGTGTTTTGCGTGATTCCTGAAGGCGTTGACCTTGACAGTACGTTCGACTGTCTCGAATTGGTGAAGGCAATTTACGGCCTGAAGCAAGCTTTGCGAGTATGGAACGAGACTTTTGACGAGTGTGTGTGTTCCATTGGATTTCAAGTGTCAGGCTTCGACCCATGTCTCTACATCAAGACTTCGGACGGCCATTGCGTGTTTATACTGGTCTATGTGGATGACGTGTTGGTGACAGGAAGCTCACCCAAGTTGATTGCACAAACCAAGAACGACCTGAAGACGCGGTTCGAGATGACGGACAGAGGCAAGTGTTCGTTTGTTCTTGGGATCGAGCTTTTGGACGGTGAAGATGGCAGTGTGACACTATGTTGGCGTCGGTATGTCGATGATATCCTCAAGCGCTTTGGCATAGATGATTGCAAGGCAGTCGCAAGTCCAGTCGACATGAGATCTCGACTTTTTTCAAGTGATGCAACTACCAAGGTCGATGCTCCTTTTCGCGAAGCTGTTGGTGCGTTGATGCACCTGACCACTGCAACGCGTCCGGACATTGCGTTTGCTGTGGGCTATGTGTCACGGTTCATGGAAAATCCCCAAGAAAAACACTGGGTTGCAGTTAAGCGTATCTTTCGCTACCTACAAGGCACCAAGACGCATGGAATTTGCTACAAGCCAAGTGCAAGGATCGACTTCCGTGGATATTCGGATGCGGATTGGGCTGGTGATCTTACCGACCGCAAGTCAACATCGGGGTACACGTTCATGCTACTCGGTGCGCCAGTGAGTTGGGGCAGCAAGAAGCAGCCAAGTGTTTCGTTGTCCACGACTGAAGCTGAATACATTGCACTCAGCTTGGCGATTCAAGAGGGCAAGTGGATTCATCGTCTGCTTTGTGAGATCGTGATGGCTGCCAATGAAGAAGGACCGGAACTCATGATTCATGAAGACAATCAGTCATGTATCAAGATGACGAAGAACCCGGTCAACCACGGCCGTGCCAAGCACATTGATATCAAGTACCATCACATCCGTGATGAGGTCAAGCGCGGTGAAGTGAAGCTCAAGTACTGTGAAACTGCGGTGATGTTAGCGGACATCATGACGAAGGGACTTCATGGGCCACGCCACAAGGAGATGACGACGGCTCTCGGGATTTGTGAGCATTCGGATTGAGGGGGCGTGTTGACGGTCATCGGTTTTCTACCATTATTGGTAACCGTGACCGATCCAATCCGAACCGCCTGTTCAGCTTGGTATTTACGACGTAGTTCTTACGGTAATTACCATAGTTGATTAGACGCGTAGGATGATGAGACGCTTCACATGATTTATATGTACACCACATATAAATCGTGTAGTAAGTAGTAAGCCCCGATAATCAATCACTTTCGAATCTTCCAACTATTGGGCAAGTGTTTTCTGCTCTACTCTCTTCGGTCTCTCCGCTCCGTTTGCTCCGCTTTCCTCGCTCCGATCTACAATGCAACAACAAGTTTTCATCTGGACAAAACACCATTGGCACCAAGTGATTGTTTAAGACCAAGCTCAAGGCCGATGGATCAATTTAGAATACAAGGCAAGACTCGTGGAAAAAGGGTTCAAGCAGAAGTACGGCATCGACTACACGGAGACGTTCTTAACCCGTGGTCAAATACGTGACACTGCGGATGGTGATTGCGATCAATAAGTACTTAGACTGGTCACTAGACCAAATGGACGTGGTGCTAACCTTCCTTTACGAGGAAATGAAAGAAAAGGTTCGGGATATGCGTTCATTCTGATGGGTGCTCTGGTGGGATGGGGAAGCAAAAGGCAGTCAAGTGTGTTTCTGTCAACCGGTGAAGCTGAGTACATTGCACTTAGTCTGGAGATTCAAGAAGGCAAGTGGGTGCATCGATTGCTGTGCGAGATTCTGGATGCCGCAGAGGTCAAATCTGGTCCCGAGCTCAAGATCATGGAAGACAACCAATCGTGCATCAAGATGCCGAAGAATCCTGTGAACCATGGTCGGGCCAAGCACATCGACATCAAGTACCATCACATTCGTCATGAAGTCAAGCGTGGTGATGTAAAGTTGGAGTACTGTGAGACTGCGATGATGTTGGCGGACATCATGACGAAGGGGCTGCCAGGACCGCGTCACAAGGACTTGACGACAGCGCTTGGCGTACAAGCGTGTTCTCATTGAGGGGGCGTATTGTGGGTTGACGGTTGAGGTACTGCTATCAGCTACCATGGGAACCGTAAACCTGTCCAAGTCGATCCCACGTAATCACGGTGAGTTTTTACCAATGATTAGACGCATAGGATGATTGGATGACCTACATGATTTATGATTCATGATTTATATGTGGACAACATATAAATCAGTGCAGAGATAAATCAGGTAGCTTTAACAGAACCCACAAATAAATTCACTTCCAAATATTCCTTCTCCTACACAAGTCGTATCCACTTTGCAGTGCAGACTTTCTTTCGGTTTTCAAGCTTTGATTCTCTCACCAAGTGCTCGGTACCTGTCAGCATAGATAATTTTGCTAACATTTCAGATAGTCTAACAAATAGAGCAAAACGTTTTTTCTAGCTGGACCCTCGCGGATCAGAACAGCTTCTGCTTACATGTGGCCCACTCTGCAGCCTTCAAGCAAATATTGCAGGTATGTTGGTGTTGTGGCGGGACAAAAGGATGCGGTGGCTGACAACGAGAAGAAGTGCGTGCATTTTTTTATGGAGCCGGCTTGTGCTAGCCTAGAATACTTACGTATAAACAACGGACTCGGCTCGCTAGTGCCATCGCGGTGCTTGGTATAATCGTCTAAGAACTACACTATTGGCCCCATCTCACAATGTCCAGCCGGTTGCAGTTATATCTTTAGGGACTTGCTTTGAGTGTTCACGATGGAAAGAGGTCTCGGCTTTAGGTCTTTTCCAAGATGGCTGCTTTACTGATACAGAAGGGTAGATTATCGGTACCGTTAAATTGTACCGAAATGATGATTATAGTGGTAAATAGCAGTCAGAAAGTGGACGGCTACTGCTTTAAAAAAAACAGTAAATGATTTGTAACTTCACATGGGGTATGAATGTTGAAGGGGTGAAAAGCTTGACGACCGAAACTGGGAGGTATGCTAGGAGTCCACTCGGAAGACCGGAGAAGACACTTGGGGGTAGATGGAAGATTGGAAAGTGATTGATTATCGGGGCTTACTACTTACTACATGATTTATATGTGGTGCACATATAAATCATGTGAAGCGTCTCATCATCCTACGCGTCTAATCAACTATGGATAATTATCGTAAGAACTACGTCGTAATTACCAAGCTGAACAGGCGGTTCGGATTGGACCGGTCACGGTTACCAATACTGGTAGAAACCGATGACCGTCAACACGCCCCCTCAATCCGAACTCGCACGAATGCCGAGAGCCGTCGTCAAGTCCTTGTGACGAGGTCCCGAAAGTCCCTTGGTCATGATGTCCGCCATCATCACGGAAGTCTCGCAATACTCGAGCTGCACTTCACCGCGCTTGACCTCATCACGGATGTGATGGTACTTGATGTCGATGTGCTTGGCGCGGCCATGATTCACCGGATTCTTCGTCATCTTGATGCACGACTGGTTGTCTTCACGGATGACGAGGTCCGGTCCTGGTTCGTTTGCGGCCGCCAAAATCTCGCTTAGCAGGCGATGCACCCACTTGCCTTCCTGGATGGCCAGACTCAGTGCGATGTATTCCGCTTCACTCGTCGACAGCGACACACTTGACTGCTTCTTGCTTCCCCAACTCACAGGAGCACCCATCAGCATGAAAGTGTAACCCGAAGTCGACTTGCGATCAGCGTGGTCGCCGGCCCAGTCCGCGTCCGAGTAGCTACGAAAGTCGATCTTGTCGCTTGGCTGGAAGCGGAGTCCGTGCGACTTGGTCCCTTGCAAGTAACGAAAGATGCGCTTCACCGCCGTCCAATGTTCTTGCTGCGGATTCTCTATGAAGCGCGAGACGTAAACCACAGCATACGCAATGTCCGGGCGCGTCGCAGTCATCAAGTGCATCAAAGCTCCCACAGCTTCACGAAACGGAACGTCGATCTTGGCCGCTTCGCTGCTTGCGACAAGCCGAGTGCTCAAGTCGACCGGACTTGCTGTGGCCTTGCACTCATCCATGCCGAAGCGCTTGAGGATGTCGTTGACATACCGTCGCTGGCACATCGTCACGCTGCCATCCGATTCGTACACCAGTTCGATGCCCAGTACAAAAGTACACTTGCCACTGTCGGTCATCTCGAAACGCGTCTTGAGGTCGGCCTTCGTCTGCGCAATCAACTCGAGCGAGCTACCGGTGACCAATACGTCATCCACGTATACCAGCACGAGCACACAGTGACCGTCGACAACTTTGATGCAGAGACATGGGTCGAACGCCGACACTTTGAAACCGATAGAGCATACGAACTCGTCGAAAGTCTCGTTCCACACACGTGAAGCTTGCTTGAGACCGTAGATCGCCTTCACCAACTCGAGACAGTCGAAGTCGCCATCCATCTCGACGCCTTCTGGTATCACGCAGTACACCTTCTCCTTCATCACTCCGTAGAGAAAGACTGTCACCACATCGAGTTGGTCCAGTGGCCAGTCGAAATACTTGGTGATCGCGATCACCATGCGCAGTGTCACGTACTTGACCACGGGCGAGAACGTCTCTGTGTAGTCGATGCCGTACTTCTGCTTGAAGCCCTTGGCAACGAGACGCGCCTTGTATTTCTCGACCGATCCATCCGCTTTGCGCTCGATCTTGAACACCCACGTGGTGCCGATCGCGCCTTGGCCTCTTGGCAGTTTTGCCGCACGGAAAACTCCACGAAGATGCATCGACTTGAGTTCCGCCTTCACAGCATTTCGCCAGTGAGCTTGATCAGGACCATTGATCGCGTCTTGAAAAGTCACAGGTTCTGCTAGGTCCGTTGCTTCCACTGCGTTTGCACCTGCACGCCAAAATGTTGGAGGCGTCGAGTCGTCGTCTTGATCGTAGACGCTTGCATCTTCTTCGTCATCAGACATCGTTTCTGGAGCACTTGATCGTCGTTTCTGGTGACGGTTGGAGACGTGTGCCGGCGCACTTGCTTGTTCCAACCTAGTTCGAGGGCGAGCTGAACGTGACATGCCGGGTCTTGCTTCACTCTTGCGCTTGCCAGTCTGCTTGCAGACGGTTTGACGCACGTCGTCCTCGTTGATCGCAAGAAGGTCGAGGTCCAACTCCGCATCTTCATCATCGTCACTTGGTCGGTCCATCAAAAAGTCAAAAGTCGATTCGTCGAAGGTGATGTCACGACTGATCACCACTTGGTCCGCCTCAATGTCGTACACTCGATAAGCTTTTGACGCTTCTTCGTAGCCCATGAACATCCCTTCACGAGCCTTCGGGTCCCACTTCAATCGCTTCTCCCTTGGTGTCAGGATAAACGCCCGACATCCAAACACGCGCATGTGCTTGACACTTGGTTTCGACTTGTACACGATTTCGAACGGATTCTTGTGGTCGATCTTGGGTGAAGGCAGGCGGTTCTTGATGTAGATCGCCGTCATTGCCGCTTCAGCCCAGAAACACTTCTCCAGTTTTGCATGATGCAACAAGCTGCGTCCGATCGTGACGATGGTCCTTATCGCGCGTTCTGCGGTGCCGTTGGTCTGGTGTGCATACGGCACCGTGATCTGTTGTTTGATACCATGGTCTTCGTAGAAGGTCTTGATGGAGTTGGTCGCAAACTCATGCGCTCCATCGTGCCGAACAAACTTGATCTTCGTGCCGAACTGAGTTTGAATCTTGATGATGTGGTTCTTGATACAGACTTTACTCTCATACTTGGACCGCAGACAGAAGCCCTTCATGCAACCGCTAGCTTCACCAACACAAGCAGTAAGTATCTGCTGCCGCCGATCGAGACTTGTTCCATTGGCCCGCAGATGTCGAAGTGCAGCAACTCGAACACACCATATTGGCGTTTGTCACGGTTGGTTGGGAATGGTTTTTGGACCATCTTTCCTTGCTGGCAACCGCGACACACACTTGGACCAGTCGAGTTGAGAGGTGCTTTGGCGTCCTTGATCATGCCGGTGGTCACCATCTTGTGCAGAACTTCGAGGGGTGCTTGACCCATGCGCGCATGCAAGTCGATGGTCCCATTGCGTGTTGCTGCATTTGCCGATCGTTGAGGAGTCCGCAGCCAGTAAAGTTCATCGACGAGATCCGCTGTTGCCACGACTTGTGTGGAATTTTTGCGCTTCACTTGCATCTTGGATCCATCGAACACGACTTGGAACCTGCCACCCTTGTTGATCTGTGGCACCGAAAGCAGATTCTTGCTCATACTTGGTACGAACAGTGCGTCCTTGATCTCGATGTCGCGTTCGTCACCATTGGGCAGAACCACCCGTTCCATGATGGTTCCCACACCCTTGATCGCAGCCTTGCTGCCATCAGCCACTGATAGCTCGCCTTCCTCTCGCTCATTCAGGCTTGCAAACTTGGCTTTGTCGTTGCAGATGTGATGCGTCGCACCGCTGTCGACTGCCCACATCCCTGGCATATTCTTGCCCGCCGAAAGTCCAGCCTCCAGCGAAATCGCGAACGCAACTCGATCGTAGTTGTCGTCGTAGTTGCTGTTGGTTCGCCACTGAACGTTGTTGGCTCCGCGTCCACGAGCATTGTTGCCGCCGCGTCGAGCTCCACCTTGATTTTCGTCCTTCTGCTTGGTCCAGCACCGCTCCGCCGTGTGCCCCAATTTTCCGCAGTATGTACACTGGCGAGGTTCACGCTCGGTACTGAACGCCTTCGCCGCGTCTTCAGTCTTCACCGATGTCGTCTTGTCACCTTGCCTCTTGATGTGCTCATTCGTGAGCACTGTCACGACGTCTCGAGATCGCAGTTCCGCGCTGCTCATCTCCAAGTTGAGAACGACGTTTTCGTAGCTCTTGGGGAGGCTGCGCAACAAGCAGATCGCCACGTCCTCGTCCTCCACTTGGCGCCGATGCTGCTGAGCTTCGCGCTGATGTTGAGGACTTCGTTGCAATGATGCATCACATTGCCGCCTTCCGCCATCTCCATGCCGAACAGCTGGCGCTTCAAGTAGATGCGTCCAGCCTTCTGTGACCCGCCGTACAGCGTCTTCAAACGCGCCCACGCGACCCACGCCTCTTCACAGTCATCAACCACGTGATGATATTCTGCGCTCATGTGCAGCAGCATCAAGCCGAACGCAATGTTGTTCGTCTTGACGTAGTCGTCACTGGCGCGAGGATCGGCGAAGGTGGGGGTGGTCTCCCGGTTCACCACGTGCCACGCCGACTTGGTCAGGAACACGCCACGCATGTAGCGGCTCCACGTCGCGTAGTTGTCGCCGTCGAACTTGTCAATGGAGATCTTGGTGGTGGCATCATGAGCAGAGGACATCGTGCTTGGGCTCATAACCTGTTGTAGGGGTGAAAAGCTTGACGACCGAAACTGGGAGTGATGCTGGGAGTCCACTCGGAAGACCGGAGAAGACACTTGGGGGTTAGATGGAAGATTGGAAAGTGATTGATTATCGGGGCTTACTACTTACTACATGATTTATATGTGGTGCACATATAAATCATGTGAAGCGTCTCATCATCCTACGCGTCTAATCAACTATGGTAATTACCGTAAGAACTACGTCGTAAATACTAAGCTGAACAGGCGGTTCGGATTGGATCGGTCACGGTTACCAATAACGGTAGAAACCGATGACCGTCAACAAATGCGGCTTCAGGACCAAGAGTCAAAAACCTTTATGCGCGTATGGGCCACGCACCGATTGATGTCTTGTGCAGAATGGTCTCCAAGGACATGATCAAGGATGCCAAGAAGCCAGCAAAATTGAGCGGATCAAGCGTGTGTCAGGGTTGTCTAGAAGGAAAAATGGTTCAACGACCGTTCCCGAGCAATCCAAACAAGCGCCACTGCGATCCGTTTGAGCTTCTACACATCGACACTTGTGGTCCAATGGAAGTCGACTCGCTAGGTGGAAGCAAGTACTTGCTACTGATCGTCGATGAAGGCAGCGGATGTATGAAGGGTTTCAGTCTGCGTGCCAAGTCCGACAGCGAAGAGTGCATCAAGAAGTACATCATGGCAGTACAGACGCAGTTTGACTACAAGGTCAAGTTCGTTCGACACGATGGTGCACGAGAATTTGCGGCGAATTCGCTCAAGGCATTTTACGATGATCAAGGAATCGAGCAGCAAGTTACCGTTCCGTATGCGCATCAGACCAACGGCACGGCGGAACGGGCAATTCGGACCATTGTGACGATCAGGCGCAGCATGCTTCACTACGCCAAGCTGAACAAGTGTTTCTGGGGTGAAGCGGCAATGGCTGCGATTTACATCAAGAATCGCCTACCGTCACCCAAGTGCCAAGATCGAACCCCATTCGAGATCGTCAACGGATTCCGACCAAGTGTGAAGCACATGCGGGTTTTCGGCTGCCGAACGTTTGTGCTGACCCCTAAGGAAAAGAGAGATCGAAATGGGATCCGAAGGCTCGTGAAGGACTATTCATGGGATATGAAGAAGTGTCAAAGGCATATCGAGTTTACGACATTGAAGCGGACCAAGTGGTGACATCTCGCGATGTCACATTCGACGAATCAACGCTTGGTCTCTCGCCGATGCTACCACAAGAAATTGTTGATAACACTGCGCTGGATATCGAATCGATGAACATCAGCGATCAGCCTCACCCCATGCAGTTCAAGCAAACTGGAAAACGCAAAAGCCGTTCAAACAGTCAAGAACAAGTTCTACAACAGACACTTCTTGAGCGTCGTGGAACCGGGTTAGAAGAAGCAAGTGCCCTGGATGACTTTGAATGGCACCAAGCGAAGCGACGATCAAGCGCTCGAGACAATCTGGACGAAGAGCAAAAGGGCAGTGACGAAGATAACGAGGATGCTACACCTCAAGTCTTTTGGCGAGCGAGTGCCAATGCAGTCGAAGGTACTGACTTGTCTGAGCCGACAACGTTTGAAGATGCTGTTGGTGGACCAGACCAAGTGCTTTGGCGTAAGGCAATCTTTGCCGAGTTGGACTCGATGAAACTTTGTGGCATGTTTTGAGCGACCAAACTGCCGTCTGGACAGCATACCATTGGCACCAAGTGGGTATTCAAGATCAACGGAAAGCTGATGGAGCCATCGAGAAATACAAGGCGCGTCTCGTGGCAAAAGGGTTCGAGCAGAAATATGGCATCAACTACACGGAAACGTTTTCTCCGGTAGTCAAGTACGTGACGCTGCGCATGGTGGTTGCAATCACGAAGTACTTTGACTGGACACTGGACCAACTAGACGTGGTGACAGCTTTCCTTTACGGAGAAATGAAGTAAAAGGTATTCTGCGCGATCCCAGAAGGAGTCGAAGTTGATGAAGACTTTGACTGCTTTGAACTGGTGAAGGCGATCTACGGACTAAACAAGCATCGCGCGTATGGAACGAGACTTTCTATGAGTTCGTCTGCTCCATTGGATTTCAAGTCTCCGACTTTGACCCGTGTCTTTATCTAAAGATTACAAGTGGCGAGTGCGTGCTTTTGCTGGTATACGTCGATGATGTGTTGGTGACTGGCAGCTCAGCCGAACTGATTATGCGCATTAAGAGTGACTTGAAGGCGCGTTTCGAAATGACCGACAGTGGGAAGTGCGCATTCGTGTTGGGCATCGAGCTGGTGGACAAAGACAACGGTAGCGTGACGATGTGCCAGCGACGCTACGTGGAAGATGTTCTCAAGCGTTTTGGCATGAGCGACTGCAAAGCCGTCACCAGCCCAACAGACATCAGTTCTCGACTCATACCAAGTACCGCAGCAACTAAAATCGACGCCCCGTTTCGTGAAGCAGTAGGCGCTTTGATGCACTTGATGACCGCGACACGACCGGACATTGCCTTTGCTGTGAGTTACGTTTCGCGCTTCATGGAGAACCCCCAAGTCGAGCATTGGATGGCGGTCAAGCGCATTTTGCGATACTTACAAGGGACTAAGTCGCACGGTATCTGTTTCAAGCCTGATGACAAGATAAACTTCTGTGGCTACTCGGATGCAGACTGGGCCGGCGACCATGCAGACCGCAAGTCGACTTCAGGATATGCGTTTACCCTGATGGGTGCTCCGGTGAGCTGGGGAAGCAAAAAGCAGTCAAGTGTGTCGCTGTCAACAAGTGAAGCTGAGTACATTGCACTAAGTCTGGAGATTCAAGAAGGCAAGTGGGTGCATCGATTGCTGTGCGAGATTCTGGATGCCGCAGAGGACAAGTCTGGACCCGAGCTCAAGATCATGGAAGACAACCAAACGTGCATCAAGATGACGAACAATCCTGTGAACCATGGTCGGGCCAAGCACATCGACATCAAGTACCATCACATTCGTCATGAAGTCAAGCGTGGTGATGTAAAGTTGGAGTACTGTGAGACTGCGATGATGTTGGCGGACATCATGACGAAGGGACTGCCAGGACCGCGTCACAAGGACTTGACGGCAGCGCTCGGCATACACGCGTGTTCGCATTGAGGGGGCGTATTGTGGGTTGACGGTTGAGGTACTGCTATCAGCTACCATGGGAACCGTAAACCTGTCCAAGTCGATCCCACGTAATTACGGTGAGTTGTTACCAATGATTAGACGCATAGGATGATTGGATGACCTACATGATTTATGATTCATGATTTATATGTGGACAACATATAAATCAGTGCAGAGATAAATCAGGTAGCTTTAACAGAACCCACAAATAAATTCACTTCCAAATATTCCTTCTCCTACACAAGTCGTCTTCACTTCGCAGTGTAGACTTCTTTCAAGTTCTTCAAGCTTCATCCTCTCGCCCAGTGCTCTTCAGACTTTAACAGGTTATGAGCCCAAGCACGATGTCCTCTGCTCATGATGCCACCACCAAGATCTCCATTGACAAGTTCGACGGCGACAACTACGCGACGTGGAGCCGCTACATGCGTGGCGTGTTCCTGACCAAGTCGGCGTGGCACGTGGTGAACCGGGAGACCACCCCCACCTTCGCCGATCCTCGCGCCAGTGACGACTACGTCAAGACGAACAACATTGCGTTCGGCTTGATGCTACTGCACATGAGCGCAGAATGTCATCACGTGGTTGGTGACTGCGAGAAAGCATGGGTCGCACGGACGCGCTTGAAGAGGCTTTACGGTGAATCGCAGAAGGCTGGAGCATCTACCTGAAGCGTCAGCTCTTCCGTATGGAGATGGCAAAAGGCGGCAATGTGATACATCATTGCAACGAAGTCCTCAACATCAGCGCGAAGCTCAGCAGCATCGGCGCCAAGTGGAGGACGAGGACGTTGCGATCTGCTTACTGCGCAGTCTGCCCAAGAGTTTCGAGAACGTGATTCTCAAGTTGAAGATGAACAGCGCAGAGCTTCGATCGCGGGACGTCGTGAAAGTGCTCACGAATGAGCACATCAAGAGACAAGGGAAAAAGACGACATCGGTGAAAACTGAAGAAGCGACCAAGGCCTTCAGTACCGAGCGTGAGGTTCGTCAGTGTACATACTGCGGAAAATTGAGGCACACGGTGGAAAAGTGCTGGATCAAGCAGAAGGAAGACAATCGGGGAGCTCGACGCGGCGGCAATGGACGTGGACGCGGAGCGAATCAAGTTCAGTGGCAAGGCTACAACGGCAACAGCAACTGTGACTATGATCGAGTGGCGTTTGCTGTTTCGCTGGAATGCGGACTTTCAACGACCAAGAGCATGTCTGGAATGTGGGCGATTGACAGCGGTGCAACACATCACATCTGCTATGACAAGTCCAAGTTCGAATTTCTGAACGAGCGCAATGAAGGCGAAGTGTTGGTTGCAGATGGGAACAAGGCTGCGATCAATGGTATCGGGACAATCATCGAAAAAGTGATCATGTCCAATGGTGAAGAGCGCGAAGTCGAGATCAAGAACGCGCTTTGCGTCCCAAGCATGAACAAAAACTTGCTTTCGATACCACAAATCAACAAAAGCGGCAAGTTTCAAGTGGTGTGTGATGGTGGCGAGATGAAGATTTCGCACAAAGGCTCCAAGCAAGTAATAGCGATGGCCGATCTTGTTGATGGCCTCTACTGGCTTCGTACATCCCAACGATCGGTGAATGCGGCTTCAGGACCAAGAGTCAAAAACCTTTATGCGCGTATGGGCCACGCACCGATTGATGTCTTGTGCAGAATGGTCTCCAAGGGCATGATCAAGGATGCCAAGAAGCCAGCAAAATTGAGCGGATCAAGCGTGTGTCAGGGTTGTCTAGAAGGAAAAATGGTTCAACGACCGTTCCCGAGCAATCCAAACAAGCGCCACTACGATCCGTTTGAGCTTCTACACATCGACACTTGTGGTCCAATGGAAGTCGACTCGCTAGGTGGAAGCAAGTACTTGCTACTGATCGTCGATGAAGGCAGCGGATGTATGAAGGGTTTCCGTCTGCGCGCCAAGTCCGACAGCGAAGAGTGCATCAAGAAGTACATCATGGCAGTACAGACGCAGTTTGACTACAAGGTCAAGTTCGTTCGACACGATGGTGCACGAGAATTTGCGGCAAATTCGCTCAAGGCATTTTACGATGATCAAGGAATCGAGCAGCAAGTTACCGTTCCGTATGCGCATCAGACCAACGGCACGGCGGAACGGGCAATTCGGACCATTGTGACGATCAGGCGCAGCATGCTTCACTACGCCAAGCTGGACAAGTGTTTTTGGGCTGAAGCAGCAATGACGGCGATCTACATCAAGAATCGCCTACCATCGCCCAAGTGCCAAGATCGAACCCCATTCGAGATCGTCAACGGATTCCGACCAAGTGTGAAGCACATGCGGGTTTTCGGCTGCCGAACGTTTGTGCTGACCCCTAAGGAAAAGAGATCGAAATGGGATCCGAAGGCTCGTGAAGGACTATTCATGGGGTACGAAGAAGTGTCAAAGGCATATCGAGTTTACGACATTGAAGCGGACCAAGTGGTGACATCTCGCGATGTCACATTCGACGAATCAACGCTTGGTCTCTCGCCGATGCTACCACAAGAAATTGTTGATGACACTGCGCTGGATATCGAATCGATGAACATCAGCGATCAGCCTCACCCCATGCAGTTCAAGCAAACTGGAAAACGCAAAAGCCGTTCAAACAGTCAAGAACAAGTTCTACAACAGACACTTCTTGAGCGTCGTGGAACCGGGTTAGAAGAAGCAAGTGCCCTGGATGACTTTGAATCGCACCAAGCGAAGCGACGATCAAGCGCTCGAGACAATCTGGACGAAGAGCAAAAGGGCAGTGACGAAGATAACGAGGATGCTACACCTCAAGTCTTTTGGCGAGCGAGTGCCAATGCAGTCGAAGGTACTGACTTGTCTGAGCCGACAACGTTTGAAGATGCTGTTGGTGGACCAGACCAAGTGCTTTGGCGTAAGGCAATCTTTGCCGAGTTGGACTCGATGAAACTTTGTGGCATGTTTTGAGCGACCAAACTGCCGTCTGGACAGCATACCATTGGCACCAAGTGGGTATTCAAGATCAACGGAAAGCTGATGGAGCCATCGAGAAATACAAGGCGCGTCTCGTGGCAAAAGGGTTCGAGCAGAAATATGGCATCAACTACACGGAAACGTTTTCGCCGGTAGTCAAGTACGTGACGCTGCGCATGGTGGTTGCAATCACGAAGTACTTTGACTGGACACTGGACCAACTAGACGTGGTGACAGCTTTCCTTTACGGAGAAATGAAGGAAAAGGCATTCTGCGCGATCCCAGAAGGAGTCGAAGTTGCTGAAGACTTTGACTGCTTTGAACTGGTGAAGGCGATCTACGGACTAAAACAAGCATCGCGCGTATGGAACGAGACTTTCAATGAGTTCGTCTGCTCCATTGGATTTCAAGTCTCCGACTTTGACCCGTGTCTTTATCTAAAGATTACAAGTGGCGAGTGCGTGCTTTTGCTGGTATACGTCGATGATGTGTTGGTGACTGGCAGCTCAGCCGAACTGATTATGCGCATTAAGAGTGACTTGAAGGCGCGTTTCGAAATGACCGACAGTGGGAAGTGCGCATTCGTGTTGGGCATCGAGCTGGTGGACAACGACAACGGTAGCGTGACGATGTGCCAGCGACGCTACGTGGAAGATGTTCTCAAGCGTTTTGGCATGAGCGACTGCAAAGCCGTCACCAGCCCAACAGACATCAGTTCTCGACTCATACCAAGTACCGCAGCAACTAAAATCGACGCCCCGTTTCGTGAAGCAGTAGGCGCTTTGATGCACTTGATGACCGCGACACGACCGGACATTGCCTTTGCTGTGAGTTACGTTTCGCGCTTCATGGAGAACCCCCAAGTCGAGCATTGGATGGCGGTCAAGCGCATTTTGCGATACTTACAAGGGACTAAGTCGCACGGTATCTGTTTCAAGCCTGATGACAAGATAAACTTCTGTGGCTACTCGGATGCAGACTGGGCCGGCGACCATGCAGACCGCAAGTCGACTTCAGGATATGCGTTTACCCTGATGGGTGCTCCGGTGAGCTGGGGAAGCAAAAAGCAGTCAAGTGTGTCGCTGTCAACAAGTGAAGCTGAGTACATTGCACTAAGTCTGGCGATTCAAGAAGGCAAGTGGGTGCATCGATTGCTGTGCGAGATTCTGGATGCCGCAGAGGACAAGTCTGGACCCGAGCTCAAGATCATGGAAGACAACCAAACGTGCATCAAGATGACGAACAATCCTGTGAACCATGGTCGGGCCAAGCACATCGACATCAAGTACCATCACATTCGTGATGAAGTCAAGCGTGGTGATGTCAATTTGGAGTACTGTGAGACTACAACTATGTTGGCGGACATCATGACGAAGGGACTGCCAGGACCGCGTCACAAGGACTTGACGGCAGCGCTCGGCATACACGCGTGTTCGCATTGAGGGGGCGTATTGTGGGTTGACGGTTGAGGTACTGCTATCAGCTACCATGGGAACCGTAAACCTGTCCAAGTCGATCCCACGTAATCACGGTGAGTTTTTACCAATGATTAGACGCATAGGATGATTGGATGACCTACATGATTTATGATTCATGATTTATATGTGGACAACATATAAATCAGTGCAGAGATAAATCAGGTAGCTTTAACAGAACCCACAAATAAATTCACTTCCAAATATTCCTTCTCCTACACAAGTCGTCTTCACTTCGCAGTGTAGACTTCTTTCAAGTTCTTCAAGCTTCATCCTCTCACCCAGTGCTCTTCAGACTTTAACAGGTTATGAGCCCAAGCACGATGTCCTCTGCTCAAGATTCCGCCACCAAGATCTCTATCGATAGATTCGATGGAGACAACTACGCGACGTGGAGCCGCTACATGCGTGGCGTGTTCCTGACCAAGTCGACGTGGCACGTGGTCAACCGGGAGACCACCCCCACCTTCGCCGATCCTCGCGCCAGTGACGACTACGTCAAGACGAACAACATTGCGTTCGGCTTGATGCTGCTGCACATGAGCGCGGATTATCATCACGTGGTTGATGACTGTGAAGAGGCGTGGGTCGCGTGGGCGCGTTTAAAGACGCTGTACGGCGGGTCGCAGAAGGCTGGACGCATCTACTTGAAGTGCCAGCTGTTCAGCATGGAGATGGCGGAAGGCGGCAATGTGATGCATCATTGCAACGAAGTCCTCAACATCAGCGCGAAGCTCAGCAGCATCGGCGCCAAGTGGAGGACGAGGACGTTGCGATCTGCTTACTGCGCAGTCTGCCCAAGAGTTTCGAGAACGTGATTCTCAAGTTGAAGATGAACAGCGCAGAGCTTCGATCGCGGGACGTCGTGAAAGTGCTCACGAACGAGCACATCAAGAGGCAAGGTGACAAGACGACATCGGTGAAGACTGAAGACGCGGCGAAGGCGTTCAGTACCGAGCGTGAACCTCGCCAGTGTACATACTGCGGAAAATTGGGGCACACGGCGGAGCGGTGCTGGACCAAGCAGAAGGACGAAAATCAAGGTGGAGCTCGACGCGGCGGCAACAATGCTCGTGGACGCGGAGCCAACAACGTTCAGTGGCGAACCAACAGCAACTATGACGACAACTACGATCGAGTTGCGTTCGCGGTTTCGCTGGAGGCTGGACTTTCAACGGGCAAGAATATGCCAGGGATGTGGGCAGTCGACAGCGGTGTACATTGCGCTATGTCTGGCGATTCAAGAAGGCAAGTGGATGCACCGTTTACTATGCGAGATCATGGCGGCTGCTCACGAGGACTGACCCTAGCTCATGATCCGCGAAGACAACCAGTCCTGCATCAAAATGACCAAGAATCCGGTCAACCACGGCCGCGCCAAACACATTGATATCAAGTACCATCACATTCGCGATGAAGCCAAGCGCGGTGAAGTGAAGCTCGAGTATTGCGAGACTTCCGTGATGATGGTGGACATCATGACCAAGGGACTTCACGGACCACGCCACAAGGACTTAACGGCGGCACTAGGTATCTGTGCATTCGGATTGAGGGGGCGTGCTGACGGTCATCGGTTTTCTACCATTATTGGTAACCGTGACCGGTTCAATCCGAACCGCCTGCTCAGCTTAATATTTACGATGTAGTTCCTACGGTAATTACCATAGTTAATTAGACGCGTAGGATGATGAGACGCTTCACATGATTTTTATGAACACCACGTCTTAATCATGAAGTAAGCCCCGATGATCAATCACTTTCGAATCTTCTAACTAGTAAGCAAGGTGTCGTCTTCTCTACTCATTTCGGCCTCTTCGCTCTCTTCACCCCGCTCTCTGCCATGGAAAGCCTCGGATCTCGATGTAAAAGAGATGGCTCGGCGAAACACCTTTTTGTAATCACCGAGGCGGTTATGTCGAGTTGTTAAAATAAAACAACTTCGTAATGTGTAAACTATATGGTCTCGCGATATCCACTAGGATGATCTTCTTCCGTCCAACAAGCAATTTTGTAAGTGGAATTGACTCATTCATTGTTGACGGTCATCGGTTTCTACCAGTATTGGTAACCGTGACCGGTCCAATCCGAACCGCCTGTTCAGCTTAGTATTTACGACGTAGTTCTTACGGTAATTACCATAGTTGATTAGACGCGTAGGATGATGAGACGCTTCACATGATTTTTATGTGCACCACATATAAATCATGTAGTAAGTAGTAAGCCCCGATAATCAATCACTTTCCAATCTTCCATCTACCCCCAAGTGTCTTCTCCGGTCTTCCGAGTGGACTCCTAGCATCCCTCCCAGTTTCGGTCGTCAAGCTTTTCACCCCTACAACAGGTTATGAGCCCAAGCACGATGTCCTCTGCTCATGATGCCACCACCAAGATCTCCATTGACAAGTTCGACGGCGACAACTACGCGACGTGGAGCCGCTACATGCGTGGCGTGTTCCTGACCAAGTCGGCGTGGCACGTGGTGAACCGGGAGACCACCCCCACCTTCGCCGATCCTCGCGCCAGTGACGACTACGTCAAGACGAACAACATTGCGTTCGGCTTGATGCTGCTGCACATGAGCGCAGATTATCATCACGTGGTTGATGACTGTGAAGAGGCGTGGGTCGCGTGGGCGCGTTTAAAGACGCTGTACGGCGGGTCGCAGAAGGCTGGACGCATCTACTTGAATCGTCAGCTGTTCAGCATGGAGATGGCGGAAGGCGGCAATGTGATGCATCATTGCAACGAAGTCCTCAACATCAGCGCGAAGCTCAGCAGCATCGGCGCCAAGATGGAGGACGAGGACGTGGCGATCTGCTTGTTGCGCAGCCTCCCCAAGAGCTACGAGAACGTCGTGCTGAACTTAAAGATGAGCAGCGCGGAACTGCGATCGCGAGACGTCGTGACAGTGCTCACGAATGAGCACATCAAGAGGCAAGGTGACAAGACGACATCGGTGAAGACTGAAGACGCGGCGAAGGCGTTCAGTGCCAAGCGTGAACCTCGCCAGTGTACATACTGCGGAAAATTGGGGCACACGGCGGAGCGGTGCTGGACCAAGCAGAAGGTGAAAATCAAGGTGGAGCTCGACGCGGCGGCAACAATGCTCGTGGACGCGGAGCCAACAACGTTCAGTGGCGAACCAACAACAACTATGACGACAAATACGATCGAGTTGCGTTCGCGGTTTCGCTGGAGGCTGGACTTTCAACGGGCAAGAATATGCCAGGGATGTGGGCAGTCGACAGCGGTGTACATTGCGCTATGTCTGGCGATTCAAGAAGGCAAGTGGATGCACCGTTTACTATGCGAGATCATGGCGGCTGCTCACGAGGACTGACCCTAGCTCATGATCCGCGAAGACAACCAGTCCTGCATCAAAATGACCAAGAATCCGGTCAACCACGGCCGCGCCAAACACATTGATATCAAGTACCATCACATTCGCGATGAAGCCAAGCGCGGTGAAGTGAAGCTCGAGTATTGCGAGACTTCCGTGATGATGGTGGACATCATGACCAAGGGACTTCACGGACCACGCCACAAGGACTTAACGGCGGCACTAGGTATCTGTGCATTCGGATTGAGGGGGCGTGCTGACGGTCATCGGTTTTCTACCATTATTGGTAACCGTGACCGGTTCAATCCGAACCGCCTGCTCAGCTTAATATTTACGATGTAGTTCCTACGGTAATTACCATAGTTAATTAGACGCGTAGGATGATGAGACGCTTCACATGATTTTTATGAACACCACGTCTTAATCATGAAGTAAGCCCCGATGATCAATCACTTTCGAATCTTCTAACTAGTAAGCAAGGTGTCGTCTTCTCTACTCATTTCGGCCTCTTCGCTCTCTTCACCCCGCTCTCTGCCATGGAAAGCCTCGGATCTCGATGTAAAAGAGATGGCTCGGCGAAACACCTTTTTGTAATCACCGAGGCGGTTATGTCGAGTTGTTAAAATAAAACAACTTCGTAATGTGTAAACTATATGGTCTCGCGATATCCACTAGGATGATCTTCTTCCGTCCAACAAGCAATTTTGTAAGTGGAATTGACTCATTCATTGTTGACGGTCATCGGTTTCTACCAGTATTGGTAACCGTGACCGGTCCAATCCGAACCGCCTGTTCAGCTTAGTATTTACGACGTAGTTCTTACGGTAATTACCATAGTTGATTAGACGCGTAGGATGATGAGACGCTTCACATGATTTTTATGTGCACCACATATAAATCATGTAGTAAGTAGTAAGCCCCGATAATCAATCACTTTCCAATCTTCCATCTACCCCCAAGTGTCTTCTCCGGTCTTCCGAGTGGACTCCTAGCATCCCTCCCAGTTTCGGTCGTCAAGCTTTTCACCCCTTCAACAGGTTATGAGCCCAAGCACGATGTCCTCTGCTCATGATGCCACCACCAAGATCTCCATTGACAAGTTCGACGGCGACAACTACGCGACGTGGAGCCGCTACATGCGTGGCGTGTTCCTGACCAAGTCGGCGTGGCACGTGGTGGACCGGGAGACCACCCCCACCTTCGCCGATCCTCGCGCCAGTGACGACTACGTCAAGACGAACAACATTGCGTTCGGCTTGATGCTGCTGCACATGAGCGCAGATTATCATCACGTGGTTGATGACTGTGAAGAGGCGTGGGTCGCGTGGGCGCGTTTGAAGACGCTGTACGGCGGGTCGCAGAAGGCTGGACGCATCTACTTGAAGCGCCAGCTGTTCAGCATGGAGATGGCGGAAGGCGGCAATGTGATGCATCATTGCAACGAAGTCCTCAACATCAGCGCGAAGCTCAGCAGCATCGGCGCCAAGATGGAGGACGAGGACGTGGCGATCTGCTTGTTGCGCAGCCTCCCCAAGAGCTACGAGAACGTCGTGCTGAACTTAAAGATGAGCAGCGCGGAACTGCGATCGCGAGACGTCGTGACAGTGCTCACGAATGAGCACATCAAGAGGCAAGGTGACAAGACGACATCGGTGAAGACTGAAGACGCGGCGAAGGCGTTCAGTGCCAAGCGTGAACCTCGCCAGTGTACATACTGCGGAAAATTGGGGCACACGGCGGAGCGGTGCTGGACCAAGCAGAAGGACGAAAATCAAGGTGGAGCTCGACGCGGCGGCAACAATGCTCGTGGACGCGGAGCCAACAACGTTCAGTGGCGAACCAACAGCAACTACGACGACAACTACGATCGAGTTGCGTTCGCGGTTTCGCTGGAGGCTGGACTTTCGGCGGGCAAGAATATGCCAGGAATGTGGGCAGTCGACAGCGGTGCGACGCATCACATCTGCAACGACAAAGCCAAGTTTGCAAGCCTGAATGAGCGAGAGGAAGGCGAACTATCAGTGGCTGATGGCAGCAAGGCTGCGATCAAGGGTGTGGGAACCATCATGGAACGGGTGGTTCTGCCCAATGGTGACGAACGCGACATCGAGATCAAGGACGCACTGTTCGTACCAAGTATGAGCAAGAATCTGCTTTCGGTGCCACAGATCAACAAGGGTGGCAGGTTCCAAGTCGTGTTCGATTGATCCAAGATGCAAGTGAAGCGCAAGAATTCCACACAAGTCGTGGCAACAGCGGATCTCGTCGATGGACTTTACTGGCTGCGGACTCCTCAACGATCGGCAAATGCAGCAACACGCAATGGGACTATCGACTTGCATGTGCGCATGGGTCATGCACCCCTCGAAGTTCTGCACAAGATGGTGGCCACCGGCATGATCAAGGACGCCAAGGCACCTCTCAACTCGACTGGTACAAGTGTGTGTCGCGGTTGTCAGCAAGGAAAGATGGTCCAAAAACCATTCCCAACCAACCGTGACAAACGCCAATATGGTGTGTTCGAGTTGCTGCACTTCGACATCTGCGGGCCCATGGAACAAGTCTCGATCGGCGGCAGCAGATACTTACTGCTTGTGGTTGACGAAGCCAGCGGTTGCATGAAGGACTTCTGTCTGCGGTCCAAGTCTGAGAGTGAAGACTGTATCAAGAACCACATCATCAAGATTCAAACTCAGTTCGGCACGAAGATCAAGTTTGTTCGGCACGATGGAGCGCATGAGTTTGCGACCAACTCCATCAAGACCTTCTACGAAGATCGTGGTATTGAACAACAGATCACGGTGCCGTATGAACACCAGACCAACGGCACCGCAGAACGCGCTATAAGGACCATCGTCACGATCGGACGCAGCTTGTTGCATCATGCAAAGCTGGAGAAGTGTTTCTGGGCTGAAGCGGCAATGACGGCGATCTACATCAAGAACCGCCTGCCTTCACCCAAGATCGACCACAAGACTCCGTTCGAGATCGTGTACAAGTCGAAACCAAGTGTCAAGCACATGCGCGAGTTTGGATGTCGGGCGTTTATCCTGAAACCAAGGGAGAAGCGATTGAAGTGAGACCCGAAGGCTCGTGAAGGGATGTTCATGGGCTACGAAGAAGCGTCAAAAGCTAATCGAATGTACGACATTGAGGCGGACCAAGTGGTGATCAGTCGTGACATCACCTTCGACGAATCGACTTTTGACTTTTCGATGGACCGACCAAGTGACGATGATGAAGATGCGGAGTTGGACCTCGACCTCCTGGCGATCAACGAGGACGACGTGCTTCAAACCGTCTACAAGCAGACTGGCAAGCGCAAGAGTGAAGCAAGACCCGGCATATCACGTTCAGCTCGCCCTCGAACTGGGTTGGAACAAGCAAGTGCGCCGGAACACGTCTCCAACCGTCACCAGAAACGACGATCAAGTGCTCCAGAAACGATGTCTGATGACGAAGAAGATGCAAGCGTCTACGATCAAGATGACGACTCGACGCCTCCAACATTTTGGCGTGCAAGTGCAAACGCAGTGGAAGCAACGGACCTAGCAGAACCTGTGACTTTTCAAGACGCGATCAATGGTCCTGATCAAGCTCACTGGCGAAATGCTGTGAAGGCGGAACTCAAGTAGATGCATCGTCGTGGAGTTTTCCGTGCGGCAAAACTGCCAAGAGGCCAAGGCGCGATCGGCACCAAGTGGGTGTTCAAGATCAAGCGCAAAGCGGATGGATCGGTCGAGAAATACCAGGCGCGTCTCGTTGCCAAAGGCTTCAAGCAGAAGTACGGCATCGACTACACAGAGACGTTCTCGCCCGTGGTCAAGTACGTGACACTGCGCATGGTGATCGCGATCACCAAGTATTTCGACTGGCTACTGGACCAACTCGATGTGGTGACAGCCTTTCTCTACGGAGTGATGAAGGAGAAGATGTACTGCGTGATATCAGAAGGCGTCGAGATGGATGGCGACTTCGACTGTCTCGAGTTAGTGAAGGCGATCTACGGTCTCAAGCAAGCTTCACGTGTGTGGAACGATACTTTCTACGAGTTCGTATGCTATATTGGTTTCAAAGTGTCGGCGTTCGACCCATGTCTCTACATCAAGGTTGTCGACGGTCATTGTGTGCTCGTGCTGGTCTACGTGGATGACGTGTTGGTCACCGGCAGCTCGCTCGAGTTGATTGCGCAGACGAAGGCCGACCTCAAGACGCGTTTCGAGATGACCGACAGTGGCAAGTGTACTTTTGTACTGGGCATCGAACTGGTGGATGAATAGGATGGCAGCGTGAAGATGTGCCAGCGACGGTATGTCAACGACATCCTCAAGCGCTTCGGCATGGATGAGTGCAAGGCCACAGCAAGTCCGGCCGATTTGAACACTCGGCTTGTCGCAAGCAGCGAAGCGGCCAAGATCGACGTTCCGAGCTGTGGGAGCTTTGATGCACTTGACGACTGCGACGCGCCCGGACATTGCGTATGCTGTGGGGTACGTCTCGCGCTTCATGGAGAATCCGCAGCAAGAACATTGGACGGCGGTGAAGCGCATCTTTCGTTACTTGCAAGGGACCAAGTCGCACGGACTCCGCTTCCAGCCAAGCGACAAGATCGACTTTCGTGGCTACTCGGACGCGGACTGGGCCGGCAACCACGCTGATCGCAAGTCGACTTCGGGTTATACTTTCATGCTGATGGGTGCTCCTGTGAGTTGGGGAAGCAAAAAGCAGTCAAGTGTGTCGCTGTCGACGAGTGAAGCGGAATACATCGCACTGGGTCTGGCCATCCAGGAAGGCAAGTGGGTGCATCGCCTGCTATGCGAGATTTTGGCGGCCGCAAACGAACCAGGACCGGACCTCGTCATCCGTGAAGACAACCATTCGTGCATCAAGATGACGAAGAATCCGGTGAATCATGGCCGCGCCAAGCACATCGACATCAAGTACCATCACATCCGTGATGAGATCAAGCGCGGTGAAGTGCAGCTCGAGTATTGCGAGACTTCCGTGATGGTGGCGGACATCATGACCAAGGGACTTTCGGGACCTCGTCACAAGGACTTGAAGACGGCTCTCGGCATTCGTGCGAGTTTGGATTGAGGGGGCGTGTTGACGGTCAACGGTTTCTACCAGTATTGGTAACCGTGACTGGTCCAATCCGAACCGCCTGTTCAGCTTAGTATTTACGACGTAGTTCTTACGGTAATTACCATAGTTGATTAGACGCGTAGGATGATGAGACGCTTCACATTATTTTTATGTGCACCACATATAAATCATGTAGCAAGTAGTAAGCCCGATAATCAATCACTTTCCAATCTTCCATCTACCCCCCAAGTGTCTTCTCCGGTCTTCCGAGTGGACTCCCAGCATCACTCCCAGTTTCGTTCGTCAAGCTTTTCACCCCTCAACAGCATTCACCGATCGTTGGGATGTACGAAGCCAGTAGAGGCTATCCACAAGATCGGCCATCGCTATTACTTGCTTGAAGCCTTTGTGCGAAATCTTCATCTCGCCACCATCACACACCACTTGAAACTTGCCGCTTTGTTGATTTGTGGTATCGAGAGCAAGTTTTTGTTCATGCTTGGGACGTAAAGCGCGTTCTTGATCTCGACTTCGCGCTCTTCACCATTGGACATGATCACTTTTTCGATGATTGTCCCGATACCATTGATCGCAGCCTTGTTCCCATCTGCAACCAACACTTCGCCTTCATTGCGCTCGTCCAGAAATTCGAATTGGACTTGTCATAGTAGATGTGATGTGTTGCACCGCTGTCAATCGCCCACATTCCAGACATGCTCTTGGTCGTTGAAAGTCCGCATTCCAGCGAAACAGCAAACGCCACTCGATCATAGTCACAGTTGCTGTTGCCGTTGTAGCCTTGCCACTGAACTTGATTCGCTCCGCGTCCACGTCCATTGCCGCCGCGTCGAGCTCCCCGATTGTCTTCCTTCTGCTTGATCCAGCACTTTTCCACCGTGTGCCCCAATTTTCCGCAGTATGTACACTGACGAACCTCACGCTCGGTACTGAAGGCCTTGGTCGCTTCTTCAGTTTTCACCGATGTCGTCTTTTTCCCTTGTCTCTTGATGTGCTCATTCGTGAGCACTCTCACGACGTCTCGCGATCGCAGTTCCGCGCTGCTCATCTCCAAGTTCAGCACGACGTTCTCGTAGCTCTTGGGGAGGCTGCGCAACAAGCAGATCGCCACGTCCTCGTCCTCCACTTGGCGCCGATGCTGCTGAGCTTCGCGCTGATGTTGAGGACTTCGTTGCAATGATGCATCACATTGCCGCCTTCCGCCATCTCCATGCTGAACAGCTGCCGCTTCAAGAAGATCCGTCCCGCCTTCTGCGATCCGCCGTAGAGAGTCTTCAACCGTGTCCACGCAACCCATGCCTCGTCGCAGTCATCAACCACGTGATGATAGTCCGCGCTCATGTGCAGCAGCATCAAGCCGAACGCAATGTTGTTCGTCTTGACGTACTCATCACTGGCGCGAGGATCGGCGACTTCGGCGAAGGTGGGGGGTGGTCTCCCGGTTGACCACGTGCCACGTCAACTTGGTCAGGAACACGCCACGCATGTAGCGGCTCCACGTCGCGTAGTTGTCTCCATCGAATCTATCGATAGAGATCTTGGTGGCGGAATCTTGAGCAGAGGACATCGTGCTTGGGATCATAACCTGTTAAAGTCTGAAGAGCACTGGGCGAGAGAACGAAGCTTAAAGAACTTGAAAGAAGTCTACACTGCGAAGTGAAGACGACTTGTGCAGGAGAAGGAATATTTGGAAGTGAATTTATTTGTGGGTTCTGTTAAAGCTACCTGATTTATCTCTGCACTGATTTATATGTTGTCCACATATAAATCATGAATCATAAATCATGTAGGTCATCCAATCATCCTATGCGTCTAATCATTGGTAAAAACTCACCGTGGGTACGTGGGATCGACTTGGACAGGTTTACGGTTCCCATAGTAGCTGATAGCAGTACCTCAACCGTCAACCCACAATACGCCCCCTCAATGCGAACACGCGTGTATGCCGAGCGCTGCCGTCGAGTCCTTGTGACGTGGTCCTGGCAGTCCCTTCGTCATGATGTCCGCCAACATAGTCGTAGTCTCACAGTACTCCAAATTGACATCACCACGCTTGACTTCATCACGAATGTGATGGTACTTGATGTCGATGTGCTTGGCCCGACCATGGTTCACAGGATTGTTCGTCATCTTGATGCACGTTTGGTTGTCTTCCATGATCTTGAGCTCGGGTCCAGACTTGTCCTCTGCGGCATCCAGAATCTCGCACAGCAATCGATGCACCCACTTGCCTTCTTGAATCGCCAGACTTAGTGCAATGTACTCAGCTTCACTTGTTGACAGCGACACACTTGACTGCTTTTTGCTTCCCCAGCTCACCGGAGCACCCATCAGGGTAAACGCATATCCTGAAGTCGACTTGCGGTCTGCATGGTCGCCGGCCCAGTCTGCATCCGAGTAGCCACAGAAGTTTATCTTGTCATCAGGCTTGAAACAGATACCGTGCGACTTAGTCCCTGGTAAGTATCGCAAAATGCGCTTGACCGCCATCCAATGCTCGACTTGGGGGTTCTCCATGAAGCGCGAAACGTAACTCACAGCAAAGGCAATGTCCGGTCGTGTCGCGTTCATCAAGTGCATCAAAGCGCCTACTGCTTCACGAAACGGGGCGTCGATTTTAGTTGCTGCGGTACTTGGTATGAGTCGAGAACTGATGTCTGTTGGGCTGGTGACGGCTTTGCAGTCGCTCATGCCAAAACGCTTGAGAACATCTTCCACGTAGCGTCGCTGGCACATCGTCACGATACCGTTGTCGTTGTCCACCAGCTCGATGCCCAACACGAATGCGCACTTCCCACTGTCGGTCATTTCGAAACGCGCCTTTAAGTCACTCTTAATGCGTATAATCAGTTCGGCTGAGCTGCCAGTCACCAACACATCATCGACGTATACCAGCAAAAGCACGCACTCGCCACTTGTAATCTTGAGATAAAGACACGGGTCAAAGTCGGAGACTTGAAATCCAATGGAGCAGACGAACTCATAGAAAGTCTCGTTCCATACGCGCGATGCTTGTTTAGTCCGTAGATCGCCTTCACCAGTTCAAAGCAGTCAAAGTCTTCATCAACTTCGACTCCTTCTGGGATCGCGCAGAATACCTTTTCCTTCATTTCTCCGTAAAGGAAAGCTGTCACCACGTCTAGTTGGTCCAGTGTCCAGTCAAAGTACTTCGTGATTGCAACCACCATGCGCAGCGTCACGTACTTGACTACCGGCGAAAACGTTTCCGTGTAGTTAATGCCATATTTCTGCTTGAACCCTTTTTCCACGAGACGCGCCTTGTATTTCTCGATGGCTCCATCAGCTTTCCGTTGATCTTGAATACCCACTTGGTGCCAATGGTAGGCTGTCCAGACGGCAGTTTGGTCGCTCGAAACACGCCACAAAGTTTCATCGAGTCCAACTCGGCAAAGATTGCCTTACGCCAAAGCACTTGATCCGGTCCATCAACAGCATCTTTAAACGTTGTCGGCTCAGACAAGTCAGTACCTTCGACTGCGTTGGCACTCGCTCGCCAAAAGACTTGAGGTGTAGCATCCTCGTTACCTTCGTCACTGCCCTTTTGCTCTTCGTCCAGATTGTCTCGAGCGCTTGATCGTCGCTTCGCTTGGTGCGATTCAAAGTCATCCAGGGCACTTGCTTCTTCTAACCCGGTTCCACGACGCTCAAGAAGTGTCTGTTGTAGAACTTGTTCTTGACTGTTTGAACGGCTTTTGCGTTTTCCAGTTTGCTTGAACTGCATGGGGTGAGGCTGATCGCTGATGTTCATCGATTCGATATCCAGCGCAGTGTCATCAACAATTTCTTGTGGTAGCATCGGCGAGAGACCAAGCGTTGATTCGTCGAATGTGACATCGCGAGATATCACCACTTGGTCCGCTTCAATGTCGTAAACTCGATATGCCTTTGACACTTCTTCGTACCCCATGAATAGTCCTTCACGAGCCTTCGGATCCCATTTCGATCTCTTTTCCTTAGGGGTCAGCACAAACGTTCGGCAGCCGAAAACCCGCATGTGCTTCACACTTGGTCGGAATCCGTTGACGATCTCGAATGGGGTTCGATCTTGGCACTTGGGTGACGGTAGGCGATTCTTGATGTAAATCGCAGCCATTGCCGCTTCACCCCAGAAACACTTGTTCAGCTTGGCATAATGTAGCATGCTGCGCCCGATCGTCACAATGGTCCGAATTGCCCGTTCCGCCGTGCCGTTGGTCTGATGCGCATACGGAACGGTAACTTGCTGCTCGATTCCTTGATCATCGTAAAATGCCTTGAGCGAATTTGCCGCAAATTCTCGTGCACCATCGTGTCGAACGAACTTGACCTTGTAGTCAAACTGCGTCTGTACTGCCATGATGTACTTCTTGATGCACTCTTCGCTGTCGGACTTGGCGCGCAGACTGAAACCCTTCATACATCCGCTGCTTTCATCGACGATCAGTAGCAAGTACTTGCTTCCACCTAGCGAGTCGACTTCCATTGGACCACAAGTGTCGATGTGTAGAAGCTCAAACGGATCGCAGTGGCGCTTGTTTGGATTGCTCGGGAACGGTCGTTGAACCATTTTTCCTTCTAGACAACCTTGACACACGCTTGATCCGCTCAATTTTGCTGGCTTCTTGGCATCCTTGATCATGCCCTTGGAGACCATTCTGCACAAGACATCAATCGGTGCGTGGCCCATACGCGCATGAAGGTTTTTGACTCTTGGTCCTGAAGCCGCATTCACCGATCGTTGGGATGTACGAAGCCAGTAGAGGCCATCAACAAGATCGGCCATCGCTATTACTTGCTTGGAGCCTTGTGCGAAATCTTCATCTCGCCACCATCACACACCACTTGAAACTTGCCGCTTTTGTTGATTTGTGGTATCGAAAGCAAGTTTTTGTTCATGCTTGGGACGTAAAGCGCGTTCTTGATCTCGACTTCGCGCTCTTCACCATTGGACATGATCACTTTTTCGATGATTGTCCCGATACCATTGATCGCAGCCTTGTTCCCATCTGCAACCAACACTTCGCCTTCATTGCGCTCGTTCAGAAATTCGAACTTGGACTTGTCATAGCAGATGTGATGTGTTGCACCGCTGTCAATCGCCCACATTCCAGACATGCTCTTGGTCGTTGAAAGTCCGCATTCCAGCGAAACAGCAAACGCCACTCGATCATAGTCACAGTTGCTGTTGCCGTTGTAGCCTTGCCACTGAACTTGATTCGCTCCGCGTCCACGTCCATTGCCGCCGCGTCGAGCTCCCCGATTGTCTTCCTTCTGCTTGGTCCAGCACTTTTCCACCGTGTGTCCCAATTTTCCGCAGTACGTACACTGGCGAACCTCACGCTCGGTACTGAAGGCCTTGGTCGCTTCTTCAGTCTTTCACCGATGTCGTCTTTTCCCTTGTCTCTTGATGTGCTCATTCGTCAGCACTTTCACGACGTCTTGCGTCCGCAGTTCCGCGCTGCTCATCTCCAAGTTCAGCACGACGTTCTCGTAGCTCTTGGGGAGGCTGCGCAACAAGCAGATCGCCACGTCCTCATCCTCCATCTTGGCGCCGATGCTGCTGAGCTTCGCGCTGATGTTGAGGACTTCGTTGCAATGATGCATCACATTGCCGCCTTCCGCCATCTCCATGCTGAACAGCTGCCGCTTCAAGAAGATCCGTCCCGCCTTCTGCGATCCGCCGTAGAGAGTCTTCAACCGTGTCCACGCAACCCATGCCTCGTCGCAGTCATCAACCACGTGATGATAGTCCGCGCTCATGTGAAGTAACATCAAGCCGAACGCAATGTTGTTCGTCTTGACGTAGTCGTCACTGGCGCGAGGATCGGCGAAGGTGGGGGTGGTCTCCCGGTTCACCACGTGCCACGTCGACTTGGTCAGGAACACGCCACGCATGTAGCGGCTTTACGTCGCGTAGTTGTCTCCATCGAATCTATCGATAGAGATCTTGGTGGCGGAATCTTGAGCAGAGGACATCGTGCTTGGGCTCATAACCTGTTAAAGTCTGAAGAGCACTGGGCGAGAGAACGAAGCTTGAAGAACTTGAAAGAAGTCTACACTGCGAAGTGAAGACGACTTGTGCAGGAGAAGGAATACATGGAAGTGAATTTATTTGTGGGTTTTGTTAAAGCTACCTGATTTATCTCTGCACTGATTTATATGTTGTTGTTGACCGTCATCGGTTTTCTACCAGTATTGGTAACCGTGACCAGTCCAATCCGAACCGCCTGTTCAGCTTGGTATTTACGACGTAGTTCTTACGGTAATTACCATAGTTGATTAGACGCGTAGGATGATGAGACTCTTCACATGATTTATATGTGCACCACACATAAATCATGTAGTAAGTAGTAAGCCCCGATAATCAATCACTTTCCAATCTTCCATCTACCCCCCAAGTGTCTTCTCCGGTCTTCCGAGTGGACTCCCAGCATCACTCCCAGTTTCGGTCGTCAAGCTTTTCACCCCATCAACAGGTTATGAGCCCAAGCACGATGTCCTCTGCTCATGATGCCACTACCAAGATCTCCATTGACAAGTTCGACGGCGACAACTACGCGACGTGGAGCCGCTACATGCGTGGCGTGTTCCTGACCAAGTCGGCGTGGCACGTGGTGAACCGGGAGACCACCCCCACCTTCGCCGATCCTCGCGCCAGTGACGACTACGTCAAGACGAACAACATTGCGTTCGGCTTGATGCTGCTGCACATGAGCGCAGATTATCATCACGTGGTTGATGACTGTGAAGAGGCGTGGGTCGCGTGGGCGCGTTTGAAGACGCTGTACGGCGGGTCGCAGAAGGCTGGACGCATCTACTTGAAGCGCCAGCTGTTCAGCATGGAGATGGCGGAAGGCGGCAATGTGATGCATCATTGCAACGAAGTCCTCAACATCAGCGCGAAGCTCAGCAGCATCGGCGCCAAGATGGAGGACGAGGACGTGGCGATCTGCTTGTTGCGCAGCCTCCCCAAGAGCTACGAGAACGTCGTTCTCAACTTGGAGATGAGCAGCGCGGAACTGCGATCGCGAGACGTCGTGAGAGTGCTCACGAATGAGCACATCAAGAGGCAAGGTGACAAGACGACATCGGTGAAGACTGAAGACGCGGCGAAGGCGTTCAGTGCCAAGCGTGAACCTCGCCAGTGTACATACTGCGGAAAATTGGGGCACACGGCGGAGCGGTGCTGGACCAAGCAGAAGGACGAAAATCAAGGTGGAGCTCGACGCGGCGGCAACAATGCTCGTGGACGCGGAGCCAACAACGTTCAGTGGCGAACCAACAACAACAACGACGACAACTACGATCGAGTTGCGTTCGCGGTTTCGCTGGAGGCTGGACATTCGAGGGGCAAGAATATGCCAGGGATGTGGGCAGTCGACAGCGGTGCGACGCATCACATCTGCAACGACAAAGCCAAGTTTGCAAGCCTGAATGAGCGAGAGGAAGGCTAACTATCAGTGGCTGATGGCAGCAAGGCTGCGATCAAGGGTGTGGGAACCATCATGGAACGGGTGGTTCTGCCCAATGGTGACGAACGCGACATCGAGATCAAGGATGCACTGTTCGTACCAAGTATGAGCAAGAATCTGCTTTCGGTGCCACAGATCAACAAGGGTGGCAGGTTCCAAGTCGTGTTCGATGGATACAAGATGCAAGTGAAGCGCAAGAATTCCACACAAGTCGTGGCAACAGCGGATCTCGTCGATGGACTTTACTGGCTGCGGACTCCTCAACGATCGGCAAATGCAGCAACACGCAATAAGACCATCGACTTGCACGCGCGCATGGGTCATGCACCCCTCGAAGTTCTGCGCAAGATGGTGGCCACCGGCATGATCAAGGACGCCAAGGCACCTCTCAACTCGACTGGTACAAGTGTGTGTCGCGGTTGCCAGCAAGGAAAGATGGTCCAAAGACCATTCCCAACCAACCGTGACAAACGCCAATATGGTGTGTTCGAGTTGCTGCACTTCGACATCTGCGGGCCAATGGAACAAGTCTCGATCGGCGGCAGCAGATACTTACTGCTTGTGGTTGGTGAAGCTAGCGGTTGCATGAAGGACTTCTGTCTGCGGTCCAAGTCTGAGAGTGAAGACTGTATCAAGAACCACATCATCAAGATTCAAACTCAGTTCGGCACGAAGATCAAGTTTGTTCGGCACGATGGAGCGCATGAGTTTGCGACCAACTCCATCAAGACCTTCTACGAAGATCATGGTATTGAACAACAGATCACGGTGCCGTATGAACACCAGACCAACGGCACCGCAGAACGCGCGATAAGGACCATCGTCACGATCGGACGCAGCTTGTTGCATCATGCAAAGCTGGAGAAGTGTTTCTGGGCTGATGCGGCAATGACGGCGATCTACATCAAGAACCGCCTGCCTTCATCCAAGATCGACCACAAGACTCCGTTTGAAATCGTGTACAAGTCGAAACCAAGTGTCAAGCACATGCGCGTGTTTGGATGTCGGGCGTTTATCCTGACACCAAGGGAGAAGCGATTGAAGTGAGACCCGAAGGCTCGTGAAGGGATGTTCATGGGCTACGAAGAAGCGTCAAAAGCTAATCGAATGTACGACATTGAGGCGGACCAAGTGGTGATCAGTCGTGACATCACCTTCGACGAATCGACTTTTGACTTTTCGATGGACCGACCAAGTGACGATGATGAAGATGCGGAGTTGGACCTCGACCTCCTGGCGATCAACGAGGACGACGTGCGTCAACCCGTCTACAAGCAGACTGGCAAGCGCAAGAGTGAAGCAAGACCCGGCATGTCACGTTCAGCTCGCCCTCGAACTGGGTTGGAACAAGCAAGTGCGCCGGCACACGTCTCCAACCGTCACCAGAAACGACGATCAAGTGCTCCAGAAACGATGTCTGATGACGAAGAAGAGGCAAGCGTCTACGATCAAGATGACGACTTGACGCCTCCAACATTTTGGCGTGCAAGTGCAAACGCAGTGGAAGCAACGGACCTAGCAGAACCTGTGACTTTTCAAGACGCGATCAATGGTCCTGATCAAGCTCACTGGCGAAATGCTGTGAATGCGGAACTCAAGTCGATGCACCTTCGTGGAGTTTTCCGTGCGGCAAAACTGCCAAGAGGTCAAGGCGCGATCGGCACCAAGTGGGTGTTCAAGATCAAGCGCAAAGCGGATGGATCGGTCGAGAAATACAAGGCGCGTCTCGTTGCCAATGGCTTCAAGCAGAAGTACGGCATCGACTACACAGAGACGTTCTCGCCCGTGGTCAAGTACGTGACACTGCGTATGGTGATCGCGATCACCAAGTATTTCGACTGGCTACTGGACCAACTCGATGTGGTGACAGCCTTTCTCTACGGAGTGATGAAGGAGAAGATGTACTGCGTGATATCAGAAGGCGTCGAGATGGATGGCGAATTCGACTGTCTCGAGTTAGTGAAGGCGATCTACGGTCTCAAGCAAGCTTCACGTGTGTGGAACGATACTTTCTACGAGTTCGTATGCTATATTGGTTTCAAAGTGTCGGCGTTCGACCCATGTCTCTACATCAAGGTTGTCGACGGTCATTGTGTGCTCGTGCTGGTCTACGTGGATGACGTGTTGGTCACCGGCAGCTCGCTCGAGTTGATTGCGCAGACGAAGGCCGACCTCAAGACGCGTTTCGAGATGACCGACAGTGGCAAGTGTACTTTTGTACTGGGCATCGAACTGGTGGACGAATCGGATGGCAGCGTGAAGATGTGCCAGCGACGGTATGTCAACGACATCCTCAAGCGCTTCGGCATGGATGAGTGCAAGGCCACAGCAAGTCCGGTCGACTTGAGCACTCGGCTTGTCGCAAGCAGCGAAGCGGCCAAGATCGACGTTCCGAGCTGTGGGAGCTTTGATGCACTTGACGACTGCGACGCGCCCGGACATTGCGTATGCTGTGGGGTACGTCTCGCGCTTCATGGAGAATCCGCAGCAAGAACATTGGACGGCGGTGAAGCGCATCTTTCGTTACTTGCAAGGGACCAAGTCGCACGGACTCCGCTTCCAGCCAAGCGACAAGATCGACTTTCGTGGCTACTCGGACGCGGACTGGGCCGGCAACCACGCTGATCGCAAGTCGACTTCGGGTTACACTTTCATGCTGATGGGTGCTCCTGTGAGTTGGGGAAGCAAGAAGCAGTCAAGTGTGTCGCTGTCGACGAGTGAAGCGGAATACATCGCACTGAGTCTGGCCATCCAGGAAGGCAAGTGGGTGCATCGCCTGCTATGCGAGATTTTGGCGGCCGCAAACGAACCAGGACCGGACCTTGTCATCCGTGAAGACAACCAGTCGTGCATCAAGATGACGAAGAATCCGGTGAATCATGGCCGCGCCAAGCACATCGACATCAAGTACCATCACATCCGTGATGAGGTCAAGCGCGGTGAAGTGCAGCTCGAGTATTGCGAGACTTCCGTGATGATGGCGGACATCATGACCAAGGGACTTTCGGGACCTCGCCACAAGGACTTGACGACGGCTCTCGGCATTCGTGCGAGTCCGGATTGAGGGGGCGTGTTGACGGTCATCGGTTTTCTACCAGTATTGGTAACCGTGACCGATCCAATCCGAACCGCCTGTTCAGCTTAGTATTTACGACGTAGTTCTTACGGTAATTACCATAGCTGATTAGACGCGTAGGATGATGAGACGCTTCACATGATTTATATGTGCACCACATGTAAATCATGTAGTAAGTAGTAAGCCACGATAATCAATCACTTTCCAATCTTCCATCTACCCCCAAGTGTCTTCTCCGGTCTTCCGAGTGGACTCCCAGTATCACTCCCAGTTTCGGTCGTCAAGCTTTTCACCCCTCAACAGTTGTCCACATATAAATCATAAATCATGTAGGTCATTCAATCATCCTATGCGTCTAATCATTGGTAAAAACTCACCGTGGGTACGTGGGATCGACTTGGACAGGATTACGGTTCCCATGGTAGCTGATAGCAGTACCTCAACCGTCAACCCACAATACGCCCCCTCAATGCGAACACGCGTGTATGCCGAGCGCTGCTGTGGCAAAGTCACTACTCAAATTTTGTACGAGGATCGGTGGCCACACCTTTAAAGCGCCGCTTACTGGTGGAAAAGGAGGCCATGAGACTCGGCGATCCAATACGGAGGTGGAAGATGATCTTAACGGGATTGGCGAACCGATCCAACTGTCGTTAGACTAATGGGTATGAATCGACCTGGGACGGAGCGATCTGGAACGATTTACATGGAACAATCTGGGACAAGGATCTGAGACCGGGTGATAGGATAGGAATCTGCGACGAAGGTATAACATCTTGCAGAATGTTATGGGGCGATCTGGAACCAGACGTCGGGATGAAGTCATACAGCTCATTGGAATGCCGGTCAAGAAGAAGTATACGTACATTGAAGCAGGCTAAGATTAGATCGCAGATCGACATGTTGTGGCAACGGTTTGTTGGAGAATTGACACATCTGGGACAAGGTGACTCCCCCAAAGTGCATCTGGGACCAGGTGGTACGGGTCGGTGAATCGGCAAAGAAGGTGCGACATCATACGGATCGGTGATACTCTACTGATCCTAAATTGGGAGTACTGATTTTGGTTAATTATACACCGATCTGGAAGTTTTTGCATACTCAGAAGAGTCAAGGAAACCGATGTCGAGATGTATGAATGAAGTTGTCGATTGGATAACACTGGAGGATGATATTGAAGCATGTATGAGGAGATGAAAAAGTGTTAATTGCCGATTTAGACCGGATCGACCTCCAACATCTCGATAGTGGATGACAGATCGGTCATTTTCCACACTGATCATGAATATATGGCTGATGAAGACACTGGATCATGTGGAATATACTTGGTAGAGGTCACTAAGTGATGTCAAGAAGTTTCATGCCGAAAGAGCCAGTGGAAGCTGTCCGAATTGACGTCGCAAAATGGATTTAGACGCCTTCGGCATTTGGGCACTATTTTGGGCTTTTGGGTACCAAAAATGGGTATTTGGTACCCCACTTGGGATTTGGTCCCTCTTGTTTAGGCATTCAGGTACCGGTATCGGGAATATTGGCGCTATCATTGGAGTACAGGGCACGAAATTTCGACACGTGGCAAGGGGGCGATTCAGATTCAAGGCGATATCGGTTTGAAGAGTGACCTATAGTTAAGAATAGGCTTAAGGGTAGGTTGGATAGTAATTTGGTTGGTTAATAAACAGACTTGAACTCTACTTCTTCTGCTCACGACGCACGTTATCCTCCCCTCTTCTCCAGGCAAGATTGATATGGCTTCCCCGGCGGGTTAAGGCACGCGTGTTAAAGGGACACAGAAGACCGATCTTGGATTGTTGGCCAAGATCGAGAAGAGCGATCCCGGGATATCTGGCCCGGATCGATCAAGTACTCACACTCAACTCAACTGCTAGGGTAGCAGCACACAAGGAAAAGGAAAAGGATTTTGGACACAGGATCGCGAGACGGCTCAAGTGGTCAGAAGATCTGGACAAGGCGTTCAAGACAAGACCGAGCAGGATCGAAGCGATCCCCTGGACAGATCGGCACGTTTCATTTTGGCGAAACAAGACACCGATCTACCCAAATTGCGCACTTCCGGCAAGATCGGCCGATCCCAAGACCAGATCGGACCGATCCCAAGGCAAGATTAACGCAAGACTTTTATTTGCTGAGTGAAGATTTCCGCACAGCAAAGACCTCGATCTCGAGGACAAATCAAGATTGGTGCGATCCAAGATCGGGATCGCAGGACCCCCGTTCGTGGTGTGAAGATTTCCGCACCGGAAGCGAACCCTCAACCCAACCTCTCAGCGAGATCGACATCTCCCAAGGCCGTTACGAAGAGCTCAAGCCAGCCCAACCGACGGGTACACAAGGTGAGCACAAGGTCATACAACAAGGCACGGATCGGAGTACCCCCTCCGTGAGTCGGCAAGTCTGGGCAAGTGGAAGATCGACACTCATAAAAGCAATTTTGTGAGATCGACTTCACCACAATGGTGCGCGTGCCCGGATCTTCTGAGGCTTTTGGATTTCACCGTGATTCCACTGGCGAAGATGTCAAGATTAAGCAAGAACCTGGGATTGAAGTGTCAGCGACAAAGGGATCGACGCAGAGACGCAGAAGCACAAGATCCTCAGATCATCAGAGTTTTGGGAGGGGCTCTGATGAAATGAAAATGAAAGAGGAAGATCGAGAGATCGATCTGGAAGATAAACCTCAATTCCCTCCTAGGGTCCCTTCGGGGGCCACCGCAGATCGCTCTGCAAAGAGCGATCTGCTGGATGAAAATCCAACGGTGAAAACCAAATCGGCGAAAGCCAAACCCTATATCTTAGTCGATAGATCGCCCGACCTCAAACCGAAGAGCACAATCGCGAGATCGACCACATCAGAACGATCCGCGACGAGATCGATGGGATCAGATGTCAAAGATCGCCAGATCGGCCGAACCGTGCAATCGAAGATCGGAGCCAAAGAGGAATACGATGAAACACCAGATAAGATTGCGATGCCAAAGACGGAATATAACCCAATAAAGATCGCGTCCATGGAAGGAGACGACGGGTGAAGCGCGGGAGCGTGCAAAATGGCAGTACTATTATGGCCAGTTGAAGACGCTGCTCAAGACGGACCCAGTGTTCAAGATATTAAGGCCCAAGGTGATTGGTCCTCTGGTTAAGCCGATCTCGGTCCCACTTCACGGGACCAACCAAGTCGACGAGATCAATGTGATTTTGCAGATGTTGGACGACATGTGTATCTGTCCTGACGCTTTGATGGAGATGAACTGCTGAGTTGCAGCTTGGAACAGTTGAAGGACGCGGCGAACGAGTTTGTAGAGATCATGATAATGCTGGTGGGCAAAGCGAAAACTCCTGAAGACAAGATCGGGACGCCCTCGGGCTCGCTCTGTAAACACCCCGCGGGATCGCCCCGCTACGCCTCGGATGACTCCGAGAGCGAGTCAGATGGATCCATCAGCAATCGTCAGATGTCTCTAGGACCATCGGGTGAAAGGTTCTTAAAGGACAAGATCGGACAAGCCAAGATCGACGCCTATAAGGGACAATCCAAGAGCAACATGCCGCAGAGATCGGCCAGTACCCGCACTGGGCTGGAGGATCAAGAAGAGGGCGATCTAAGTCGGTACTTCAATTCAGCCATGAAGAAGTACGAGGCGGATCAACGTACAGCTCAGCGAATGAATCGACAGCTAAACCGCTACCCAGATCGACTTACTTTGCTCCAACCTTCACACGAAAGCCTTGACATGCCGGATGTGGAGATGGAGTCGGTGAGGTCGGACATTTACCAACATATCCATGAGGCGGCGGAATGCGACCCGGATGATCTATGGATGCCCGAACCACGGCGCCCTCAAGTAGCCGCGACCGGTGCGACTACCGGAGGGGGAAACATCACGCAGAGGATCAGAATCTCAGCGATTTCTGAGCTGAAAGAATTCTCAGGGAAGGATCGGGAAGAAGACAAAGCACGAAACTGGATCGGCAAAGTGAAATCAGCGTTTATCCGGGACCAAGCACCGGACAAGGAGAGATATCTGGTCTTCGGTGATCTCATGGTAGGCCCAGCCCGCTACTGGTACCGACAGCTGAGTAGATCGACGAGATTCAATTGGAAAGAATTGATGAACAGTTTTCTTGTGGAGTATGCGGGACACGGGATGTCCGCGAGCAGGCAATACTACCATGTAAAGAAACGATCGTAGGAAGATCCTTTACAGTACCTGTATCGGCTTAATGTGATGGGAATGCAGGCGAAGATACCGGTGATGAATGGATTGCCAGCTGCGCGCAAGGAACATGTCAATCATTTCATTGACACCTTGGACGACCCCGATCTGTCCAATCAATTGCTACTGCTGAATGTAGAAGACGCGGAGGCCATGCAAAAGACACTGCAAGGATATCAACAAGGGAAATCGCGTCAAGGGAAAGTGATGATGGGATCGTCCAAATTCAGACAGAAGGGAACTCAGGGTCCAGCGCTGTCTAAGCCTGCACGAGCGGTAAGGATGGTCCGTACCGAGGACGTCTGCAGCGAGTCAGGATCAGACACCTGCGGATCGGATTTGGAAAATCGATTGAGATCGATCCATATGGCTGCTACTGCGGATCGCCGTTCATCCCCCAATGACGCTGCAGCAAACGCGAGATCGGCCGACCCGAACACTCGTCAAGACTATCAAGACCGCAATATGCCATTGAAGCCGTGTACTCATTGCGGATCGACCAAGCATGGAGATCACGGTTGTTGGAAGCGGCTCACTTGCCAGAAGTGTGGGCGTAAAGGACACCCCTCTGACAATTGTTTTTTCGTGTTTCGTGCTTGCGGTGAGATGCACGACCCGGGGAAGTGTCCCATGGAGGAGTTCTACAACATGATCCGTCAGTGGTACGTCCCGAATAAGCATGCGGGGATGCTACCAGAGAAGGCCGAGAAGATGTTAAACTAGGACGCTCGCCAGGTTTGAATCTGGTACGAGCCGAGCGTTCTGGGCTCTGCATTATTGCATACGTGGAAAAAAAGAAGACAGGTAGCGAGAGTAAGCAGGATATTGACGTGGAAACAAATGTATCTCGTTCGAAGTTAAAACGTGTCGCTTCCGTGTCCCATCTGAAGCGGATCGATGAGTACTCACGATCTGAACCAGCTATGGAGATCGAGCTCGCTTATGGTGAATCTCGCGGATACTGGAAACATTATTCACCCGGGAAGTGGTTCAAACAAGCGAAAGCCGTTGGCAGGATCAACAACGTAAAAGCTACTCTGTTATTTGATTCTGGTGCTGAAGTGTCGATCATTGACACCACCTTTGCTCGTGAGGTCGGTTGCAATATTGACGAAAGTCAACGACAAGAATGTATCGGGATTGGAGAAACTCCGTACATGACGGTAGGACGTACCAAGATCAAGGTGACCCTCGCGGGATCGCTGGTATACTATTTCAATGTATGGGTAGGCGATCTGGCAGGGCAAGAAGCGATTCTGGGTATGGATTTTATGGTGCCTGCTGGAGTGCGGCTCGATCTAGCGGATGGCGCGCTATGTCTACCAGAAGAAATCCGCATTCATCTTGCAGGACGTCGCCCCGCGTACGGATCGAAGATACAACATATAACGGCGAAGGACCAACACGTGGTGATCCCGGTCGGAGAGTCAAGGGAAGCGAAGATCGGGATCGGAGGGGCTAAGATGAAGTTGTGGGTCGCTAGAGGACTAGATTGGGTCCCCACTGTGATCTCGGGGTGGGGTAAGACGAAATACCTGCAGGTGACCAACATTGGCGACCGGGAGATCATACTGCCCACCCACACTATATTAGGCATGTGGGTCGAAGGCGATATGGTACCGCGGACCCAAGGTTTGGTGACAGTCGGGTCGGGGAAGTACAAGGAATGGCAAACTCTGGCATATGAGGCTACAACGGATCGAGTGAACGAACTCCCGAAAGAACCGATCGGACCATTGGTAGATCGTCCTACGTATGCCGCTCCCAAATGCATCTTGAAACGTCCGTCTGATGCGTTACAGAACCTGTCTCCGGCGATCTCCACGGTAACGCCGCAAGCTAACGATGACGATTCGCAAAATGCAGATGCTGTAGTTGCGAGGGAAGTAACGGTCAGGGGAGCCGAACTATTGCGGATGGAGAACGGTCATGAGATCGGTACCCAACATGCAACGAAAGGAGACCGCGACACCGGTCAAGAAGGGCTACGTGACAGATCGTCTCTACCGAAGGCTGAGCCGACTGACCGACTGTTGAAATTGGGCCAGCCGGAAGAGACGAAGGAGCCTAAAGAAAAAATAATGCTAAATACTGAAGACGTCGAGATTGCAGAAATACCAGTTTATCACCACGAGAGCGGAGATTTGTTTGCGAAAGATATCGAGCAGCATATGGCCGTGCTACCAGAGATGTCGGCGACTACGGAAGAAGTTACGATTGAGGACATTCAGATCGGTGATCCCGATGTGCCTCTCACCACAGATCAACAACGGCTCAGATCGCTGACCTGGAAGAGCCGTCACCTCCTCATGGGTAAAGGTAATGCTCTACCACCTGCAGCACGAGGCGCGATCTGTGATATTGATGTCGGTGGGGCAGCACCGATAGTGCAAAGAGTGCGTCCGGTCGCACCCAAATATCGGGAGAAGCTGTCAGATCTCATCAAAGGACTACTAGCAGCCAAAATCGTTCAGCCATCCACGTCACCTTGGGCGTCTCCGATAGTGGTGATCATCAAGATGAACAGAGTGGATATTCGCCTTTGCATTGATTATCGAAGAGTGAACCAGCTGACGCGTCTGATGGTTTATCCCATGCCGTTGATCAGCGATCTGTTGGAAGAACTGGATAAAGCTCTATGGTACTGTTCGCTAGACATGGCTAGTGGATTTTGGGTCGTCGAAATGACCGAACGAGCAAAACTGATCTCAGCGTTTGTCACACCGTTTGGCTTGTTCGAGTGGCTGCGAATGCCTTTTGGGCTTAAGAACGCGCCCCAGATCTAGTAACGTCTGGTGGACAATGCGTTGTATGGATATCTCAAGATCGGCCAGAGATCAGCTTCTGATGGCCCGATCGACGTTTTCAAAGATGGAGAACCTGAGACAGATCGACGACCGTCTATACTGGGACGCCGATCTTACATTGACGATATTCTCATACCAGCCGCGTCATGGGGATCTTTGTACACAAAAGCAGAACGGTTGCTGGAGGCATGTTATAAGTGGAATCTGTCTATCAGCCTCACGAAGAGTTTTTGGGGGTGCCGTAAGGTCGATTATTTGGGACATCGAGTGTCGATGGATGGTCTGGAGGCTCAGCCCAAGAACCTAGAGTCGTTGGTTAACATCCCGTTTCCTAGCACGCTACGAGCTATGCAATCCTTTCTCGGGAGCTTGAACTACTACCGTCGCTTCATTGAGGATTTCGCGGTGTATGCCGCGGTGTTGTATGAGTTAAGAGAATCGGATTTCTTCGAGATCGGCCGATCTCAGCTTGCAGCAGGAGACGAATGCTCCAACGAGGGTCGATGGACGGAAGCCAAGGTTGCTTTCACTATGCTAAAAGCTAAGATAGCTACAGCTCCCATGCTCAAGCATTTCGACCCAGATCGGTCCCCCGTAATCGTGGTCTACGCTAGCAAGTGGGCTGTCTCAGCGGCCCTGATACAGGAGTACGATGGCGTGTACCATGCGGTGACATTTACTAGCCGCACTTTAAAGCCTAATGAGCTTAACTACGGAACGGTAGAAAAAGAAGTGCTGGCGCTACTTCGTGTGTTGGATGTATGCTATGCTACGCTTGCCTCGCGGGAGATCACTGTACTGACCCGACATTCTACGTTAGCCTGGTTGATGCAGTCTGGAGGGCTCAACGGGAGATTAGGACGGTGGGCTGCTTTGTTGTCAAATTGGACTATGGAGGTGAAGAAATGTGAAAGAGGAGAGGAAGAGATCCTGGGCATGTTAGCAGCGAGTATCACTCCGAGAGGAGAAGTGGAAGAGATGCTGATTGCGATCTCCCCACGAAAAAACTGTCGACTCAAAATATCGATGCCTCCTCCAACGGTGGAAGCAGATGAGGAGTTGCTGGTAGCCAGTTTCGATGGATCGGCTAGGATAAAAAAGAAAGGAGGGTCGTTCAGTGCCGTGATATGGAAGTTACCCGAATGGACGATCGTGGCGGCCGAATCGAGATATGTTCACGATCTGACTGTGAACGAAGCTGAGTATAATGGCTTGCTACTGTGCTTTGAGTTACTCGCCGGTCTGGATAGGGGGCGAGTAATACTGTGTGGAGATTCCAGTCTGGTGATTCGACAGATGCGCGGTGAGATCGACTGCAAGGCACCGGGCCTTCAGCTTCTGAGACACAAAGCGTTGGAGAAGCTGCAGTCATGGCCTAGTCACGAGTTTCTGCATATGAAGCGAGATTGGAATCAGAACGCAGATCGACTAGCCAGCACAGTATTGCAGAGCGAAAAGGGAAGAACGGTTGTAGCTGAAGAGGATCGGCAAGATCTGATGACTCTGAACTGTCTCGATGAATTGTTGAAGCCCAAGCAAGATGGTCAGCTAGCTCGGGTAACTGCGATCGCGAGATCAGCCAGGAGGATACGTCATGGACCTGAAGTTATACAGGAGGAGATAGTACAGAGGATCAGGATTCGACGAATTGTCCAAGCTCAAGATGAGGAGCGTTGGATTGTCAATCTCAAGACATATCTAAGTGGCGATGTATCAAACTTGGATGCGGTAGAAGTGAAGACGTGCGCCAAACTGGCGCCGGAATACGAAATCGATGAGAACAATCTGCTATTTTTTTGCCCCATGGCGAAAAGAGAGTCGGAAGATCGCGATGGTTTGATGCGGTTGGTGATACCTGAGACGTTGCAGCAGGATTTTTTGCATCACTATCACACGAGTCTGGAAGGAGGCCATCAGGGTACTGGCCGAACCTATCAGAGGATCAGATCGCGATTTCATTGGAGAGGACTGTGTCGGAGAGTTCAACGATATGTGGGCGAATGTACCGACTGTGATACCGGGAAAGGAAACCCGATGATTCATGGGAAATCCCCGGGCAATCTACACGCAACCTATCCATTCCAGATCATCGCCATGGATCATATACCGTCGTTGCCCAAGTCCATCAAGGGGAACACCGAACTGCTCATTTAGGTCGATCTTTTCTCGGGATATGTGATTGCAAAGGCTAGCTCCTCTCGGACGGCACAAACAATAGCGGAGAATTACGAAGAATGTGTGTTTCGACGCTTCGGAGCTAGCGAGGCTATCAGGCACGATCGAGAACCGGTATTTATGTCCGACTTCTTTCGAGCCTTCAGTCGGATCGTAGGACAAAAACAGCGTGCTACTATGGCTTACAGGCCACAAGCAAATGGAACAGCCGAACGAGTGGTGCAAACCCTGACACATTCGCTCAAGATGTACGTGGATGAAGTTGACCAGCGAGACTGGGATGAGTATGCTGAGCGGCTCACATTTTCCATTAACACTGCACAAGATCGGATCCGGGTGGATACCCCATTTTATCTGATTCATGGGTGGGACCCGCGATCGACTTTGGAGGCTACGCTACCAGTGGGAAATACGGGGACACGAGATCGCGATCCAAAGAGGTGGAGATACAAAATCCAAAGACAATACCAGCGAGCCCGATCTGCAGTGAACGATCGTTTACAAGCCGCGATCCAGGAGCGAGCGGATCGACACAACGAACCACACGAGATCGAAGTAGGAGCGCAAGTTTGGCTATACCTGGACCGAGTTTAAGAGGGATATGCGAAGAAGCTAGCACACATGTGGCATGGGCCATTCCGAGTTGCGGACGTATGTGGAGATCATGCTGTAAAATTGGAGATTGCTGGAACCCCATATCGGTTATTTCCGATTGTACATATATCGAAGCTAAAAAAGGTAAAGACGTTCCCTGAACGCCCGAAGGATCAGCTTACGATAGACGAAGCAGATCGCTTGGATTTCGATGAAGCTCTGCTGCCGGAAGACAGTTGGGATGGCGATCTTGAAGAAGGGGAATACGAAGTGGAGGCAATATTGGACGTGCGATCTGGTAGAAAAACCCGTTATGGGCGAGTACACCGGCAGTTTCTGGTGAAGTGGAAGGGATATCCCGATCTAAGTTGGGTGGACGAGGCCGATCTACGTTGTGGGGCGATCTTGCAAGAGTTTGAGCGGAACCGAGTGAGTCGAAACCGTTTCGACGTAATGCAGTCTCATGAAGGCAAGCCGGACGAACCTTAACAGTTCGAACAAGTATGCGGGAGGTAGCATATGCGGATGTAGGGGTTGAAAGATGTGCTAGACGGTAGCACATGCTGGTGGATGAGGTTTTGTATGTGAGTATGGAGATAGTCAAGTGAATTACCTTCCTGAATGATGTGGAGCGATGAGGATCGAGATCGTGGAAGTTGCAAAGAATAGAAGTACCAAAAAAGAAGATGATTGAATGGCTTACACGATTATGAAAGACGATCGGGCTTGGATATCGATCTTGGACTAAGACGATGGAGCAGGTTTGAGCTTGTCCTGAAGACGAGGGATCTGCAATCCGGGATGATCCCAATAGGCGTTACGGAACTGGTTGCGCCAAGGATCCTCTTGGTCTGCCATGTCCAACGCCTCTAGCAAGTCAGCTGGGTCGTTAGAGGTGTCCTAACCCTGGATACCAAACTCGGTCTTCATGTGGGCGCGGATAGTGGAGGAAGAAGGGATCTAGCAAGATATCGAGATCACAGTGGCCAGCGATCGTGCCGCTGAGTATCATCTTCAAGAAGTTCTTCCAACGCGCTCCAAAGCGAGAACGGCGTTGTTTTCGTTGGCGCCAGAATGTCTGCATGAACTGTTCAGATCGCCTTTGAGCCGGAGGAATCGGGAAAGCATGAGTAGATTCCCACAGAGCTTGTCGATGAGTGGACTCAAGCTCCAGGTACCGAAGACCCATATCACGATACCATCCAGTCATGGTGAATGATATCGGGTTCACTGGGACTATGATATTATCCCAAGGGGCTAAAGCGTAAAGAGCCTCGATGTGTTGCCGCGAGATCAGCCCAGAAGCCCAAGTCCCCGTAGGCGGAGCTCGTCCATGATTGTAGAAGGGAAACAGAAAATTCCCTGGGTTTGGAGTAGTGGTGAAACAACAGCTCAATGGTCATGGTCCTCACGCAAACCATCGCGATCCGCGAAACGGACCATGGAGCGATCTCGGAAGCTACCCGTCGGGAGGGCGCCAGATAGTTGGGAATCCACCGATCCCGTGGTTGCTGGAGTGGCGGAAGATTGTCGAAGTCCACGGAAGAGAAAACTCTGTTAGCCACTTGGCGTGCCGGAAGGGTGATGCTGTTTTCGCTATCGGACGAATGGCGATCCGAAAGCGCAGTGGACTCCGGAGGCGGACTAACAGAGCCAGTCTCGCTGTGTGTCTCCCCTATCGGCGATACCTCCACGTCTTCTACGCCGCCATTATCTTGAATTTCGACTACGGGGACAGCCGCGACCGGAGTGGATGGGTACGAAAGATAACGAGGCTCCGGGACGTCTGGAGAAGGCGAACGCAACAGTGCTTGAGCCAACGCAGTAGCTGCGGGAGAAGCGGGAACAACCCGAGCGGCCGGAGAGGGGTTCGGGGTCGAAGATCGGGCATCCGATCTAGGTTGACGACGAGAGGCCGATCTCGATTGGGATAATGCAGCACGAGTCAAATCATCCGAGCTAGAATCCGACTCGGTCAGCTCCTCACTTCCCGATCCAGTCCCAGAAGCCGCGGACGAAAGCGGAGAACAAGAAGAATTGGGTGGAGGCTCGGGTGGGGCCAATCCGGGAAGTTTGTTTAAAGGCATTGAAGGGTTCAACGACAATAGCCGGGAAGCCACACGTGCGGTGGAAGAATCACTGGATTGTGACCTTGGTTGGATACGCCGACGCTTGGCAGGCGGGCCGGACGATCTCGATCTGGACCTACGGGCAAGCGATCTCGATCCCGGGGTAGTGGGAGCAGGGGGCGATCCGACCGGAGTAGCACTCGTAGGCGTCGATCGAGCGATCAACGCAGACGACCGGATCCGAGTATAGCACTGTTCAGTGTGTCGAGGAGAGCTCGGTGTTCAGCTATAGCCTGATCCCTATCATGCTCCACCACCTGCAACTGGTCGTATATCTCGAGGTGTTCCGCAAGCTGACGACGTAGGTTGGCGTTCTCCGCCTGCGAAAGTGCCAACTGACCCTCTAGGGGAGTCAAACCATCCACTTGTTGCATGAGATCGCTGATCGAAGACAGTCCATCTGCGATCTCCTCCTGAGACTGAGCCAATTGCTCCTTCAAGTGCAAAAAATCTATGTGGAGGAAGGATTTGTCCATGGTCAGCTGATCACGCTGCTGTCGGAGAGAGTTGAGTTCGGCTTGGAGCGAATGAAGCTGAGTCCTCAAAGCATCCACCTGTCGTTCCAAGTTCCCCTGAGCCTCGTCGTTGGCACATATTAAAGTGCGTAGCCGACGAATCTCCTCCGATTGATCTCGATATGTCCGCAGAGCTCGATGGCAATCACTTAAAGAATGCACTGCGTCGACGTAGCGGCCCTGCATCCAGTCATATCGAAGCTGGACGAAGGAGACAAAAGGAGCGGCTGATCTGTATAGCGAATCAAGCTCGTCTTGTAAGCGATCCCCCCGGACGACGGCATATCAGTAGGATTGCTGGAGCGCATAAATGGTGTCGGCTTGGCTGCAGAAGGTAGCCTCTCAATCCCACAAATACGAGATCGTGGCCATCGTGAGACGAACGTCGTCAGCAGAGACTCTGGGAACGAAGTCGGTGACGCCCACAGCTGGAGCAGACCTTTCACGAGATTCATTAGCGGCCTGGATGTCGGATCTGGACGCATCTGGGGCCGCCGGAGGAGTGGGAAGCGGGAATGGCTCGGAGGAATGATCTGATAATTCCGCGGCGGTCGAGAGTGATCCGACCGATCTGGGATTACTGAGAGACTCATGTTGGTCTGGGACGATAGGAGCATACCACCCGCGATCTGGCGATCTAGATGGCGAGTCTCGGGATGGAGACGAGGGTCTGGTCGGCTGTCGATCTGGCGATCCTGTGGGGATTGTGGGCAATCCGGTTGGGCCTAGATGGCGCGGAGACCCAGGCCGATCGGGGACCGCTGGGGTGTGTCCTCCGAGATCGGGCGATCCGGGCGACATGTCGCGATCCGGAGACAGAAACATGGTGGGTCCTTCTGATGAGATCAGCGAGGCCAGTGGATGCGTCGGAGAGGCCATGAGACGGACTTGAGTGCTTGGAACGAAGTTGATGAGTGACTGTACTGAGGTCAATTGCTGTACAAAAGACTTCAGTACAGGGGGCGGTTGTGGCAAAGTCACTACTCAAATTTTGTACGAGGATCGGTGGCCACACCTTTAAAGCGCCGCTTACTGGTGGAAAAGGAGGCCATGAGACTCGGTGATCCAATACGGAGGTGGAAGATGATCTTAACGGGATCGGCGAACCGATCCAACTGTCGTTAGACTAATGAGTATGAATCGACCTGGTACGGAGCGATCTGGAACGATTTACATGGAACAATCTGGGACAAGGATCTGGGACCGGGTGATGGGATAGGACTCTGCGACGAAGGTGTAACATCTTGCAGAATGTTATGGGGCGATCTGGAACCAGACGTCGGGGTGAAGTCATACAGCTCATTGGAATGCCGGTCAAGAAGAAGTATACGTACATTGAAGCAGGCTAAGATCAGATCGCAGATCGACATGTTGTGGCAACGGTTTGTTGGAGAATTGACACATCTGGGACAAGGTGACTCCCCAAGGGCATCTGGGACCAGGTGGTACGGGTCGGTGAATCGGCAAAGAAGGTGCGACATCATACGGATCGGTGATACTCTACTGATCCTAAATTGGGAGTACTGATTTTGGTTAATTATACACCGATCTGGAAGTTTTTGCATACTCAGAAGAGTCAAGGAAACCGATGTCGAGATGTATGAATGAAGTTGTCGATTGGATAACACTGGAGGATGATATTGAAGCACGTATGAGGAGATAAAAAGTGCTAATTGCCCATTTGGACCGGATCGACCTCCAACATCTCGATATTGGATGACAGATCGGTCATGTTCCACACTAATCATGAATATATGGTTGATGAAGATACTGGATCATGTGGAATATACTTGATAGAGGTCACTAAGTGATGTCAAGAAGTTTCATGCCGAAAGAGCCAGTGGAAGCTGTCCGAATTGACGTCGCAAAATGGATTTAGACGCCTTCGGCATTTGGGCACTATTTTGGGAACTTGGGTGCCAAGAATGGGTATTTGGTACCATATAGGAGATTTTGGTCCATTTGGTGCTCTAGGTACGATATCGGGGATATTGGCGCTATCATTGGAGTACAGGGCACGAAATTTCGACACGTGGCAAGGAGGCGATCCTGATTCAAGGCGATATCGGTTTGAAGAGTGACCTATAGTTAAGAATAGGCTTAAGGGTAGGTTGGATAGTAATTTGGTTGGTTAATAAACAGACTTGAACTCTACTTCTTCTGCTCACGACGCACGTTATCCTCCCCTCTTCTCCAGGCAAGATTGATTTGGCTTCCCCGGCGGGTTAAGGCACGCGTGTTAAAGGGACACAGAAGACCGATCTTGGATTGTTGGCCAAGATCGAGAAGAGCGATCCCGGGATATCTGGCCCGGATCGATCAAGTACTCACACTCAACTCAACTGCTAGGGTAGCAGCACACAAGGAAAAGGAAAAGGATTTTGGACACAGGATCGCGAGACGGCTCAAGTGGTCAGAAGATCTGGACAAGGCGTTCAAGACAAGACCGAGCAGGATCGAAGCGATCCCCTGGACAGATCGGCACGTTTCATTTTGGCGAAACAAGACACCGATCTACCCAAATTGCGCACTTCCGGCAAGATCGGCCGATCCCAAGACCAGATCGGACCGATCCCAAGGCAAGATCGACGCAAGACTTTTATTTGCTGAGTGAAGATTTCCGCACAGCAAAGACCCCGATCTCGAGGACAAATCAAGATCGGTGCGATCCAAGATCGGGATCGCAGAACCCCCGTTCGTGGTGTGAAGATTTCCGCACCGGAAGCGAACCCTCAACCCAACCTCTCGGCGAGATCGACATCTTTCAAGGCCGTTACGAAGAGCTCAAGCCAGCCCAACCGACGGGTACACAAGGTGAGCACAAGGTCATACAACAAGGCACGGATCGGAGTACCCCCTCCGTGAGTCGGCAAGTCTGGGCAGGTGGAAGATCGACACTCATAAAAGCAATTTTGTGAGATCGACTTCACCACACTGCCGTCAAGTCCTTGTGACGCGGTCCTGGCAGTCCCTTCGTCACGATGTCCGCCGACATAGTCGTAGTCTCACAGTACTCCAAATTGACATCACCACGCTTGACTTCATCACGAATGTGATGGTACTTGATGTCGATGTGCTTGGCCCGACCATGGTTCACAGGATTGTTCGTCATCTTGATGCACGTTTGGTTGTCTTCCATGATCTTGAGCTCGGGTCCAGACTTGTCCTCTGCGGCATCCAGAATCTCGCACAGCAATCGATGCACCCACTTGCCTTCTTGAATCGCCAGACTTAGTGCAATGTACTCAGCTTCACTTGTTGACAGCGACACACTTGACTGCTTTTTGCTTCCCCAGCTCACCGGAGCACCCATCAGGGTAAACGCATATCCTGAAGTCGACTTGCGGTCTGCATGGTCGCCGGCCCAGTCTGCATCCGAGTAGCCACAGAAGTTTATCTTGTCATCAGGCTTGAAACAGATACCGTGCGACTTAGTCCCTTGTAAGTATCGCAAAATGCGCTTGACCGCCATCCAATGCTCGACTTGGGGGTTCTCCATGAAGCGCGAAACGTAACTCACAGCAAAGGCAATGTCCGGTCGTGTCGCGGTCATCAAGTGCATCAAAGCGCCTACTGCTTCACGAAACGGGGCGTCGATTTTAGTTGCTGCGGTACTTGGTATGAGTCGAGAACTGATGTCTGTTGGGCTGGTGACGGCTTTGCAGTCGCTCATGCCAAAACGCTTGAGAACATCTTCCACGTAGCGTCGCTGGCACATCGTCACGCTACCGTTGTCGTTGTCCACCAGCTCGATGCCCAACACGAATGCGCACTTCCCACTGTCGGTCATTTCGAAACGCGCCTTTAAGTGACTCTTAATGCGCATAATCAGTTCGGTTGAGCTGCCAGTCACCAACAAACCATCGACGGATTGTTGATTGGTGAAATGCTTGACGACCGAAACTGGGAGGGATGCTGGGAGTCCACTTGGAAGACCGGAGAAGACACTTGGGGGTAGATGGAAGATTGGAAAGTGATTGATTATCGGGCTTACTACTTACTACATGATTTATATGTGGTGCACATATAAATCATGTGAAGCGTCTCATCATCCTACGCGTCTAATCAACTATGGTAATTACCGTAAGAACTACGTCGTAAATACTAAGCTGAACAGGCGGTTCGGATTGGACCAGTCACGGTTACCAATACTGGTAGAAACCGATGACCGTCAACACGCCCCCTCAATCCGAACTCGCACGAATGCCGAGAGCCGTCGTCAAGTACTTGTGGCGAGGTCCCGAAAGTCCCTTGGTCATGATGTCCGCCATCATCACGGAAGTCTCGCAATACTCGAGCTGCACTTCACCGCGCTTGACCTCATCACGGATGTGATGGTACTTGATGTCAATGTGCTTGGCGCGGCCATGATTCACCTGATTCTTCGTCATCTTAAAGCACGAATGGTTGTCTTCACGGATGACGAGGTCCGGTCCTGGTTCGTTTACGGCCGCCAAAATCTCGCATAGCAATCGATGCACCCACTTGCCTTCCTAATTGGCCAGACTCAGTGCGATGTATTCCGCTTCACTCGTCGACAGCGACACACTTGACTGCTTCTTGCTTCCCCAACTCACAGGAGCACCCATCAGCATGAAAGTGTAACCCGAAGTCGACTTGCGATCAGCGTGGTCGCCGGCCCAGTCCGCGTCCGAGTAGCCACGAAAGTCGATCTTGTCGCTTGGCTGGAAGCGGAGTCCGTGCGACTTGGTCCCTTGCAAGTAACGAAAGATGCGCTTCACCGCCGTCCAATGTTCTTGCTGCGGATTCTCCATGAAGCGCGAGACGTACCCCACAGCATACGTAATGTCCGGGCGCGTCGCAGTCGTCAAGTGCATCAAAGCTCCCACAGCTCGGAACGTCGATCTTGGCCGCTTCGCTGCTTGCGACAAGCCGAGTGCTCAAGTCGACCGGACTTGCTGTGGCCTTGCACTCATCCATGCCGAAGCGCTTGAGGATGTCGTTGACATACCGTCGCTGGCACATCGCCACGCTGCCATCCGATTCGTCCACCAGTTCGATGCCCAGTACAAAAGTACACTTGCCACTGTCGGTCATCTCGAAACGCGTCTTGAGGTCGGCCTTCGTCTGCGCAATCAACTCGAGCGAGCTGCCGGTGACCAACACGTCATCCACGTAGACCAGCACGAGCACACAGTGACCGTCGAAAACCTTGATGTAGAGACATGGGTCGAACGCCGACGCTTCGAAACCGATAGAGCATACGAACTCGTCGAAAGTCTCGTTCCCCACACGTGAAGCTTGCTTGAGACCGTAGATCGCCTTCACCAACTCGAGACAGTCGAAGTCGCCATCCATCTCGACGCCTTCTGGTATCACGCAGTACACCTTCTCCTTCATCACTCCGTAGAGAAAGACTGTCACCACATCGAGTTGGTCCAGTGGACAGTCGAAATACTTGGTGATCGCGATCACCATACGCAGTGTCACGTACTTGACCACGGGCGAGAACATCTCTGTGTAGTCGATGCCGTACTTCTGCTTGAAGCCATTGGCAACGAGACGCGCCTTGTATTTCTCGACCGATCCATCCGCTTTGCGCTTGATCTTGAACACCCACTTGGTGCCGATCGCGCCTTGACCTCTTGGCAGTTTTGCCGCACGGAAAACTCCACGACGATGCATCTACTTGAGTTCCGCCTTCACAGCATTTCGCCAGTGAGCTTGCTCAGGACTATTGATCGCGTCTTGAAAAGTCACAGGATCTGCTAGGTCAGTTGCTTCCACTGCGTTTGCACTTGCACGCCAAAATGTTGGAGGCATCGAGTCGTCATCTTGATCGTAGACGCTTGCATCTTCTTCGTCATCAGACATCGTTTCTGGAGCACTTGATCGTCGTTTCTGGTGACGGTTGAGACGTGTGCCGGCGCACTTGCTTGTTCCAACCCAGTTCGAGGGCGAGCTGAACGTGACATGCCGGGTCTTGCTTCACTCTTGCACTTGCCAGTCTGCTTGTAGACGGTTTGACGCACGTCGTCCTCGTTGATCGCCAGGAGGTCGAGGTCCAACTCCGCATCTTCATCATCGTCACTTGGTCGGTCCATCGAAAAGTCAAAAGTCGATTCGTCGAAGGTGATGTCACGACTGATCACCACTTGGTCCGCCTCAATGTCGTACACTCGATAAGCTTTTGACGCTTCTTCGTAGCCCATGAACACCCCTTCACGAGCCTTCGGGTCCCACTTCAATCGCTTCTCCCTTGGTTTCAGGATAAGCGCCCGACATCCAAACACGCGCATGTGCTTGACACTTGGTTTCGACTTGTACACGATCTCGAACGGAGTCTTGTGGTCGATCTTGGGTGAAGGCAGGCGGTTCTTGATGTAGATCGCCGTCATTGCCACTTCAGCCCAGAAACACTTCTCCAGCTTTGCATGATGCAACAAGCTGCGTCCGATCGTGACGATGGTCCTTATCGCGCGTTCTGCGGTGCCGTTGGTCTGGTGTGCATACGGCACCGTGACCTGTTGTTCGATACCATGATCTTCGTAGAAGGTCTTGATCGAGTTGGTCGCAAACTCATGCGCTCCATCGTGCCGAACAAACTTGATTTTCGTGCCGAACTGAGTCTGAATCTTGATAATGTGGTTCTTGATACAGACTTCACTCTCAGACTTGGACCGCAGACAGAAGCCCTTCATGCAACCGCTGGCTTCGTCAACCACAAAAGTAGCTGCTGCCGCCGATCGAGACTTGTTCCATTGGCCCGCAGATGTTGAACTGCAGCAACTCGAACACACCATATTGGCGTTTGTCACGGTTGGTTGGGAATGGTCTTTGGACCATCCTTCCTTGCTGGCAACCGCGACACACACTTGGACCAGTCGAGTTGAGAGGTGCCTTGGCGTCCTTGATCATGCCGGTGGCCACCATCTTGCGCAGAACTTCGAGAGGTGCATGACCCATGCGCGCATGCAAGTCGATAGTCCCATTGCGTGTTGCTGCATTCGCCGATCGTTGAGGAGTCCGCAGCCAGTAAAGTCCATCGACGAGATCCGCTGTTGCCACGACTTGTGTGGAATTCTTGCGCTTCACTTGCATCTTGGACCCGTCGAACACGACTTGGAACCTGCCACCCTTGTTGATCTGTGGCACCGAAAGCAGATTCTTGCTCATACTTGGTACGAACAGTGCGTCCTTGATCTCGATGTCGCGTTGGTCACCATTGGGCAGAACCACCCGTTTCATGATGGTTCCCACACCCTTGATCGCAGCCTTGCTGCCATCAGCCACTGATAGTTCGCCTTCCTCTCGCTCATTCAGACTTGCAAACTTGGCCTTGTCGTTGCAGATGTGATGCGTCGCACCGCTGTCGACTGCCCACATCCCTGGCATATTCTTGCCCGTCAAAAGTCCAGCCTCCAGCGAAACCGCGAACGCAACTCGATCGTAGTTGTCGTCGTTGTTGTTGTTGGTTCGCCACTGAACGTTGTTGGCTCCGCGTCCACGAGCATTGTTGCCGCCGCGTCGAGCTCCACCTTGATTTTCACCTTCTGCTTGGTCCAGCACCGCTCCGCCGTGTGCCCCAATTTTCCGCAGTATGTACACTGGCGAGGTTCACGCTCGGTACTGAACGCCTTCGCCGTGTCTTCAGTCTTCACCGATGTCGTCTTGTCACCTTGCGTCTTGATGTGCTCATTCGTGAGTACTATCACGACGTCTCGCGATCGCAGTTCCGCGCTGCTCATCTCCAAGTTGAGAACGACGTTCTCGTAGCTCTTGGGAGGCTGCGCAACAAGCAGATCGCAACGTCCTCGTCCTCCATCTCGGCGCCGATGCTGCTGAGCTTCGCGCTGATGTTGAGGACCTCATTGCAATGATGCAGCATATTGCCGCCTTCCGCCATCTCCATGCTGAACAGCTGGCGCTTCAAGTAGATGCGTCCAGCCTTCTGCGACCCGCCGTACAGCGTCTTCAAACGCGCCCACGTGACCCACGCCTCTTCACAGTCATCAACCACGTGATAATAATCTGCGCTCATGTGTAGCAGCATCAAGCCGAACGCAATGTTGTTGGTCTTGACGTAGTTGTCACTGGCGCGAGGATCGGTGAAGGTTGGCGACGTCTCCCGGTTCACCACGTGCCACGCCGACTTGGTCAGGAACACGCCACGCATGTAGCGGCTCCACGTCGCGTAGTTGTCGCCGTCGAACTTGTCAATGGAGATCTTGGTGGTGGCATCATGAGCAGAGGACATCGTGCTTGGGCTCATAACCTGTTGATGGGGTGAAAAGCTTGACGACCGAAACTGGGAGTGATGCTGGGAGTCCACTCGGAAGACCGGAGAAGACACTTGGGGGGTAGATGGAAGATTGGAAAGTGATTGATTATCGGGGCTTACTACTTACTACATGATTTATATGTGGTGTACATGTAAATCATGTGAAGCGTCTCATCATCCTACGCGTCTAATCAACTATGGTAATTACCGTAAGAACTACGTCGTAAATACTAAGCTGAACAGGCGGTTCGGATTGAACCGGTCACGGTTACCAATACTGGTGGAAACCGATGACCGTCAACACGTATACCAGCAAAAGCACGCACTCGCCACTTGTAATCTTTAGATAAAGACACGGGTCAAAATCGGAGACTTGAAATCCACTGGAGCAGACGAACTCATAGAAAGTCTCGTTCCATACGCGCGATGCTTGTTTTAGTCCGTAGATCGCCTTCACCAATTCGAAGCAGTCAAAGTCTTCATCAACTTCGACTCCTTCTGGGATCGCGCAGAATACCTTTTCCTTCATTTCTCCGTAAAGGAAAGCTGTCACCACGTCCAGTTGGTCCAGTGTCCAGTCAAAGTACTTCGTGATTGCAACTACCATGCGCAGCGTCACGTACTTGACTACCGGCGAAAACGTTTCCGTGTAGTCGATGCCATATTGCTGCTTGAACCCTTTTGCCACGAGACGCGCCTTGTATTTCTCGATGGCTCCATCAGCTTTCCGCTTGATCTTGAATACCCACTTGGTGCCAATGGTATGCTGTTCAACTAGCAGTTTGGTCGCTCGAAACACCCCACGAAGTTTTATCGAGTCCAACTCAGCACAGATTGCTTCACACTAATTCACTTGATCCGGTCCACCAACAGCATCTTCAAACGTTGTCGGCTCAGACAAGTCAGTACCTTCGACTGCATTGGCACTCGCTCGCCAAAAGACTTGAGGTGTAGCATCCTCGTTACCTTCGTCACTGCCCTTTTACTCTTCGTCCAGATTGTCTCGAGCGCTTGATCGTCGCTTCGCTTGGTGCGATTCAGAGTCATCCGGGGCACTTGCTTCTTCTAACCCGGTTCCACGACGCTCAAGAAGTGTCTGTTGTAGAACTTGTTCTTGACTGTTTGAACGGCTTTTGCGTTTTCCAGTTTGCTTGAACTGCATGGGGTGAGGCTGATGTTCATCGATTCGATATCCAGCGCAGTGTCATCAACAATTTCTTGTGGTAGCATCGGCGAGAAACCAAGCGTTGATTCGTCGAATGTGACATCGCGAGATATCACCACTTGGTCCGCTTCAATGTCGTAAACTCGATATGCCTTTGACACTTCTTCGTACCCCATGAATAGTCCTTCACGAGCCTTCGGATCCCATTTCGATTTCTTTTCCTTAGGGGTCAGCACAAACGTTCGGCAGCCGAAAACCCGCATGTGCTTCACACTTGGTCGGAATCCGTCGACGATCTCGAATGGGGTTCGATCTTGGCACTTGGGTGACGGTAGGCGATTCTTGATGTAAATCGCAGCCATTGCCGCTTCACCCCAGAAACACTTGTTCAGCTTGGCGTAGTGAAGCATGCTGCGCCTGATCGTCACAATGGTCCGAACTGCCCGTTCCGCCGTGCCGTTGGTCTGATGCGCATACGGAACGGTAACTTGCTGCTCGATTCCTTGATCATCGTAAAATGCCTTGAGCGAATTCGCCGCAAATTCTCGTGCACCATCGTGTCGAACGAACTTGACCTTGTAGTCAAACTGCGTCTGTACTGCCATGATGTACTTCTTGATGCACTCTTCGCTGTCGGACTTGGCGCGCAGACTGAAACCCTTCATACATCCGCTGCCTTCATCGACGATCAGTAGCAAGTACTTGCTTCCACCTAGCGAGTCGACTTCCATTGGACCACAAGTGTCGATGTGTAGAAGCTCAAACGGATCGTAGTGGCGCTTGTTTGGATTGCTCGGGAACGGTCGTTGAACCATTTTTCCTTCTAGACAACCTTGACACACGCTTGATCCGCTCAATTTTGCTGGCTTCTTGGCATCCTTGATCATGCCCTTGGAGACCGTTCTGCACAAGACATCAATCGGTGCGTGGCCCATACGCGCATGAAGGTTTTCGACTCTTGTTCCTGAAGCCGCATTCACCGATCGCTGGGATGTACGAAGCCAGTAGAGGCCATCCACAAGATCGGCCATCGCTATTACTTGCTTGGAGCCTTTGTGCGAAACCTTCATCTCGCCACCATCAAACACCACTTGAAACTTGCCGCTTTTGTTGATTTGTGGTATCGAAAGCAAGTTTTTGTTCATGCTTGGGACGTAAAGCGCGTTCTTGATCTCGACTTCGCGCTCTTCACCGTTGGACAGGGTCACCTTTTCGATAATTGTCCCGACACCGTTGATCGCAGCCTTGTTCCCATCTGCAACCAACACTTCGCCTTCATTGCGCTCGTCCAGAAATTCGAATTGGACTTGTCATAGTAGATGTGATGTGTTGCACCGCTGTCAATCGCCCACATTCCAGACATGCTCTTGGTCGTTGAAAGTCCGCATTCCAGCGAAACAGCAAACGCCACTCGATCATAGTCACAGTTGCTGTTGCCGTTGTAGCCTTGCCACTGAACTTGATTCGCTCCGCGTCCACGTACATTGCCGCCGCGTCGAGCTCCCCGATTGTCTTCCTTATGCTTGATCCAGCACTTTTCCACCGTGTGCCCCAATTTTCCGCAGAACGTACACTGACGAACCTCACGCTCGGTACTGAAGGCCTTGGTCGCTTCTTCAGTTTTCACCGATGTCGTCTTTTTCCCTTGTCTCTTGACGTGCTCATTCGTCAGCACTTTCACGACGTCTTGCGTCCGCAGTTCCGCGCTGCTCATCTCCAAGTTCAGCACAACTTTCTCGTAGCTCTTGGGGAGGCTGCACAACAAGCAGATCGCCACGTCCTCATCCTCCATCTTGGCGCCGATGCTGCTGAGCTTCGCGCTGATGTTGAGAACTTCATTGCAATGATGCATCACATTGCCGCCTTCCGCCATCTCCATGCTGAACAGCTGCCGCTTCAAGAAGATCCGTCCCGCCTTCTGCGATCCGCCGTAGAGAGTCTTCAACCGTGTCCACGCAACCCATGCCTCGTCGCAGTCATCAACCACGTGATGATAGTCCGTGCTCATGTGAAGTAACATCAAGCCGAACGCAATGTTGTTCGTCTTGACGTACTCATCACTGGCGCGAGGATCGGCGAAGGTGGGGGTGGTCTCCTGGTTGACCACGTGCCACGTCGACTTGGTCAGGAACACGCCACGCATGTAGCAGCTCCACGTCGCGTAGTTGTCGCCGTCGAACGTGTCAATGGAGATCTTGGTGGTGGCATCATGAGCAGAGGACATCGTGCTTGGGCTCAGAACCTGGTAATAGGTGTGAAGCTTGACGACCGAAACTGGGAGTGATGCTGGGAGTCCACTCGGAAGACCGGAGAAGACACTTGGGGGGTAGATGGAAGATTGGAAAGTGATTGATTATCGGGGCTTACTACTTACTACATGATTTATATGTGGTGCACATATAAATAATGTGAAGCGTCTCATCATCCTACGCGTCTAATCAACTATGGTAATTACCGTAAGAACTACGTCGTAAATACTAAGCTGAACAGGCGGTTCGGATTGGACCGGTCACGGTTACCAATACTGGTAGAAACCGATGACCGTCAACACGCCCCCTCAATCCGAACTCGCACGAATGCCGAGAGCCGTCGTCAAGTCCTTGTGGCGAGGTCCCGAAAGTCCCTTGGTCATGATGTCCGCCATCATCACGGAAGTCTCGCAATACTCGAGCTGCACTTCACCGCGCTTGACCTCATCACGGATGTGATGGTACTTGATGTCAATGTGCTTGGCGCGGCCATGATTCACCGGATTCTTCGTCATCTTGATGCACGACTGGTTGTCTTCACGGATGACGAGGCCCGGTCCTGGTTCGTTTGCGGCCGCCAAAATCTCGCATAGAAATCGATGCACCCACTTGCCTTCCTAATTGGCCAGACTCAGTGCGATGTATTCCGCTTCACTCGTCGACAGCGACACACTTGACTGCTTCTTGCTTCCCTAACTCACAGGAGCACCCATCAGCATGAAAGTGTAACCCGAAGTCGACTTGAGATCAGCGTGGTCGCCGGCCCAGTCCGCGTCCGAGTAGCCACGAAAGTCGATCTTGTCGCTTGGCTGGAAGCGGAGTCCGTGCGACTTGGTCCCTTGCAAGTAACGAAAGATGCGCTTCACCGCCGTCCCATGTTCTTGCTGCGGATTCTCCATGAAGCGCGAGACGTACCCCACAGCATACGCAATGTCCGGGCGCGTCGCAGTCGTCAAGTGCATCAAAGCTCCCACAGCTCGGAACGTCGATCTTGGCTGCTTCGCTGCTTGCGACAAGCCGAGTGCTCAAGTCGACCGGACTTGCTGTGGCCTTGCACTCATCCATGCCGAAGCACTTGAGGATGTCGTTGACATACCGTCGCTGGCACATCGTCACGCTGCCATCCGATTCATCCACCAGTTCGATGCCCAGTACAAAAGTACACTTGCCACTGTCGGTCATCTCGAAACGCGTCTTGAGGTCGGCCTTCGTCTGCGCAATCAACTCGAGCGAGCTGCCGGTGACCAACACGTCATCCACGTAGACCAGCACGAGCACACAATGACCGTCGACAACCTTGATGTAGAGACATGGGTCGAACGCCGACGCTTCGAAACCGATGGAGCATACGAACTCGTCGAAAGTCTCGTTCCACACACGTGAAGCTTGCTTGAGACCGTAGATCGCCTTCACCAACTCGAGACAGTCGAAGTCGCCATCCATCTCGACGCCTTCTGGTATCACGCAGTACACCTTCTCCTTCATCACTCCGTAGAGAAAGGCTGTCACCACATCGAGTTGGTCCAGTGGCCAGTCGAAATACTTGGTGATCGCGATCACCATTCGCAGTGTCACGTACTTGACCACGGGCGAGAACGCCTCTGTGTAGTCGATGCCGTACTTCTGCTTGAAGCCATTGGCAACGAGACGCGCCTTGTATTTCTCGACCGATCCATCCGCTTTGCGCTTGATCTTGAACACCCACTTGGTGCCGATCGCGCCTTGACCTCTTGGCAGTTTTGCCGCACGGAAAACTCCACGAAGGTGCATCGACTTGAGTTCCGCCTTCACAGCATTTCGCCAGTGAGCTTGCTCAGGACCATTGATCGCGTCTTGAAAAGTCACAGGATCTGCTAGGTCCGTTGCTTCCACTGCGTTTGCACTTGCACGCCAAAATGTTGGAGGCGTCGAGTCGTCATCTTGATCGTAGACGCTTGCATCTTCTTCGTCATCAGACATCGTTTTTGGAGCACTTGATCGTCGTTTCTGGTGACGGTTGAGACGTGTGCCGGCGCACTTGCTTGTTCCAACCCAGTTCGAGGGCGAGCTGAACGTGACATGCCGGGTCTTGCTTCACTCTTGCGCTTGCCAGTCTGCTTGTAGACGGTTTGACGCACGTCGTCCTCGTTGATCGCCAGGAGGTCGAGGTCCAACTCCGCATCTTCATCATCGTCACTTGGTCGGTCCATCGAAAAGTCAAAAGTCGATTCGTCGAAGGTGATGTCACGACTGATCACCACTTGGTCCGCCCCAATGTCGTACACTCGATAAGCTTTTGACGCTTCTTCGTAGCCCATGAACACCCCTTCACGAGCCTTCGGGTCCCACTTCAATCGCTTCTCCCTTGGTTTCAGGATAAGCGCCCGACATCCAAACACGCGCATGTGCTTGACACTTGGTTTCGACTTGTACACGATCTCGAACGGAGTCTTGTGGTCGATCTTGGGTGAAGGCAGGCGGTTCTTGATGTAGATCGCCGTCATTGCCGCTTCAGCCCAGAAACACTTCTCCAGCTTTGCATGATGCAACAAGCTGCGTCCGATCGTGACGATGGTCCTTATCGCGCGTTCTGCGGTGCCGTTGGTCTGGTGTGCATACGGCACCGTGACCTGTTGTTCGATACCATGATCTTCGTAGAAGGTCTTGATCGAGTTGGTCGCAAACTCATGCGCTCCATCGTGCCGAACAAACTTGATTTTCGTGCCGAACTGAGTCTGAATCTTGATAATGTGGTTCTTGATACAGACTTCACTCTCAGACTTGGACCGCAGACAGAAGCCCTTCATGCAACCGCTGGCTTCGTCAACCACAAAAGTAGCTGCTGCCGCCGATCGAGACTTGTTCCATTGGCCCGCAGATGTTGAACTGCAGCAACTCGAACACACCATATTGGCGTTTGTCACGGTTGGTTGGGAATGGTCTTTGGACCATCCTTCCTTGCTGGCAACCGCGACACACACTTGGACCAGTCGAGTTGAGAGGTGCCTTGGCGTCCTTGATCATGCCGGTGGCCACCATCTTGCGCAGAACTTCGAGAGGTGCATGACCCATGCGCGCATGCAAGTCGATAGTCCCATTGCGTGTTGCTGCATTCGCCGATCGTTGAGGAGTCCGCAGCCAGTAAAGTCCATCGACGAGATCCGCTGTTGCCACGACTTGTGTGGAATTCTTGCGCTGCACTTGCATCTTGGACCCGTCGAACACGACTTGGAACCTGCCACCCTTGTTGATCTGTGGCACCGAAAGCAGATTCTTGCTCATACTTGGTACGAACAGTGCGTCCTTGATCTCGATGTCGTGTTCGTCACTATGGGGCAGAACCACCCAACCTGCCACCCTTGTTGATCTGTGGCACCGAAAGCAGATTTTTGCTCATGCTTGGTACGAACAGTGCGTCCTTGATCTCGATGTCGTGTTGGTCACCATTGGGCAGAACCACCCGTTCATGATGGTTCTTACACCCTTGATCGCAGCCTTGATGCCATCAGCCACTGATAGTTCGCCTTCCTCTCGCTCATTCAGACTTGCAAACTTGGCCTTGTCGTTGCAGATGTGATGCGTCGCACCGCTGTCGACTGCCCACATCCCTGGCATATTCTTGCCCGTCAAAAGTCCAGCCTCCAGCGAAACCGCGAACGCAACTCGATCGTAGTTGTCGTCGTTGTTGTTGTTGGTTCGCCACTGAACGTTGTTGGCTCCGCGTCCACGAGCATTGTTGCCGCCGCGTCGAGCTCCACCTTGATTTTCACCTTCTGCTTGGTCCAGCACCGCTCCGCCGTGTGCCCCAATTTTCCGCAGTATGTACACTGGCGAGGTTCACGCTCGGTACTGAACGCCTTCGCCGTGTCTTCAGTCTTCACCGATGTCGTCTTGTCACCTTGCGTCTTGATGTGCTCATTCGTGAGTACTATCACGACGTCTCGCGATCGCAGTTCCGCGCTGCTCATCTCCAAGTTGAGAACGACGTTCTCGTAGCTCTTGGGGAGGCTGCACAACAAGCAGATCGCCACGTCCTCGTCCTCCATCTTGGCGCCGATGCTGCTGAGCTTCGCGCTGATGTTGAGGACTTCGTTGCAATGATGCATCACATTGCCGCCTTCCGCCATCTCCATGCTGAACAGCTGACGATTCAAGTAGATGCGTCCAGCCTTCTGCGACCCGCCGTACAGCGTCTTTTCAAACGCGCCCACGTGACCCACGCCTCTTCACAGTCATCGACGATGTGATGGTAGTCTGCGTCCATGTGTAGCAGCATCAAGCCGAACGCAATGTTGTTCGTCTTGACGTAGTTGTCACTGGCGCGAGGATCGGCGAAGGTTGGCGACGTCTCCCGGTTCACCACGTGCCACGCCGACTTGGTCAGGAACACGCCACGCATGTAGCGGCTCCATGTCGCGTAGTTGTCGCCGTCGAACTTGTCAATGGAGATCTTGGTGGTGGCATCATGAGCAGAGGACATCGTGCTTGGGCTCATAACCTGTTGATGGGGTGAAAAGCTTGACGACCGAAACTGGGAGTGATGCTGGGAGTCCACTCGGAAGACCGGAGAAGACACTTGGGGGGTAGATGGAAGATTGGAAAGTGATTGATTATCGGGGCTTACTGCTTACTACATGATTTATATGTGGTGTACATATAAATAATGTGAAGCGTCTCATCATCCTACGCGTCTAATCAACTATGGTAATTACCGTAAGAACTACGTCGTAAATACTAAGCTGAACAGGCGGTTCGGATTGAACCGGTCACGGTTACCAATACTGGTGGAAACCGATGACCGTCAACACGTATACCAGCAAAAGCACGCACTCGCCACTTGTAATCTTTAGATAAAGACACGGGTCAAAATCGGAGACTTGAAATCCACTGGAGCAGACGAACTCATAGAAAGTCTCGTTCCATACGCGCGATGCTTGTTTAGTCCGTAGATCGCCTTCACCAGTTCAAAGCAGTCAAAGTCTTCATCAACTTCGACTCCTTCTGGGATCGCGCAGAATACCTTTTCCTTCATTTCTCCGTAAAGGAAAGCTGTCACCACGTCTAGTTGGTCCAGTGTCCAGTCAAAGTACTTCGTGATTGCAACCACCATGCGCAGCGTCACGTACTTGACTACCGGAGAAAACGTTTCCGTGTAGTTGATGCCATATTTCTGCTCGAACCCTTTTGCCACGAGACGCGCCTTGTATTTCTCGATGGCTCCATCAGCTTTCCGTTGATCTTGAATACCCACTTGGTGCCAATGGTAGGCTGTTCAACTAGCAGTTTGGTCGCTCGAAACACCCCACGAAGTTTTATCGAGTCCAACTCAGCACAGATTGCTTCACACTAATTCACTTGATCCGGTCCACCAACAGCATCTTCAAACGTTGTCGGCTCAGACAAGTCAGTACCTTCGACTGCATTGGCACTCGCTCGCCAAAAGACTTGAGGTGTAGCATCCTCGTTACCTTCGTCACTGCCCTTTTGCTCTTCGTCCAGATTGTCTCGAGCGCTTGATCGTCGCTTCGCTTGGTGCGATTCAGAGTCATCCGGGGGACTTGCTTCTTCTAACCCGGTTCCACGACGCTCAAGAAGTGTCTGTTGTAGAACTTGTTCTTGACTGTTTGAACGGCTTTTGCGTTTTCCAGTTTGCTTGAATTGCATGGGGTGAGGCTGATCGCTGATGTTCATCGATTCGATATCCAGCGCAGTGTCATCAACAATTTCTTGTGGTAGCATCGGCGAGAAACCAAGCGTTGATTCGTCGAATGTGACATTGCGAGATATCACCACTTGGTCCGCTTCAATGTCGTAAACTCGATATGCCTTTGACACTTCTTCGTACCCCATGAATAGTCCTTCACGAGCCTTCGGATCCCATTTCGATTTCTTTTCCTTAGGGGTCAGCACAAACGTTCGGCAGCCGAAAACCCGCATGTGCTTCACACTTGGTCGGAATCCGTTGACGATCTCGAATGGGGTTCGATCTTGGCACTTGGGCGATGGTAGGCGATTCTTGATGTAGATCGCCGTCATTGCTGCTTCAGCCCAAAAACACTTGTCCAGCTTGGCGTAGTGAAGCATGCTGCGCCTGATCGTCACAATGGTCCGAACTGCCCGTTCCGCCGTGCCGTTGGTCTGATGCGCATACGGAACGGTAACTTGCTGCTCGATTCCTTGATCATCGTAAAATGCCTTGAGCGAATTCGCCGCAAATTCTCGTGCACCATCGTGTCGAACGAACTTGACCTTGTAGTCAAACTGCGTCTGTACTGCCATGATGTACTTCTTGATGCACTCTTCGCTGTCGGACTTGGCGCGCAGACTGAAACCCTTCATACATCCGCTGCCTTCATCGACGATCAGTAGCAAGTACTTGCTTCCACCTAGCGAGTCGACTTCCATTGGACCACAAGTGTCGATGTGTAGAAGCTCAAACGGATCGTATTGGCGCTTGTTTGGATTGCTCGGGAACGGTCGTTGAACCATTTTTCCTTCTAGACAACCTTGACACACGCTTGATCCGCTCAATTTTGCTGGCTTCTTGGCATCCTTGATCATGCCCTTGGAGACCGTTCTGCACAAGACATCAATCGGTGCGTGGCCCATACGCGCATGAAGGTTTTCGACTCTTGGTCCTGAAGCCGCATTCACCGATCGTTGGGATGTACGAAGCCAGTAGAGGCCATCCACAAGATCGGCCATCGCTATTACTTGCTTGGAGCCTTTGTGCGAAATCTTCATCTCGCCACCATCAAACACCACTTGAAACTTGCCGCTTTTGTTGATTTGTGGTATCGAAAGCAAGTTTTTGTTCATGCTTGGGACGTAAAGCGCGTTCTTGATCTCGACTTCGCGCTCTTCACCGTTGGACAGGGTCACCTTTTCGATAATTGTCCCGACACCGTTGATCGCAGCCTTGTTCCCATCTGCAACCAACACTTCGCCTTCATTGCGCTCGTCCAGAAATTCGAATTGGACTTGTCATAGTAGATGTGATGTGTTGCACCGCTGTCAATCGCCCACATTCCAGACATGCTCTTGGTCGTTGAAAGTCCGCATTCCAGCGAAACAGCAAACGCCACTCGATCATAGTCACAGTTGCTGTTGCCGTTGTAGCCTTGCCACTGAACTTGATTCGCTCCGCGTCCACGTACATTGCCGCCGCGTCGAGCTCCCCGATTGTCTTCCTTCTGCTTGGTCCAGCACTTTTCCACCGTGTGCCCCAATTTTCCGCAGAACGTACACTGACGAACCTCACGCTCGGTACTGAAGGCCTTGGTCGCTTCTTCAGTTTTCACCGATGTCGTCTTTTTCCCTTGTCTCTTGATGTGCTCATTCGTCAGCACTTTCACGACGTCTTGCGTCCGCAGTTCCGCGCTGCTCATCTCCAAGTTGAGAACGACGTTCTCGTAGCTCTTGGGGAGGCTGCACAACAAGCAGATCGCCACGTCCTCATCCTCCATCTTGGCGCCGATGCTGCTGAGCTTCGCGCTGATGTTGAGAACTTCATTGCAATGATGCATTACATTGCCGCCTTCCGCCATCTCCATGCTGAACAGCTGGCGCTTCAAGAAGATCCGTCCCGCCTTCTGCGATCCGCCGTAGAGAGTCTTCAACCGTGTCCACGCAACCCATGCCTCGTCGCAGTCATCAACCACGTGATGATAGTCCGTGCTCATGTGAAGTAACATCAAGCCGAACGCAATGTTGTTCGTCTTGACGTACTCATCACTGGCGCGAGGATCGGCGAAGGTGGGGGTGGTCTCCTGGTTGACCACGTGCCACGTCGACTTGGTCAGGAACACGCCACGCATGTAGCGGCTTTACGTCGCGTAGTTGTCTCCATCGAATCTATCGATAGAGATCTTGGTGGCGGAATCTTGAGCAGAGGACATCGTGCTTGGGATCATAACCTGTTAAAGTCTGAAGAGCACTGGGCGAGAGAACGAAGCTTAAAGAACTTGAAAGAAGTCTACACTGCGAAGTGAAGACGACTTGTGTAGGAGAAGGAATATTTGGAAGTGAATTTATTTGTGGGTTTCGTTAAAGCTACCTGATTTATCTCTGCACTGATTTATATGTTGTCCACATATAAATCATATATCATAAATCACGTAGGTCATCCAATTATCCTATGCGTCTAATCATTGGTAAAAACTCACCGTAATTACGCGGGATCGACTTGGACAGGTTTACGGTTCCCATGGTAGCTGATAGCAGTACCTCAACCGTCAACCCACAATACGCCCCCTCAATGCGAACACGCGTGTATGCCGAGCGCTGCCGTCGAGTCCTTGTGACGTGGTCCTGGCAGTCCCTTCGTCATGATGTCCGCCAACATAGTCGTAGTCTCACAGTACTCCAAATTGACATCACCACGCTTGACTTCATCACGAATGTGATGGTACTTGATGTCGATGTGCTTGGCCCGACCATGGTTCACAGGATTGTTCGTCATCTTGATGCACGTTTGGTTGTCTTCCATGATCTTGAGCTCGGGTCCAGACTTGTCCTCTGCGGCATCCAGAATCTCGCACAGCAATCGATGCACCCACTTGCCTTCTTGAATCGCCAGACTTAGTGCAATGTACTCAGCTTCACTTGTTGACAGCGACACACTTGACTGCTTTTTGCTTCCCCAGCTCACCGGAGCACCCATCAGGGTAAACGCATATCCTGAAGTCGACTTGCGGTCTGCATGGTCGCCGGCCCAGTCTGCATCCGAGTAGCCACAGAAGTTTATCTTGTCATCAGGCTTGAAACAGATACCGTGCGACTTAGTCCCTGGTAAGTATCGCAAAATGCGCTTGACCGCCATCCAATGCTCGACTTGGGGGTTCTCCATGAAGCGCGAAACGTAACTCACAGCAAAGGCAATGTCCGGTCGTGTCGCGGTCATCAAGTGCATCAAAGCGCCTACTGCTTCACGAAACGGGGCGTCGATTTTAGTTGCTGCGGTACTTGGTATGAGTCGAGAACTGATGTCTGTTGGGCTGGTGACGGCTTTGCAGTCGCTCATGCCAAAACGCTTGAGAACATCTTCCACGTAGCGTCGCTGGCACATCGTCACGATACCGTTGTCGTTGTCCACCAGCTCGATGCCCAACACGAATGCGCACTTCCCACTGTCGGTCATTTCGAAACGCGCCTTTAAGTCACTCTTAATGCGTATAATCAGTTCGGCTGAGCTGCCAGTCACCAACACATCATCGACGTATACCAGCAAAAGCACGCACTCGCCACTTGTAATCTTGAGATAAAGACACGGGTCAAAGTCGGAGACTTGTAATCCAATGGAGCAGACGAACTCATAGAAAGTCTCGTTCCATACGCGCGATGCTTGTTTAGTCCGTAGATCGCCTTCACCAGTTCAAAGCAGTCAAAGTCTTCATCAACTTCGACTCCTTCTGGGATCGCGCAGAATACCTTTTCCTTCATTTCTCCGTAAAGGAAAGCTGTCACCACGTCCAGTTGGTCCAGTGTCCAGTCAAAGTACTTCGTGATTGCAACCACCATGCGCAGCGTCACGTACTTGACTACCGGAGAAAACGTTTCCGTGTAGTTGATGCCATATTTCTGCTCGAACCCTTTTGCCACGAGACGCGCCTTGTATTTCTCGATGGCTCCATCAGCTTTCCGTTGATCTTGAATACCCACTTGGTGCCAATGGTATGCTGTCCAGACGGCAGTTTGGTCGCTCAAAACATGCCACAAAGTTTCATCGAGTCCAACTCGGCAAAGATTGCCTTACGCCAAAGCACTTGGTCTGGTCCACCGACAGCATCTTCAAACGTTGTCGGCTCAGACAAGTCAGTACCTTCGACTGCATTGGTACTCGCTCGCCAAAAGACTTGAGGTGTAGCATCCTCGTTATCTTCGTCACTGCCCTTTTGCTCTTCGTCCAGATTGTCTCGAGCGCTTGATCGTCGCTTCGCTTGGTGCGATTCAAAGTCATCCAGGGCACTTGCTTCTTCTAACCCGGTTCCACGACGCTCAAGAAGTGTCTGTTGTAGAACTTGTTCTTGACTGTTTGAACGGCTTTTGCGTTTTCCAGTTTGCTTGAACTGCATGGGGTGAGGCTGATCGCTGATGTTCATCGATTCGATATCCAGCGCAGTGTCATCAACAATTTCTTGTGGTAGCATCGGCGAGAGACCAAGCGTTGATTCGTCGAATGTGACATCGCGAGATGTCACCACTTGGTCCGCTTCAATGTCGTAAACTCGATATGCCTTTGACACTTCTTCGTACCCCATGAATAGTCCTTCACGAGCCTTCGGATCCCATTTCGATCTCTTTTCCTTAGGGGTCAGCACAAACGTTCGGCAGCCGAAAACCCGCATGTGCTTCACACTTGGTCGGAATCCGTTGACGATCTCGAATGGGGTTCGATCTTGGCACTTGGGCGATGGTAGGCGATTCTTGATGTAGATCGCCGTCATTGCTGCTTCAGCCCAAAAACACTTGTCCAGCTTGGCGTAGTGAAGCATGCTGCGCCTGATCGTCACAATGGTCCGAACTGCCCGTTCCGCCGTGCCGTTGGTCTGATGCGCATACGGAACGGTAACTTGCTGCTCGATTCCTTGATCATCGTAAAATGCCTTGAGCGAATTCGCCGCAAATTCTCGTGCACCATCGTGTCGAACGAACTTGACCTTGTAGTCAAACTGCGTCTGTACTGCCATGATGTACTTCTTGATGCACTCTTCGCTGTCGGACTTGGCGCGCAGACTGAAACCCTTAATACATCCGCTGCCTTCATCGACGATCAGTAGCAAGTACTTGCTTCCACCTAGCGAGTCGACTTCCATTGGACCACAAGTGTCGATGTGTAGAAGCTCAAACGGATCGTATTGGCGCTTGTTTGGATTGCTCGGGAACGGTCGTTGAACCATTTTTCCTTCTAGACAACCTTGACACACGCTTGATCCGCTCAATTTTGCTGGCTTCTTGGCATCCTTGATCATGCCCTTGGAGACCGTTCTGCACAAGACATCAATCGGTGCGTGGCCCATACGCGCATGAAGGTTTTCGACTCTTGGTCCTGAAGCCGCATTCACCGATCGTTGGGATGTACGAAGCCAGTAGAGGCCATCCACAAGATCGGCCATCGCTATTACTTGCTTGGAGCCTTTGTGCGAAATCTTCATCTCGCCACCATCAAACACCACTTGAAACTTGCCGCTTTTGTTGATTTGTGGTATCGAAAGCAAGTTTTTGTTCATGCTTGGGACGTAAAGCGCGTTCTTGATCTCGACTTCGCGCTCTTCACCGTTGGACAGGGTCACCTTTTCGATAATTGTCCCGACACCGTTGATCGCAGCCTTGTTCCCATCTGCAACCAACACTTCGCCTTCATTGCGCTCGTCCAGAAATTCGAATTGGACTTGTCATAGTAGATGTGATGTGTTGCACCGCTGTCAATCGCCCACATTCCAGACATGCTCTTGGTCGTTGAAAGTCCGCATTCCAGCGAAACAGCAAACGCCACTCGATCATAGTCACAGTTGCTGTTGCCGTTGTAGCCTTGCCACTGAACTTGATTCGCTCCGCGTCCACGTACATTGCCGCCGCGTCGAGCTCCCCGGTTGTCTTCCTTCTGCTTGGTCCAGCACTTTTCCACCGTGTGCCCCAATTTTCCGCAGTATGTACACTGGCGAGGTTCACGCTCGGTACTGAACGCCTTCGCCGCGTCTTCAGTCTTCACCGATGTCGTCTTGTCACCTTGCCTCTTGATGTGCTCTTCGTGAGCACTCTCACGACGTCTCACGATTGCAGTTCCGCGCTGCTCATCTCCAACTTGAGAACGACGTTCTCATAGCTCTTGGGGAGGCTGCGCAACAAGCAGATCGCCACGTCCTCGTCCTCCATCTTGGCGCCGATGCTGCTGAGCTTCGCGCTGATGTTGAGGACTTCGTTGCAATGATGCATCACATTGCCGCCTTCCGCCATCTCCATGCTGAACAGCTGACGCTTCAAGTAGATGCGTCCAGCCTTCTGCGACCCGCCGTACAGCGTCTTCAAACGCGCCCACGCGACCCACGCCTATTCACAGACATCGACGATGTGATGGTAGTCTGCGTCCATGTGCAGCAACATCAGTCCGAAAGCGATGTTGTTGGCCTTGACGTAGTCGTCCATGGCGCGATCGTCCGCGTAGATTGGCGACGTCTCCCGGTTCACCACGTGCCACGCCGACTTGGTCAGGAACACGCCACGCATGTAGCAGCTCCATGTCGCGTAGTTGTCGCCGCCGAACTTGTCAATGGAGATCTTGGTGGTGGCATCATGAGCAGAGGACATCGTGCTTGGGCTCAGAACCTGGTAATAGGTGTGAAGCTTGACGACCGAAACTGGGAGTGATGCTGGGAGTCCACTCGGAAGACCGGAGAAGACACTTGGGGGTAGATGGAAGATTGGAAAGTGATTGATTATCGGGATTACTACTTACTACATGATTTATATGTGGTGCACATATAAATCATGTGAAGCGTCTCATCATCCTACGCGTCTAATCAACTATGGTAATTACCGTAAGAACTACGTCGTAAATACTAAGCTGAACAGGCGGTTCGGATTGGACCGGTCACGGTTACCAATACTAGTAGAAACCGATGACCGTCAACACGCCCCCTCAAGCCGAACTCGCACGAATGCCGAGAGCCGTCGTCAAGTCCTTTTGGCGAGGTCCCGAAAGTCCCTTGGTCATGATGTCCGCCATCATCACGGAAGTCTCGCAATACTCGAGCTGCACTTCACCGCGCTTGACCTCATCACGGATGTGATGGTACTTGATGTCGATGTGCTTGGCGCGGCCATGATTCACCGGATTCTTCGTCATCTTGATGCACGACTGGTTGTCTTCACGGATGACGAGGTCCGGTCCTGGTTCGTTTGCGGCCGCCAAAATTTCGCATAGCAATCGATGCACCCACTTGCCTTCCTGGATGGCCAGACTCATTGCGATGTATTCCGCTTCACTCGTCGACAGCGACACATTTGACTGCTTCTTGCTTCCCCAACTCACAGGAGCACCCATCAGCATGAAAGTGTAACCCGAAGTCGACTTGCGATCAGCGTGGTCGCCGGCCCAGTCCGCGTCCGAGTAGCCACGAAAGTCGATCTTGTCGCTTGGCTGGAAGCGGAGTCCGTGCGACTTGGTCCCTTGCAAGTAACGAAAGATGCGCTTCACCGCCGTCCCATGTTCTTGCTGCGGATTCTCCATGAAGCGCGAGACGTACTCCACAGCATACGCAATGTCCGGGCGCGTCGCAGTCGTCAAGTGCATCAAAGCTTCCACAGCTCGGAACGTCGATCTTGGCCGCTTCGCTGCTTGCGACAAGCCGAGTGCTCAAGTCGACCGGACTTGCTGTGGCCTTGCACTCATCCATGCCGAAGCACTTGAGGATATCGTTGACATACCGTCGCTGGCACATCGTCACGCTGCCATCCGATTCATCCACCAGTTCGATGCCCAGTACAAAAGTACACTTGCCACTGTCGGTCATCTCGAAACGCGTCTTGAGGTCGGCCTTCGTCTGCGCAATCAACTCGAGCGAGCTGCCGGTGACCAACACGTCATCCACGTAGACCAGCACGAGCACACAATGACCGTCGACAACCTTGATGTAGAGACATGGGTCGAACGCCGACACTTTAAAACCGATAGAGCATACGAACTCGTCGAAAGTCTCGTTCCACACACGTGAAGCTTGCTTGAGACCGTAGATCGCCTTCACTAACTCGAGACAGTCGAAGTCGCCATCCATCTCGACGCCTTCTGGTGTCACGCAGTACACCTTCTCCTTCATCACTCCGTAGAGAAAGGCTGTCACCACATCGAGTTGGTCCAGTAGCCAGTCGAAATACTTGGTGATCGCGATCACCATGCGCAGTGTCACGTACTTGACCACGGGCGAGAACGCCTCTGTGTAGTCGATGCCGTACTTCTGCTTGAAGCTCTTGGCAACGAGACGCGCCTTGTATTTCTCGACCGATCCATCCGCTTTGCGCTTGATCTTGAACACCCAATTGGTGCCGATCGCGCCTTGGCCTCTTGGCAGTTTTGCCGCACGGTAAACTCCACGACGATGCATCTACTTGAGTTCCGCCTTCACAGCATTTCGCCAGTGAGCTTGATCAGGACCATTGATCGCGTCTTGAAAAGTCACAGGTTCTGCTAGGTCCGTTGCTTCCACTGCGTTTGCACTTGCACGCCAAAATGTTGGAGGCATCGAGTCGTCATCTTAATCGTAGAAGCTTGCATCTTCTTCGTCATCAGACACCATTTCTGGAGCACTTGATCGTCGTTTCTGGTGACGGTTGGAGACGTGTTCCGGCGCACTTGCTTGCTCCAACCCAGTTCGAGGGCGAGCTGAACGTGACATGCCGGGTCTTGCTTCACTCTTGCGCTTGCCAGTCTGCTTGTAGACGGTTTGACGCACGTCGTCCTCGTTGATCGCCAGGAGGTCGAGGTCCAACTCCGCATCTTCATCATCGTCACTTGGTCGGTCCATCGAAAAGTCAAAAGTCGATTCGTCGAATGTGATGTCACGACTGATCAACACTTGGCCCGCCTCAATGTCGTACACTCGATAAGCTTTTGACGCTTCTTCGTAGCCCATGAACATCCCTTCACGAGCCTTTGGGTCCCACTTCAATCGCTTCTCCCTTGGTGTCAGGATAAACGCCCGACATCCAAATACGCGCATGTGCTTGACACTTGGTTTCGACTTGTACAAGATCTCGAACGGAGTCTTGTGGTCGATCTTGGGTGAAGGCAGGCGGTTCTTGATGTAGATCGCCGTCATTGCCGCTTCAGCCCAGAAACACTTCTCCAGCTTTGCATGATGCAACAAGCTGCGTCCGATCGTGACGATGGTCCTTATCGCGTGTTCTGCGGTGCCGTTGGTCTGGTGTGCATACGGCACCGTGACCTGTTGTTCGATACCATGATCTTCATGGAAGGTCTTGATCGAGTTGGTCGCAAACTCATGCGCTCCATCGTGCCGAACAAACTTGATTTTCGTGCCGAACTGAGTCTGAATCTTGATAATGTGGTTCTTGATACAGACTTCACTCTCAGACTTGGACCGCAGACAGAAGCCCTTCATGCAACCGCTGGCTTCGTCAACCACAAAAGTAGCTGCTGCCGCCGATCGAGACTTGTTCCATTGGCCCGCAGATGTTGAACTGCAGCAACTCGAACACACCATATTGGCGTTTGTCACGGTTGGTTGGGAATGGTCTTTGGACCATCCTTCCTTGCTGGCAACCGCGACACACACTTGGACCAGTCGAGTTGAGAGGTGCCTTGGCGTCCTTGATCATGCCGGTGGCCACCATCTTGCGCAGAACTTCGAGAGGTGCATGACCCATGCGCGCATGCAAGTCGATAGTCCCATTGCGTGTTGCTGCATTCGCCGATCGTTGAGGAGTCCGCAGCCAGTAAAGTCCATCGACGAGATCCGCTGTTGCCACGACTTGTGTGGAATTCTTGCGCTGCACTTGCATCTTGGACCCGTCGAACACGACTTGGAACCTGCCACCCTTGTTGATCTGTGGCACCGAAAGCAGATTCTTGCTCATACTTGGTACGAACAGTGCGTCCTTGATCTCGATGTCGTGTTCGTCACTATGGGGCAGAACCACCCAACCTGCCACCCTTGTTGATCTGTGGCACCGAAAGCAGATTTTTGCTCATGCTTGGTACGAACAGTGCGTCCTTGATCTCGATGTCGTGTTGGTCACCATTGGGCAGAACCACCCGTTCATGATGGTTCTTACACCCTTGATCGCAGCCTTGATGCCATCAGCCACTGATAGTTCGCCTTCCTCTCGCTCATTCAGACTTGCAAACTTGGCCTTGTCGTTGCAGATGTGATGCGTCGCACCGCTGTCGACTGCCCACATCCCTGGCATATTCTTGCCCGTCAAAAGTCCAGCCTCCAGCGAAACCGCGAGCGCAACTCGATCGTAGTTGTCGTCGTTGCTGTTGTTGGTTCGCCAATGAACGTTGTTGGCTCCGCGTCCACAGCACTGTTGCCGCCGCGTCGAGCTCCACCTTGATTTTCGTCCTTCTGCTTGGTCCAGCGCCGCTCCGCCGTGTGCCCCAATTTTCCGCAGTATGTACACTGGCGAGGTTCACGCTCGACACTGAACGCCTTCGCCGCGTCTTCAGTCTTCACCGATGTCGTCTTGTCACCTTGCCTCTTGATGTGCTCATTCGTGAGCACTCTCACGACGTCTCGCGATCGCAGTTCCGCGCTGCTCATCTCCGAGTTGAGAACGACGTTCTCGTAGCTCTTGGGGAGGCTGCGCAACAAGCAGATCGCCACGTCCTCGTCCTCCATCTTGGCGCCGATGCTGCTGAGCTTCGCGCTGATGTTGAGGACTTCGTTGCAATAATGCATCACATTGCCGCCTTCCGCCATCTCCATGCTGAACAGCTGACGATTCAAGTAGATGCGTCCAGCCTTCTGCGACCCGCCGTACAGCGTCTTCAAACGCGCCCACGCGACCCACGCCTCTTCACATTCATCGACGATGTGATGGTAGTCTGCGTCCATGTGCAGCAGCATCAGTCCGAAAGCAATGTTGTTGGCCTTGACGTAGTCGTCCATGGCGCGATCGTCCGCGTAGATTAGCGACGTATCCCGGTTCACCACGTGCCACGCCGACTTGGTCAGGAACACGCCACGCATGTAGCGGCTCCACGTCGCGTAGTTGTCGCCGTCGAACGTGTCAATGGAGATCTTGGTGGTGGCATCATGAGCAGAGGACATCGTGCTTGGGCTCAGAACCTGGTAATAGGTGTGAAGCTTGACGACCGAAACTGGGAGTGATGCTGGGAGTCCACTCGGAAGACCGGAGAAGACACTTGGGGGTAGATGGAAGATTGGAAAGTGATTGATTATCGGGCTTACTACTTACTACATGATTTATATGTGGTGCACATATAAATCATGTGAAGCGTCTCATCATCCTACGCGTCTAATCAACTATGGTAATTACCGTAAGAACTACGTCGTAAATACTAAGCTGAACAGGCGGTTCGGATTGGACCGGTCACGGTTACCAATACTAGTAGAAACCGATGACCGTCAACACGCCCCCTCAAGCCGAACTCGCACAAATGCCGAGAGCCGTCGTCAAGTCCTTGTGGCGAGGTCCCGAAAGTCCCTTGGTCATGATGTCCGCCATCATCACGGAAGTCTCGCAATACTCGAGCTGCACTTCACCGCGCTTGACCTCATCACGGATGTGATGGTACTTGATGTCGATGTGCTTGGCGCGGCCATGATTCACCGGATTCTTCGTCATCTTGATGCACGAATGGTTGTCTTCACGGATGACGAGGCCCGGTCCTGGTTCGTTTGCGGCCGCCAAAATTTCGCATAACAATCGATGCACCCACTTGCCTTCCTGGATGGCCAGACTCATTGCGATGTATTCCGCTTCACTCGTCGACAGCGACACACTAGACTGCTTCTTGCTTCCCCAACTCACAGGAGCACCCATCAGCATGAAAGTGTAACCCGAAGTCGACTTGCGATCAGCGTGGTCGCCGGCCCAGTCCGCGTCCGAGTAGCCACGAAAGTCGATCTTGTCGCTTGGCTGGAAGCGGAGTCCGTGCGACTTGGTCCCTTGCAAGTAACGAAAGATGCGCTTCACCGCCGTCCCATGTTCTTGCTGCGGATTCTCCATGAAGCGCGAGACGTACCCCACAGCATACGCAATGTCCGGGCGCGTCGCAGTCGTCAAGTGCATCAAAGCTCCCACAGCTCGGAACGTCGATCTTGGCCGCTTCGCTGCTTGCGACAAGCCGAGTGCTCAAGTCGACCGGACTTGCTGTGGCCTTGCACTCATCCATGCCGAGGCACTTGAGGATATCGTTGACATACCGTCGCTGGCACATCGTCACGCTGCCATCCGATTCATCCACCAGTTCGATGCCCAGTACAAAAGTACACTTGCCACTGTCGGTCATCTCGAAACGCGTCTTGAGGTCGGCCTTCGTCTGCGCAATCAACTCGAGCGAGCTGCCGGTGACCAACACGTCATCCACGTAGACCAGCACGAGCACACAATGACCGTCGACAACCTTGATGTAGAGACATGGGTCGAACGCCGACGCTTCGAAACCGATGGAGCATACGAACTCGTCGAAAGTCTCGTTCCACACACGTGAAGCTTGCTTGAGACCGTAGATCGCCTTCACCAACTCGAGACAGTCGAAGTCGCCATCCATCTCGACGCCTTCTGGTACCACGCAGTACACCTTCTCCTTCATCACTCCGTAGAGAAAGGCTGTCACCACATCGAGTTGGTCCAGTGGCCAGTCGAAATACTTGGTGATCGCGATCACCATACGCAGTGTCACGTACTTGACCACGGGCGAGAACGTCTCTGTGTAGTCGATGCCGTACTTCTGCTTGAAGCCATTGGCAACGAGACGCGCCTTGTATTTCTCGACCGATCCATCCGCTTTGCGCTTGATCTTGAACCCCCACTTGGTGCCGATCGCGCCTTGGCCTCTTGGTAGTTTTGCCGCACGGAAAACTCCACGACGATGCATCTACTTGAGTTCCGCCTTCACAGCATTTCGCCAGTGAGCTTGATCAGGACCATTGATCGCGTCTTGAAAAGTCACAGGTTCTGCTAGGTCCGTTGCTTCCACTGCGTTTGCACTTGCACGCCAAAATGTTGGAGGCGTCGAGTCGTCATCTTGATCGTAGACGCTTGCATCTTCTTCGTCATCAGACATCGTTTTTGGAGCACTTGATCGTCGTTTCTGGTGACGGTTGGAGACGTGTTCCGGCGCACTTGCTTGTTCCAACCCAGTCCGAGGGCGAGCTGAACGTGACATGCCGGGTCTTGCTTCACTCTTGCGCTTGCCAGTCTGCTTGTAGACGGTTTGACGCACGTCGTCCTCGTTGATCGCCAGGAGGTCGAGGTCCAACTCCGCACCTTCATCATCGTCACTTGGTCGGTCCATCGAAAAGTCAAAAGTCGATTCGTCGAAGGTGATGTCACGACTGATCACCACTTGGCCCGCCTCAATGTCGTACACTCGATAAGCTTTTGACGCTTCTTCGTAGCCCATGAACATCCCTTCACGAGCCTTCGGGTCCCACTTCAATCGCTTCTCCCTTGGTGCCAGGATAAACGCCCGACATCCAAACACGCGCATGTGCTTGACACTTGGTTTCGACTTGTACACGATCTCGAACGGAGTCTTGTGGTCGATCTTGGGTGAAGGCAGGCGGTTCTTGATGTAGATCGCCTTCATTGCCGCTTCAGCCCAGAAACACTTCTCCAGCTTTGCATGATGCAACAAGCTGCGTCCGATCGTGACGATGGTCCTTATCGCGCGTTCTGCGGTGCCGTTGGTCTGGTGTGCATACGGCACCGTGATCTGTTGTTCGATACCATGATCTTCATGGAAGGTCTTGATCGAGTTGGTCGCAAACTCATGCGCTCCATCGTGCCGAACAAACTTGATTTTCGTGCCGAACTGAGTCTGAATCTTGATAATGTGGTTCTTGATACAGACTTCACTCTCAGACTTGGACCGCAGACAGAAGCCCTTCATGCAACCGCTGGCTTCGTCAACCACAAAAGTAGCTGCTGCCGCCGATCGAGACTTGTTCCATTGGCCCGCAGATGTCGAAGTGCAGCAACTCGAACACACCATATTGGCGTTTGTCACGGTTGGTTGGGAATGGTCTTTGGACCATCCTTCCTTGCTGGCAACCGCGACACACACTTGGACCAGTCGAGTTGAGAGGTGCCTTGGCGTCCTTGATCATGCTGGTGGCCACCATCTTGCGCAGAACTTCGAGAGGTGCATGATCCATGCGCGCATGCAAGTCGATAGTCCCATTTCGTGTTGCTGCATTCGCCGATCGTTGAGGAGTCCGCAGCCAGTAAAGTCCATCGACGAGATCCGCTGTTGCCACGACTTGTGTGGAATTCTTGCGCTTCACTTGCATCTTGGACCCGTCGAACACGACTTGGAACCTGCCACCCTTGTTGATCTGTGGCACCGAAAGCAGATTCTTGCTCATACTTGGTACGAACAGTGCGTCCTTGATCTCGATGTCGCGTTGGTCACCATTGGGCAGAACCACCCGTTCCATGATGGTTCCCACACCCTTGATCGCAGCCTTGCTGCCATCAGCCACTGATAGTTCGCCTTCCTCTCGCTCATTCAAGCTTGCAAACTTGGCTTTGTCGTTGCAGATGTGATGCGTCGCACCGCTGTCGACTGCCCACATCCCTGGCATATTCTTGCCCGTCGAAAGTCCAGCCTCCAGCGAAACCGCGAACGCAACTCGATCGTAGTTGTCGTCGTAGTTGCTGTTGGTTCGCCACTGAACGTTGTTGGCTCCGCGTCCACAGCATTGTTGCCGCCGCGTCGAGCTCCACCTTGATTTTCGTCCTTCTGCTTGGTCCAGCACCGCTCCGCCGCGTGCCCCAATTTTCCGCAGTATGTACACTGGCGAGGTTCACGCTCGGCACTGAACGCCTTCGCCGCGTCTTCAGTCTTCACCGATGTCGTCTTGTCACCTTGCCTCTTGATGTGCTCATTCGTGAGCACTCTCACGACGTCTCGCGATCGCAGTTCCGCGCTGCTCATCTCCGAGTTGAGAACGACGTTCTCGTAGCTCTTGGGGAGGCTGCGCAACAAGTAGATCGCCACGTCCTCGTCCTCCATCTTGGCGCCGATGCTGCTGAGCTTCGCGCTGATGTTGAGGACTTCGTTGCAATGATGCATCACAGTGCCGCCTTCCGCCATCTCCATGCTGAACAGCTGACGATTCAAGTAGATGCGTCCAGCCTTCTGCGACCCGCCGTACAGCGTCTTCAAACGCGCCCACGCGACCCACGCCTCTTCACATTCATCGACGATGTGATGGTAGTCTGCGTCCATGTGCAGCAGCATCAGTCCGAAAGCAATGTTGTTGGCCTTGACGTAGTCGTCCATGGCGCGATCGTCCGCGTAGATTAGCGACGTATCCCGGTTCACCACGTGCCACGCCGACTTGGTCAGGAACACGCCACGCATGTAGCGGCTCCACGTCGCGTAGTTGTCGCCGTCGAACGTGTCAATGGAGATCTTGGTGGTGGCATCATGAGCAGAGGACATCGTGCTTGGGCTCAGAACCTGGTAATAGGTGTGAAGCTTGACGACCGAAACTGGGAGTGATGCTGGGAGTCTACTTGGAAGACCGGAGAAGACACTTGGGGGTAGATGGAAGATTGGAAAGTGATTGATTATCGGGCTTACTACTTACTACATGATTTATATGTGGTGCACATATAAATCATGTGAAGCGTCTCATCATCCTACGCGTCTAATCAACTATGGTAATTACCGTAAGAACTACGTCGTAAATACTAAGCTGAACAGGCGGTTCGGATTGGACCGGTCACGGTTACCAATACTAGTAGAAACCGATGACCGTCAACACGCCCCCTCAAGCCGAACTCGCACGAATGCCGAGAGCCGTCGTCAAGTCCCTTTGGCGAGGTCCCGAAAGTCCCTTGGTCATGATGTCCGCCATCATCTCGGAAGTCTCGCAATACTCGAGCTGCACTTCACCGCGCTTGACCTCATCACGGATGTGATGGTACTTGATGTCGATGTGCTTGGCGCGGCCATGATTCACCGGATTCTTCGTCATCTTGATGCACGAATGGTTGTCTTCACGGATGACGAGGTCCGGTCCTGGTTCGTTTGCGGCCGCCAAAATTTCGCATAGCAATCGATGCACCCACTTGCCTTCCTGGATGGCCAGACTCAGTGCGATGTATTCCGCTTCACTCGTCGACAGCGACACACTTGACTGCTTCTTGCTTCCCCAACTCACAGGAGCACCCATCAGCATGAAAGTGTAACCCGAAGTCGACTTGCGATCAGCGTGGTCGCCGGTCCAGTCCGCGTCCGAGTAGCCACGAAAGTCGATCTTGTCGCTTGGCTGGAAGCGGAGTCCGTGCGACTTGGTCCCTTGCAAGTAACGAAAGATTCGCTTCACCGCCGTCCCATGTTCTTGCTGCGGATTCTCCATGAAGCGCGAGACGTACCCCACAGCATACGCAATGTCCGGGCGCGTCGCAGTCGTCAAGTGCATCAAAGCTCCCACAGCTCGGAACGTCGATCTTGGCCGCTTCGCTGCTTGCGACAAGCCGAGTGCTCAAGTCGACCGGACTTGCTGTGGCCTTGCACTCATCCATGCCGAAGCACTTGAGGATGTCGTTGACATACCGTCGCTGGCACATCGTCACGCTGCCATCCGATTCATCCACCAGTTCGATGCCCAGTACAAAAGTACACTTGCCACTGTCGGTCATCTCGAAACGCGTCTTGAGGTCGGCCTTCGTCTGCGCAATCAACTCGAGCGAGCTGCCGGTGACCAACACGTCATCCACGTAGACCAGCACGAGCACACAATGACCGTCGACAACCTTGATGTAGAGACATGGGTCGAACGCCGACGCTTCGAAACCGATGGAGCATACGAACTCGTAGAAAGTCTCGTTCCACACACGTGAAGCTTGCTTGAGACCGTAGATCGCCTTCACCAACTCGAGACAGTCGAAGTCGCCATCCATCTCGACGCCTTCTGGTATCACGCAGTACACCTTCTCCTTCATCACTCCGTAGAGAAAGGCTGTCACCACATCGAGTTGGTCCAGTAGCTGTTGCATTGTAGATCGGAGCGAGGAAAGCGGAGCGAACGGAGCGGAGAGACCGAAGAGAGTAGAGCAGAAAAGACTTGCCCAATAGTTGGAAGATTCGAAAAGTGATTGATTATCGGGGCTTACTACTTACTACATGATTTATATGTGGTGTACATATAAATCATGTGAAGCGTCTCATCATCCTACGCGTCTAATCATCTATGGTAATTACCGTAAGAACTACGTCGTAAATACTAAGCTGAACAGGCGGTTCGGATTGGACCGGTCACGGTTACCAATACTGGTAGGAAACCGATGACCGTCAACAGTAGCCAGTCGAAATACTTGGTGATCGCGATCACCATGCGCAGTGTCACGTACTTGACCACGGGCGAGAACGTCTCTGTGTAGTCGATGCCGTACTTCTGCTTGAAGCCATTGGCAACGAGACGCGCCTTGTATTTCTCGACCGATCCATCCGCTTTGCGCTTGATCTTGAACCCCCACTTGGTGCCGATCGCGCCTTGGCCTCTTGGTAGTTTTGCCGCACGGAAAACTCCACGACGATGCATCTACTTGAGTTCCGCCTTCACAGCATTTCGCCAGTGAGCTTGATCAGGACCATTGATCGCTTCTTGAAAAGTCACAGGTTCTGCTAGGTCCGTTGCTTCCACTGCGTTTGCACTTGCACGCCAAAATGTTGGAGGCGTCGAGTCGTCATCTTGATTGTAGACGCTTGCATCTTCTTCGTCATCAGACATCGTTTCTGGAGCACTTGATCGTCGTTTCTGGTGACGGTTGGAGACGTGTTCCGGCGCACTTGCTTGTTCCAACCCAGTTCGAGGGCGAGCTGAACGTAACATGCCGGGTCTTGCTTCACTCTTGCGCTTGCCAGCCTGCTTGTAGACGGTTTGACGTACGTCGTCCTCGTTGATCGCCAGGAGGTCGAGGTCCAACTCCGCATCTTCATCATCGTCACTTGGTCGGTCCATCGAAAAGTCAAAAGTCGATTCGTCGAAGATGATGTCACGACTGATCACCACTTGGCCCGCCTCAATGTCGTACACTCGATAAGCTTTTGACGCTTCTTCGTAGCCCATGAACATCCCTTCACGAGCCTTCGGGTCCCACTTCAATCGCTTCTCCCTTGGTGCCAGGATAAACGCCCGACATCCAAACACGCGCATGTGCTTGACACTTAGTTTCGACTTGTACACGATCTCGAACGGAGTCTTGTGGTCGATCTTGGGTGAAGGCAGGCGGTTCTTGATGTAGATCGCCGTCATTGCCGCTTCAGCCCAGAAACACTTCTCCAGCTTTGCATGATGCAACAAGCTGCGTCCGATCGTGACGATGGTCCTTATCGCGCGTTCTGCGGTGCCGTTGGTCTGGTGTGCATACGGCACCGTGATCTGTTGTTCGATACCATGATCTTCATTGAAGGTCTTGATCGAGTTGGTCGCAAACTCATGCGCTCCATCGTGCCAAACAAACTTGATTTTCGTGCCGAACTGAGTTTGAATCTTGATAATGTGGTTCTTGATACAGACTTTACTCTCAGACTTGGACCGCAGACAGAAGCCCTTCATGCAACCGCTGGCTTCGTCAACCACAAAAGTATCTGCTGCCGCCGATCGAGACTTGTTCCATTGGCCCGCAGATGTCGAAGTGCAGCAACTCGAACACACCATATTGGCGTTTGTCACGGTTGGTTGGGAATGATCTTTGGACCATCCTTCCTTGCTGGCAACCGCGACACACACTTGGACCAGTCGAGTTGAGAGGTGCCTTGGCGTCCTTGATCATGCCGGTGGCCACCATCTTGTGCAGAACTTCGAGGGGTGCTTGACCCATGCGCACATGCAAGTCGATGGTCCCATTGCGTGTTGCTGCATTCGCCGATCGTTGAGGAGTCCGCAGCCAGTAAAGTCCATCGACGAGATCCGCTGTTGCCACGACTTGTGTGGAATTCTTGCGCTTCACTTGCATCTTGGACCCGTCGAACACGACTTGGAACCTGCCACCCTTGTTGATCTGTGGCACCGAAAGCAGATTCTTGCTCATACTTGGTACGAACAGTGCGTCCTTGATCTCGATGTCGCGTTGGTCACCATTGGGCAGAACCACCCGTTTCATGATGGTTCCCACACCCTTGATCACAGCCTTGATGCCATCAGCCACTGATAGTTCGCCTTCCTCTCGCTCATTCAGGCTTGCAAACTTGGCTTTGTCGTTGCAGATGTGATGCGTCGCACCGCTGTCGACTGCCCACATCCCTGGCATATTCTTGCCCGTCGAAAGTCCAGCCTCCAGCGAAACCGCGAACGCAACTCGATCGTAGTTGTCGTCGTAGTTGCTGTTGGTTCGCCACTGAACGTTGTTGGCTCCGCGTCCACAGCATTGTTGCCGCCGCGTCGAGCTCCACCTTGATTTTCGTCCTTCTGCTTGGTCCAGCACCGCTCCGCCGTGTGCCCCAATTTTCCGCAGTATGTACACTGGCGAGGTTCACGCTCGGCACTGAACGCCTTCGCCGCGTCTTCAGTCTTCACCGATGTCGTCTTGTCACCTTGCCTCTTGATGTGCTCATTCGTGAGCACTTTCACGACGTCCCGCGATTGAAGCTCTGCGCTGCTCATCTCCAAGTTGAGAACCACGTTCTCGAAACTCTTGGGCAGACTGCGCAGTAAGCAGATCGCAACGTCCTCGTCCTCCATCTTGGCGCCGATGCTGCTGAGCTTCGCGCTGATGTTGAGGAATTCGTTGCAATGATGCATCACATTGCCGCCTTCCGCCATCTCCATGCTGAACAGCTGACGATTCAAGTAGATGCGTCCAGCCTTCTGCGACCCGCCGTACAGCGTCTTCAAACGCGCCCACGCGACCCACGCCTCTTCACATTCATCGACGATGTGATGGTAGTCTGAGCTCATGTGCAGCAGCATCAGTCCGAAAGCAATGTTGTTCGTCTTGACGTAGTCGTCACTGGCGCGAGGATCGGCGAAGGCGGGGGTGGTCTCCCGGTTCACCACGTGCCACGCCGACTTGGTCAGGAACACGCCACGCATGTAGCGGCTCCACGTCGCGTAGTTGTCGCCGTCGAACTTGTCAATGGAGATCTTGGTGGTGGCATCATGAGCAGAGGACATCGTTCTTGGGCTCAGAACCTGTTGATAGGTGTGAAGCTTGACGACCGAAACTGGGAGGGATGCTGGGAGTCCACTCGGAAGACCGGAGAAGACACTTGAGGGTAGATGAAGATTGGAAAGTGATTGATTATCGGGCTTACTACTTACTACATGATTTATATGTGGTGTACATATAAATCATGTGAAGCGTCTCATCATCCTACGCGTCTAATCAACTATGGTAATTACCGTAAGAACTACGTCGTAAATACTAAGCTGAACAGGCGGTTCGGATTGGATCGGTCACGGTTACCAATACTAGTAGAAACCGATGACCGTCAACACGCCCCCTCAATCCGAATGCTCACGAATCCCGAGAGCCGTCGTCAAGTCCTTTTGGCGAGGTCCCGAAAGTCCCTTGGTCATGGTGTCCGCCATCATCTCGGAAGTCTCGCAATACTCGAGCTGCACTTCACCGCGCTTGACCTCATCACGGATGTGATGGTACTTGATGTCGATGTGCTTGGCGCGGCCATGATTCACCGGATTCTTCGTCATCTTGATGCACGAATGGTTGTCTTCACGGATGACGAGGTCCGGTCCTGGTTCGTTTGCGGCCGCCAAAATCTCGCATAGCAATCGATGCACCCACTTGCCTTCCTGGATGGCCAGACTCAGTGCGATGTATTCCGCTTCACTCGTCGACAGCGACACACTTGACTGCTTCTTGCTTCCCCAACTCACAGGAGCACCCATCAGCATGAAAGTGTAACCCGAAGTCGACTTGCGATCAGCGTGGTCGCCGGCCCAGTCCGCGTCCGAGTAGCCACGAAAGTCGATCTTGTCGCTTGGCTGGAAGCGGAGTCCGTGCGACTTGGTCCCTTGCAAGTAACGAAAGATGCGCTTCACCGCCGTCCCATGTTCTTGCTGCGGATTCTCCATGAAGCGCGAGACGTACCCCACAGCATACGCAATGTCCGGGCGCGTCGCAGTCGTCAAGTGCATCAAAGCTCCCACAGCTCGGAACGTCGATCTTGGCCGCTTCGCTGCTTGCGACAAGCCGAGTGCTCAAGTCGACCGGACTTGCTGTGGCCTTGCACTCATCCATGCCGAAGCACTTGAGGATGTCGTTGACATACCGTCGCTGGCACATCGTCACGCTGCCATCCGATTCATCCACCAGTTCGATGCCCAGTACAAAAGTACACTTGCCACTGTCGGTCATCTCGAAACGCGTCTTGAGGTCGGCCTTCGTCTGCGCAATCAACTCGAGCGAGATGCCGGTGACCAACACGTCATCCACGTAGACCAGCACGAGCACACAATGACCGTCGACAACCTTGATGTAGAGACATGGGTCGAACGCCGACGCTTCGAAACCGATGGAGCATACGAACTCGTCGAAAGTCTCGTTCCACACACGTGAAGCTTGCTTGAGACCGTAGATCGCCTTCACCAACTCGAGACAGTCGAAGTCGCCATCCATCTCGACGCCTTCTGGTATCACGCAGTACACCTTCTCCTTCATCACTCCGTAGAGAAAGGCTGTCACCACATCGAGTTGGTCCAGTAGCTGTTGCATTGTAGATCGGAGCGAGGAAAGCGGAGCGAACGGAGCGGAGAGACCGAAGAGAGTAGAGCAGAAAAGACTTGCCCAATAGTTGGAAGATTCGAAAAGTGATTGATTATCGGGGCTTACTACTTACTACATGATTTATATGTGGTGTACATATAAATCATGTGAAGCGTCTCATCATCCTACGCGTCTAATCAACTATGGTAATCACCGTAAGAACTACGTCGTAAATACTAAGCTGAACAGGCGGTTCGGATTGGATCGGTCACGGTTACCAATACTGGTAGAAAACGATGACCGTCAACACGCCCCCTCAATCCGAATGCTCACGAATCCCGAGAGCCGTCGTCAAGTCCTTTTGGCGAGGTCCCGAAAGTCCCTTGGTCATGGTGTCCGCCATCATCTCGGAAGTCTCGCAATACTCGAGCTTCACTTCACCGCGCTTGACCTCATCACGGATGTGATGGTACTTGATATCAATGTGCTTGGCACGGCCGTGGTTGACTGGGTTCTTCGTCATCTTGATACATGACTGATTGTCTTCATGAATCATGAGTTCCGGTACTTCTTCATTTGCAGCCATCAAATATTTGCTGCCACCGAGCGAATCCTTTTCCATGGACACGCAGATGTCCAGATGAAGTAGCTCAAACGTATCGTAGCTGCGCTTGTCTCGGTTGCTTGGAAATGGTTTTTGGACCATTTTCCCTTGTTGACATCCTCGACATGTAGTTGCTCCACCCGACTTGAGAGGGACTCGCACATCCTTGATCATGTTGGTCGCGATCATCTTGCGAAGTACATCGACTGGAGCATGACCCATTCTCGCATGTAGATCGGCACAACTGGTTCCACTTGTTGTCACATTCGCTGATTGTTGAGTCGTCCGAAGCCAGTAGAGTCCATCCACGAGATCCGCTGTCGCCACCACTTGCTGTGAGTTCTTGAGAGTCACATACATCTTGGACCCGTCAAACACGACTTGAAACTTGCCATGGCTGTTAATCTGTGGCACCGAGAGCAGGTTCTTGCTCATACTTGGAACATATAGCGCGTTCTTGATTTCGATCTCACGCTCTTCACCGTTGGGCAGAACCACCTTTTCCATGATGGTTCCCACACCCTTGATGGCCACCTTGTTGCCATCAGCCACCAAGAGTTCGCCCTCATTGCGCTCTGCCAAACTTGCGAACTTGGTCTTGTCGTGGCAAATGTGATGCGTTGCACCACTGTCGACGGCCCACATTCCAGACACTTCCTTGCTCGTCGAAACTCCACATTCGAACGAGACTGCAAACGCCACTCGATTGTAGCCATTGACTTCATCATGATGTCCCCACTGGACATTGTTAGCCCCGCGTCCACGACCATTGCCGCCGCGTCGGGCTCCCCGACCTTCGTTCTTCTGCTTTGTCCAGCAACGATCCACCGTGTGTCCCACCTTGCCACAATACGTGCATTGGTAAGGCTCACGCTCGGCGCTGAATGCCTTGCTTGCATCTTCAGCCTTCACGGTAGTCGCTGTCGTTGTCCCTTTTTCTCCTTGACGCTTGGCATGCCCATTCGTCAGGACTCTCACCACATCTTGAGTGCGAAGCTCGGTGCTGCTCATTTCCATGTTGAGCACCACATTTTCGTAGCTCTTCGGAAGACTAATTAGCAGACAAATTGCAACGTCTTCGTCTTCCATCTTCGCACCGATGCCGCTAAGCTTGGCGGAGATGTTGAGGACCTCGTTGCAGTGATGCATGAAATTCGCGCCTTCAGCCATCTTGATGCTGAAAAGTTGTCGCTTGAGGTAGATGCGTCCTGCCTTCTGCGACCCACCGTACAGCGTCTTCAGACTTGTCCACGCAACCCAGGCTTCCTTGCAGTTGTCCAGCACATGATGGTAGTCCGCGTTCATGTGCAGCAGCATCATGCCAAACGCGACGTTGCTTGCCTTGACGTAGTCATCGGACGCTCGCGGGTCGGTGAAAGTCGGAGTCACTTCTGTTGTAACTTGAGCGCGAGGCGAAGAGAAAACGAAGCGGAGAGACCGGAGAGAACGAAGCAGAGAACACTTGCTCACTTGAGGGAGGATTCGAAAGTGATTGATTTATAGGTCTTAACTTCTGCCTACCCTAGACTGCATCCAATCACATGGTGCATCTGATCAACCTGATTTACACGCGTCCAATCATCCTACGCGTCTAATCATCTCTGAGGTAATTACCGATGTAAAAACTATCTCGTAAGAACTACGCGCTAGGTTCGGATTGTACCGGTAACCCTCAATACGCCCCCTCAATCCGAACACGCACGGATGCCAAGCGCCGCCGTCAAGTCCTTGTGACGCGGTCCGTGAAGTCCCTTCGTCATGATGTCCGCCAACATCAACGTCGTCTCGCAGTATTCAAGCTTCACTTCGCCGTGCTTGACTTCATCACGGATGTGATGGTACTTGATGTCGATGTGTTTAGCGCGGCCGTGGTTGACCGGATTCTTCGTCATCTTGATGCACGACTGGTTGTCTTCACGGATGACGAGCTCGGGTCCTTCTTCGTTTGCAGCCGCCATGATCTCGCACAGCAAGCGATTGATCCACTTGCCTTCTTGGATCGCCAGGCTGAGCGCGATGTACTCCGCTTCGCTTGTAGACAGTGACACACTTGGCTGTTTCTTGCTGCCCCAACTCACCGGAGCACCCAATAGCATGAAGACGTAGCCGGACGTCGATTTGCGATCAGCAAGGTCACCGGCCCAGTCTGCATCTGAATAGCCTCGAAAGTCGATCTTCGCACTTGGCTTGTAGCAGATTCCATGCATCTTGGTGCCTTGTAGGTAGCGGAAGATGCGCTTGACTGCAACCCAGTGTTCTTCTTGGGGTTTCTCCATGAACCGTGACACAAAGCTTACAGCATAGGCGATGTCCGGTCGCGTTGCAGTCGTCAGATGCATCAAAGCACCCACTGCTTCACGGAATGGGACATCCACCTTGCTTGCAGAGTTGCTCGGAACCAGTCGAGAGCTGACGTCCACCGGACTTGCCACAGCCTTGCACTCATCCATTCCAAAGCGCTTGAGGACATCGTCGTCATAACGGCGCTGACACATAGTCACGCTGCCATCTTCACCGTCCAATAACTCGATCCCAAGAACAAAGGCACACTTGCCGCTATCAGTCATCTCGAAGCGTGTCTTGAGGTCTTTCTTGGTGTGCGCAATCATCTCGAGCGAGCTTCCAGTCACCAAGACATCGTCCACGTAGACCAGCGCAAAAACACAATGGCCTTCCGAAGTCATGATGTAGAGACATGGATCGAATCCCTATGCTTGAAAACCAATCGAGCGTATGAACTCGTCGAAGGTCTCGTTCCAAACACGCGAGGCTTGCTTGAGACCGTAGATCGCCTTGATCAGCTCGAGACAGTCGAAATCACCTTCCATCCTGACGCCTTCCGGAACAGCGCAGAACACCTTCTCCTTCATCACTCCATACAGGAACGCAGTCACCACATCGAGCTGGTCGAGGGGCCATCCAAAGTGCTTGGTAATGGCGATGACCATTCGCAGCGTCACATACTTGACCACGGGCGAGAACGTCTCCGTGTAGTCGATGCCATACTTTTGGCGAAAACCCTTGGCCACAAGTCGTGCCTTGTATTTCTCGATCGACCCATCCGCCTTGCGCTTGATCTTGAAGACCCACTTTGTGCCGATGGCGCCTTGTCCGTTGGGTAACTTGGCCGCACGAAAGACACCGCGAAGCTTCATCGAATCGAGCTCCGCATCAATTGCCTTGCGCCAATGTACTTGGTCCGGGCCAGACACTGCTTCTTCAAATGTCGACGGCTCCGAAAAATCGACCGCTGCTTCGACGGCGTTTGCACTCGCATGCCAAAACGCGGAGGAAGTCGGTGTGTCATGTTGTTCCTCCGACTTCCTTTCTTCATCTTCGTTGGCTCGACGTGAAGAGAGGTCATCCGGCGCACTTGACTCTTCCAATCCGGGTCGTTGGCGTACTGCTCGGGGCATGCTTGCGTCGTCATTGTCGTGACTGGGTTGGGCCTTGCGCTTTCCTGTTTGTTTGAAGTGTCTCGGACGCGGTTCTTCATCATCAAGATCGATCGATTCGAAGTCCAGGCCATCAACATCGTCATCGGAAATCAGTATCGACAGTCCAAAGGCCGACTCATCGAAGTTGACATCGCGACTTATCATCACCTGCCCCGCTTCGATGTCGTAAACTCGATACGCCTTGGACACTTCTTCGTAGCCCAAAAACAATCCAGCCCGGGCCTTGGGATCCCACTTGAGTCGTTTCTCCTTCGGGGTCAAGATGTATGCTTGGCACCCAAAAACGCGCATGTGCTTGACACTTGGCTTAGAATTGTAGACAATCTCGAACGGTGTCTTGTGTGGAATCTTGGGTGACGGCAAACGGTTCTTCACATAGACGGCCGTCATTGCCGCTTCAGCCCAGAAGCACTTGTCCAACTTGGCATGATGGAGCATGCTACGACCGATGGTGACGATAGTTCGAATCGCGCGTTCAGCAGTTCCATTGGCTTGATGTGCGTATGGCACCGTGGTTTGTTGCTCGATGCCTTCGACTTCGTAGAAATCTTGAAGCGAGTTCGCCGCAAACTCGCGGGCTCCATCGTGTCGCACAAACTTGACCTTCTTGTTGAACTGCGTCTGTATCATCGTGATGTACTTCTTGATGCACTCTTCGCTCTCTGACTTGGAATGCAGACAAAAACCCTTCATGCATCCGCTTGCTTCATCCACGATCAGCAGCAGATACTTGCTGCCACCCAGAGATTTTTCTTCCATGGGTCCGCAGATGTCGAAGTGGAGCATCTCGAAGGTGTTGTAGGTGCGCTTGTCACGGTTGCTCGGGAACGGTTTTTGGACCATCTTCCCTTCTTGGCATCCTCGACACACACTTGATACATTCGGCTTGGAAGGGATGTGAGCGTCCTTGATCATGTGGCTTATCACCATCCTGCGAAGCACGTCGACTGGAGCATGGCCCATTCGCGCATGTAGATCAACAGCGTTGCTGAGTGATGTCGCATTGGCCGATCGCTGCGTCGTGCGAAGCCAGTAGAGTCCGTCTACAAGATCCGCAGCTGCCACCACTTGATTGGAATCCTTGCGAGCGACGTACATCGTATCCCCGTCAAACACCACTTGGAAGTTGCCGTGCTTGTTAATCTGCGGCACCGAGAGCAGATTTTTGCTCATGCTGGGCACATAGAGCGCGTTCTTGATCTCGATCTCGCGCTCTTCCCCGTTTGGCAGAATCACCTTTTCCAAGATGGTCCCCACACCTTTGATGGCCGCCTTGTTGCCATCAGCCACCAGGATCTCGCCATCATTGCCTTCGACCAAGCTTGCAAACTTGAACTTGTCGTGGCAGATGTGATGTGTTGCCCCGCTGTCAACGGCCCACATTCCTGGTCCATTCTTGTTCGTCGAAACTCCGCATTCGAACGAAACTGCAAACGCCACTCGATCGTAGCTGTTGCCTTCATCATAATGTCGCCAGTGGACATTGTTTGCCCCGCGTCGACGACCATTGCCGCCGCGTTGGGCTCCTCGACTTTCATCCTTTTGCTTCGTCCAGCAACGCTCTGCCGTGTGCCCCACCTTGCCGCAGTATGTGCATTGGTAGGGCTTGCGCTCGGTACTGAATGCCTTTGTCGCATCTTCAGTCTTCACCGTTGTCGTTGCCGTTGTCATCTTCTCGCCTTGTCGCTTGATGTGCTCGTTAGTCAGCACCTTGACCACATCTTGCGTGCGCAGCTCTGCATTGCTCATCTCCAAGTTGAGAACCACGTTCTCGAAACTCTTGGGCAGACTGCGCAGTAAGCAGATCGCAATGTCTTCGTCTTCCATCTTGGCACCGATGCTGCTGAGCTTGGCGCCGATGTTCAAGACTTCGTTGCAATGGTGCAAGACGTTGGCACCTTCCGCCATCTTGATGCTGAACAGCTGGTGCTTGAGGTAGATGCGTCCCGCCTTCTGCGACCCACCATAGAGCATCTTCAACCGCGACCTCGCTGTCCATGCTTCTTCACAGTTGTCGACCACATGGTGGTAGTCGGCGTCCATGTGGAGCAACATCAACCCGAACGCGATGTTGCTCGCCTTGACGTAGTCATCGGACGCTCGCGGGTCGGTGAAAGTCGGAGTCACTTCTGTTGTAACTTGAGCGCGAGGCGAAGAGAAAACGAAGCGGAGAGACCGGAGAGAACGAAGCAGAGAACACTTGCTCACTTGAGGGGAGGATTCGAAAGTGATTGATTTATAGGTCTTAACTTCTGCCTACCCTAGACTGCATCCAATCACATGGTGCATCTAATCAACCTGATATACACGCGTCCAATCATCCTACGCGTCTAATCAACTATGGTAATTACCGTAAGAACTACGTCGTAAATACTAAGCTGAACAGGCGGTTCGGATTGGACCGGTCACGGTTACCAATACTAGTAGAAACCGATGACCGTCAACACGCCCCCTCAAGCCGAACTCGCACGAATGCCGAGAGCCGTCGTCAAGTCCTTTTGGCGAGGTCCCGAAAGTCCCTTGGTCATGGTGTCCGCCATCATCTCGGAAGTCTCGCAATACTCGAGCTGCACTTCACCGCGCTTGACCTCATCACGGATGTGATGGTACTTGATGTCGATGTGCTTGGCGCGGCCATGATTCACCGGATTCTTTGTCATCTTGATGCACGACTGGTTGTCTTCACGGATGACGAGGTCCGGTCCTGGTTCGTTTGCGGCCGCCAAAATCTCGCATAGCAGGCGATGCACCCACTTGCCTTCCTGGATGGCCAGACTCAGTGCGATGTATTCCGCTTCACTCGTCGACAGCGACACACTTGACTGCTTCTTGCTTCCCCAACTCACAGGAGCACCCATCAGCATGAAAGTGTAACCCGAAGTCGACTTGCGATCAGCGTGGTCGCCGGCCCAGTCCGCGTCCGAGTAGCCACGAAAGTCGATCTTGTCGCTTGGCTGGAAGCGGAGTCCGTGCGACTTGGTCCCTTGCAAGTAACGAAAGATGCGCTTCACCGCCGTCCCATGTTCTTGCTGCGGATTCTCCATGAAGCGCGAGACGTACCCCACAGCATACGCAATGTCCGGGCGCGTCGCAGTCGTCAAGTGCATCAAAGCTCCCACAGCTTCACGAAACGGAACGTCGATCTTGGCCGCTTCGCTGCTTGCGACAAGCCGAGTGCTCAAGTCGACCGGACTTGCTGTGGCCTTGCACTCATCCATGCCGAAGCACTTGAGGATGTCGTTGACATACCGTCGCTGGCACATCGTCACGCTGCCATCCGATTCATCCACCAGTTCGATGCCCAGTACAAAAGTACACTTGCCACTGTCGGTCATCTCGAAACGCGTCTTGAGGTCGGCCTTCGTCTGCGCAATCAACTCGAGCGAGCTGCCGGTGACCAACACGTCATCCACGTAGACCAGCACGAGCACACAATGACCGTCGACAACCTTGATGTAGAGACATGGGTCGAACGCCGACGCTTCGAAACCGATGGAGCATACGAACTCGTCGAAAGTCTCGTTCCACACACGTGAAGCTTGCTTGAGACCGTAGATCGCCTTCACCAACTCGAGACAGTCGAAGTCGCCATCCATCTCGACGCCTTCTGGTATCACGCAGTACACCTTCTCCTTCATCACTCCGTAGAGAAAGGCTGTCACCACATCGAGTTGGTCCAGTAGCTGTTGCATTGTAGATCGGAGCGAGGAAAGCGGAGCGAACGGAGCGGAGAGACCGAAGAGAGTAGAGCAGAAAAGACTTGCCCAATAGTTGGAAGATTCGAAAAGTGATTGATTATCGGGGCTTACTACTTACTACATGATTTATATGTGGTGTACATATAAATCATGTGAAGCGTCTCATCATCCTCCGCGTCTAATCAACTATGGTAATTACCGTAAGAACTACGTCGTAAATACTAAGCTGAACAGGCGGTTCGGATTGGATCGGTCACGGTTACCAATACTGGTAGAAAACGATGACCGTCAACACGCCCCCTCAATCCGAATGCTCACGAATCCCGAGAGCCGTCGTCATCTCCTTGTGGCGTGGTCCATGAAGTCCCTTCTTCATGATGTCTGCTAACATCACCGCAGTTTCACAGTACTTGAGCTTCACTTCACCGCGCTTGACCTCATCACGGATGTGATGGTACTTGATATCAATTGCTTGGCACGGCCGTGGTTGACTGGGTTCTTCGTCATCTTGATACATGACTGATTGTCTTCATGAATCATGAGTTCCGGTACTTCTTCATTTGCAGCCATCAAATATTTGCTGCCACCGAGCGAATCCTTTTCCATGGACACGCAGATGTCCAGATGAAGTAGCTCAAACGTATCGTAGCTGCGCTTGTCTCGGTTGCTTGGAAATGGTTTTTGGACCATTTTCCCTTGTTGACATCCTCGACATGTAGTTGCTCCACCCGACTTGAGAGGGACTCGCACATCCTTGATCATGTTGGTCGCGATCATCTTGCGAAGTACATCGACTGGAGCATGACCCATTCTCGCATGTAGATCGGCACAACTGGTTCCACTTGTTGTCACATTCGCTGATTGTTGAGTCGTCCGAAGCCAGTAGAGTCCATCCACGAGATCCGCTGTCGCCACCACTTGCTGTGAGTTCTTGAGAGTCACATACATCTTGGACCCGTCAAACACGACTTGAAACTTGCCATGGCTGTTAATCTGTGGCACCGAGAGCAGGTTCTTGCTCATACTTGGAACATATAGCGCGTTCTTGATTTCGATCTCACGCTCTTCACCGTTGGGCAGAACCACCTTTTCCATGATGGTTCCCACACCCTTGATGGCCACCTTGTTGCCATCAGCCACCAAGAGTTCGCCCTCATTGCGCTCTGCCAAACTTGCGAACTTGGTCTTGTCGTGGCAAATGTGATGCGTTGCACCACTGTCGACGGCCCACATTCCAGACACTTCCTTGCTCGTCGAAACTCCACATTCGAACGAGACTGCAAACGCCACTCGATTGTAGCCATTGACTTCATCATGATGTCCCCACTGGACATTGTTAGCCCCACGTCCACGACCATTGCCGCCGCGTCGGGCTCCTCGACCTTCCTTCTTCTGCTTCGTCCAACAGCGATCCACCGTGTGTCCCACCTTGCCACAATACGTGCATTGGTAAGGCTCACGCTCGGCGCTGAATGCCTTGCTTGCATCTTCAGCCTTCACGGTAGTCGCTGTCGTTGTCCCTTTTTCTCCTTGACGCTTGGCATGCCCATTCGTCAGGACTCTCACCACATCTTGAGTGCGAAGCTCGGTGCTGCTCATTTCCATGTTGAGCACCACATTTTCGTAGCTCTTCGGAAGACTAATTAGCAGACAAATTGCAACGTCTTCGTCTTCCATCTTCGCACCGATGCCGCTAAGCTTGGCGGAGATGTTGAGGACCTCGTTGCAGTGATGCATGAAATTCGCGCCTTCAGCCATCTTGATGCTGAAAAGTTGTCGCTTGAGGTAGATGCGTCCTGCCTTCTGCGACCCACCGTACAGCGTCTTCAGACTTGTCCACGCAACCCAGGCTTCCTTGCAGTTGTCCAGCACATGATGGTAGTCCGCGTTCATGTGCAGCAGCATCATGCCAAACGCGACGTTGCTTGCCTTGACGTAGTCATCGGACGCTCGCGGGTCGGTGAAAGTCGGAGTCACTTCTGTTGTAACTTGAGCGCGAGGCGAAGAGAAAACGAAGCGGAGAGACCGGAGAGAACGAAGCAGAGAACACTTGCTCACTTGAGGGAGGATTCGAAAGTGATTGATTTATAGGTCTTAACTTCTGCCTACCCTAGACTGCATCCAATCACATGGTGCATCTGATCAACCTGATTTACACGCGTCCAATCATCCTACGCGTCTAATCATCGCTGAGGTAATTACCGATGTAAAAACTATCTCGTAAGAACTACGCGCTAGGTTCGGATTGTACCGGTAACCCTCAATACGCCCCCTCAATCCGAACACGCACGGATGCCAAGCGCCGCCGTCAAGTCCTTGTGACGCGGTCCGTGAAGTCCCTTCGTCATGATGTCCGCCAACATCAACGTCGTCTCGCAGTATTCAAGCTTCACTTCGCCGTGCTTGACTTCATCACGGATGTGATGGTACTTGATGTCGATGTGTTTAGCGCGGCCGTGGTTGACCGGATTCTTCGTCATCTTGATGCACGACTGGTTGTCTTCACGGATGACGAGCTCGGGTCCTTCTTCGTTTGCAGCCGCCATGATCTCGCACAGCAAGCGATTGATCCACTTGCCTTCTTGGATCGCCAGGCTGAGCGCGATGTACTCCGCTTCGCTTGTAGACAGTGACACACTTGGCTGTTTCTTGCTGCCCCAACTCACCGGAGCACCCAATAGCATGAAGACGTAGCCGGACGTCGATTTGCGATCAGCAAGGTCACCGGCCCAGTCTGCATCTGAATAGCCTCGAAAGTCGATCTTCGCACTTGGCTTGTAGCAGATTCCATGCATCTTGGTGCCTTGTAGGTAGCGGAAGATGCGCTTGACTGCAACCCAGTGTTCTTCTTGGGGTTTCTCCATGAACCGTGACACAAAGCTTACAGCATAGGCGATGTCCGGTCGCGTTGCAGTCGTCAGATGCATCAAAGCACCCACTGCTTCACGGAATGGGACATCCACCTTGCTTGCAGAGTTGCTCGGAACCAGTCGAGAGCTGACGTCCACCGGACTTGCCACAGCCTTGCACTCATCCATTCCAAAGCGCTTGAGGACATCGTCGTCATAACGGCGCTGACACATAGTCACGCTGCCATCTTCACCGTCCAATAACTCGATCCCAAGAACAAATGCACACTTGCCGCTATCAGTCATCTCGAAGCGTGTCTTCAGGTCTTCCTTGGTGTGTGCAATCATCTCGAGCGAGCTTCCAGTCACCAAGACATCGTCCACGTAGACCAGCGCAAAAACACAATGGCCTTCCGAAGTCATGATGTAGAGACATGGATCGAATCCCTATGCTTGAAAACCAATCGAGCGTATGAACTCGTCGAAGGTCTCGTTCCAAACACGCGAGGCTTGCTTGAGACCGTAGATCGCCTTGATCAGCTCGAGACAGTCGAAATCACCTTCCATCCTGACGCCTTCCGGAACAGCGCAGAACACCTTCTCCTTCATCACTCCATACAGGAACGCAGTCACCACATCGAGCTGGTCGAGGGGCCATCCAAAGTGCTTGGTAATGGCGATGACCATTCGCAGCGTCACATACTTGACCACGGGCGAGAACGTCTCCGTGTAGTCGATGCCATACTTTTGGCGAAAACCCTTGGCCACAAGTCGTGCCTTGTATTTCTCGATCGACCCATCCGCCTTGCGCTTGATCTTGAAGACCCACTTTGTGCCGATGGCGCCTTGTCCGTTGGGTAACTTGGCCGCACGAAAGACACCGCGAAGCTTCATCGAATCGAGCTCCGCATCAATTGCCTTGCGCCAATGTACTTGGTCCGGGCCAGACACTGCTTCTTCAAATGTCGACGGCTCCGAAAAATCGACCGCTGCTTCGACGGCGTTTGCACTCGCATGCCAAAACGCGGAGGAAGTCGGTGTGTCATGTTGTTCCTCCGACTTCCTTTCTTCATCTTCGTTGGCTCGACGTGAAGAGAGGTCATCCGGCGCACTTGACTCTTCCAATCCGGGTCGTTGGCGTACTGCTCGGGGCATGCTTGCGTCGTCATTGTCGTGACTGGGTTGGGCCTTGCGCTTTCCTGTTTGTTTGAAGTGTCTCGGACGCGGTTCTTCATCATCAAGATCGATCGATTCGAAGTCCAGGCCATCAACATCGTCATCGGAAATCAGTATCGACAGTCCAAAGGCCGACTCATCGAAGTTGACATCGCGACTTATCATCACCTGCCCCGCTTCGATGTCGTAAACTCGATACGCCTTGGACACTTCTTCGTAGCCCAAAAACAATCCAGCCCGGGCCTTGGGATCCCACTTGAGTCGTTTCTCCTTCGGGGTCAAGATGTATGCTTGGCACCCAAAAACGCGCATGTGCTTGACACTTGGCTTAGAATTGTAGACAATCTCGAACGGTGTCTTGTGTGGAATCTTGGGTGACGGCAAACGGTTCTTCACATAGACGGCCGTCATTGCCGCTTCAGCCCAGAAGCACTTGTCCAACTTGGCATGATGGAGCATGCTACGACCGATGGTGACGATAGTTCGAATCGCGCGTTCAGCAGTTCCATTGGCTTGATGTGCGTATGGCACCGTGGTTTGTTGCTCGATGCCTTCGACTTCGTAGAAATCTTGAAGCGAGTTCGCCGCAAACTCGCGGGCTCCATCGTGTCGCACAAACTTGACCTTCTTGTTGAACTGCGTCTGTATCATCGTGATGTACTTCTTGATGCACTCTTCGCTCTCTGACTTGGAATGCAGACAAAAACCCTTCATGCATCCGCTTGCTTCATCCACGATCAGCAGCAGATACTTGCTGCCACCCAGAGATTTTTCTTCCATGGGTCCGCAGATGTCGAAGTGGAGCATCTCGAAGGTGTTGTAGGTGCGCTTGTCACGGTTGCTCGGGAACGGTTTTTGGACCATCTTCCCTTCTTGGCATCCTCGACACACACTTGATACATTCGGCTTGGAAGGGATGTGAGCGTCCTTGATCATGTGGCTTATCACCATCCTGCGAAGCACGTCGACTGGAGCATGGCCCATTCGCGCATGTAGATCAACAGCGTTGCTGAGTGATGTCGCATTGGCCGATCGCTGCGTCGTGCGAAGCCAGTAGAGTCCGTCTACAAGATCCGCAGCTGCCACCACTTGATTGGAATCCTTGCGAGCGACGTACATCGTATCCCCGTCAAACACCACTTGGAAGTTGCCGTGCTTGTTAATCTGCGGCACCGAGAGCAGATTTTTGCTCATGCTGGGCACATAGAGCGCGCTTCTTGATCTCGATCTCGCGCTCTTCCCCGTTTGGCAGAATCACCTTTTCCAAGATGGTCCCCACACCTTTGATGGCCGCCTTGTTGCCATCAGCCACCAGGATCTCGCCATCATTGCCTTCGACCAAGCTTGCAAACTTGAACTTGTCGTGGCAGATGTGATGTGTTGCCCCGCTGTCAACGGCCCACATTCCTGGTCCATTCTTGTTCGTCGAAACTCCGCATTCGAACGAAACTGCAAACGCCACTCGATCGTAGCTGTTGCCTTCATCATAATGTCGCCACTGGACATTGTTTGCCCCCGCGTCCACGACCATTGCCGCCGCGTTGGGCTCCTCGACTTTCATCCTTTTGCTTCGTCCAGCAACGCTCTGCCGTGTGCCCCACCTTGCCGCAGTATGTGCATTGGTAGGGCTTGCGCTCGGTACTGAATGCCTTTGTCGCATCTTCAGTCTTCACCGTTGTCGTTGCCGTTGTCATCTTCTCGCCTTGTCGCTTGATGTGCTCGTTAGTCAGCACCTTGACCACATCTTGCGTGCGCAGCTCTGCATTGCTCATCTCCAAGTTCAGAACCACGTTCTCGAAACTCTTCGGGAGACTGAGCAGCAAGCAGATCGCAATGTCTTCGTCTTCCATCTTGGCACCGATGCTGCTGAGCTTGGCGCCGATGTTCAAGACTTCGTTGCAATGGTGCAAGACGTTGGCACCTTCCGCCATCTTGATGCTGAACAGCTGGTGCTTGAGGTAGATGCGTCCCGCCTTCTGCGACCCACCATAGAGCATCTTCAACCGCGACCTCGCTGTCCATGCTTCTTCACAGTTGTCGACCACATGGTGGTAGTCGGCGTCCATGTGGAGCAACATCAACCCGAACGCGATGTTGCTCGCCTTGACGTAGTCATCGGACGCTCGCGGGTCGGTGAAAGTCGGAGTCACTTCTGTTGTAACTTGAGCGCGAGGCGAAGAGAAAACGAAGCGGAGAGACCGGAGAGAACGAAGCAGAGAACACTTGCTCACTTGAGGGAGGATTCGAAAGTGATTGATTTATAGGTCTTAACTTCTGCCTACCCTAGACTGCATCCAATCACATGGTGCATCTAATCAACCTGATATACACGCGTCCAATCATCCTACGCGTCTAATCAACTATGGTAATTACCGTAAGAACTACGTCGTAAATACTAAGCTGAACAGGCGGTTCGGATTGGACCAGTCACGGTTACCAATACTGGTAGAAAACGATGACCGTCAACACGCCCCCTCAAGCCGAACTCGCACGAATGCCGAGAGCCGTCGTCAAGTCCTTTTGGCGAGGTCCCGAAAGTCCCTTGGTCATGGTGTCCGCCATCATCTCGGAAGTCTCGCAATACTCGAGCTGCACTTCACCGCGCTTGACCTCATCACGGATGTGATGGTACTTGATGTCGATGTGCTTGGCGCGGCCATGATTCACCGGATTCTTTGTCATCTTGATGCACGACTGGTTGTCTTCACGGATGACGAGGTCCGGTCCTGGTTCGTTTGCGGCCGCCAAAATCTCGCATAGCAGGCGATGCACCCACTTGCCTTCCTGGATGGCCAGACTCAGTGCGATGTATTCCGCTTCACTCGTCGACAGCGACACACTTGACTGCTTCTTGCTTCCCCAACTCACAGGAGCACCCATCAGCATGAAAGTGTAACCCGAAGTCGACTTGCGATCAGCGTGGTCGCCGGCCCAGTCCGCGTCCGAGTAGCCACGAAAGTCGATCTTGTCGCTTGGCTGGAAGCGGAGTCCGTGCGACTTGGTCCCTTGCAAGTAACGAAAGATGCGCTTCACCGCCGTCCCATGTTCTTGCTGCGGATTCTCCATGAAGCGCGAGACGTACCCCACAGCATACGCAATGTCCGGGCGCGTCGCAGTCGTCAAGTGCATCAAAGCTCCCACAGCTTCACGAAACGGAACGTCGATCTTGGCCGCTTCGCTGCTTGCGACAAGCCGAGTGCTCAATTCGACCGGACTTGCTGTGGCCTTGCACTCATCCATGCCGAAGCACTTGAGGATGTCGTTGACATACCGTCGCTGGCACATCGTCACGCTGCCATCCGATTCATCCACCAGTTCGATGCCCAGTACAAAAGTACACTTGCCACTGTCGGTCATCTCGAAACGCGTCTTGAGGTCGGCCTTCGTCTGCGCAATCAACTCGAGCGAGCTGCCGGTGACCAACACGTCATCCACGTAGACCAGCACGAGCACACAATGACCGTCGACAACCTTGATGTAGAGACATGGGTCGAACGCCGACGCTTCGAAACCGATGGAGCATACGAACTCGTCGAAAGTCTCGTTCCACACACGTGAAGCTTGCTTGAGACCGTAGATCGCCTTCACCAACTCGAGACAGTCGAAGTCGCCATCCATCTCGACGCCTTCTGGTATCACGCAGTACACCTTCTCCTTCATCACTCCGTAGAGAAAGGCTGTCACCACATCGAGTTGGTCCAGTAGCTGTTGCATTGTAGATCGGAGCGAGGAAAGCGGAGCGAACGGAGCGGAGAGACCGAAGAGAGTAGAGCAGAAAAGACTTGCCCAATAGTTGGAAGATTCGAAAAGTGATTGATTATCGGGGCTTACTACTTACTACATGATTTATATGTGGTGTACATATAAATCATGTGAAGCGTCTCATCATCCTCCGCGTCTAATCAACTATGGTAATTACCGTAAGAACTGCGTCGTAAATACTAAGCTGAACAGGCGGTTCGGATTGGATCGGTCACGGTTACCAATACTGGTAGAAAACGATGACCGTCAACACGCCCCCTCAATCCGAATGCTCACGAATCCCGAGAGCCGTCGTCATCTCCTTGTGGCGCGGTCCATGAAGTCCCTTGGTCATGATGTCTGCTAACATCACCGCAGTCTCACAGTACTTGAGCTTGACTTGGCCGCGCTTGACCTCATCACGGATGTGATGGTACTTGATGTCAATGTGCTTGGCACGGCCATGGTTGACTGGGTTCTTCGTCATCTTGATACATGACTGATTGTCTTCATGAATCATGAGTTCCGGTACTTCTTCATTTGCAGCCATCAAATATTTGCTGCCACCGAGCGAATCCTTTTCCATGGACACGCAGATGTCCAGATGAAGTAGCTCAAACGTATCGTAGCTGCGCTTGTCTCGGTTGCTTGGAAATGGTTTTTGGACCATTTTCCCTTGTTGACATCCTCGACATGTAGTTGCTCCACCCGACTTGAGAGGGACTCGCACATCCTTGATCATGTTGGTCGCGATCATCTTGCGAAGTACATCGACTGGAGCATGACCCATTCTCGCATGTAGATCGGCACAACTGGTTCCACTTGTTGTCACATTCGCTGATTGTTGAGTCGTCCGAAGCCAGTAGAGTCCATCCACGAGATCCGCTGTCGCCACCACTTGCTGTGAGTTCTTGAGAGTCACATACATCTTGGACCCGTCAAACACGACTTGAAACTTGCCATGGCTGTTAATCTGTGGCACCGAGAGCAGGTTCTTGCTCATACTTGGAACATATAGCGCGTTCTTGATTTCGATCTCACGCTCTTCACCGTTGGGCAGAACCACCTTTTCCATGATGGTTCCCACACCCTTGATGGCCACCTTGTTGCCATCAGCAACCAAGAGTTCGCCCTCATTGCGCTCTGCCAAACTTGCGAACTTGGTCTTGTCGTGGCAAATGTGATGCGTTGCACCACTGTCGACGGCCCACATTCCAGACACTTCCTTGCTCGTCGAAACTCCACATTCGAACGAGACTGCAAACGCCACTCGATTGTAGCCATTGACTTCATCATGATGTCCCCACTGGACATTGTTAGCCCCGCGTCCACGACCATTGCCGCCGCGTCGGGCTCCTCGACCTTCATTCTTCTGCTTCGTCCAACAGCGATCCACTGTGTGTCCTACCTTGCCACAATACGTGCATTGGTAAGGCTCACGCTCGGCGCTGAATGCCTTGCTTGCATCTTCAGCCTTCACGGTAGTCGCTGTCGTTGTCCCTTTTTCTCCTTGACGCTTGGCATGCCCATTCGTCAGGACTCTCACCACATCTTGAGTGCGAAGCTCGGTGCTGCTCATTTCCATGTTGAGCACCACATTTTCGTAGCTCTTCGGAAGACTAATTAGCAGACAAATTGCAACGTCTTCGTCTTCCATCTTCGCACCGATGCCGCTAAGCTTGGCGGAGATGTTGAGGACCTCGTTGCAGTGATGCATGAAATTCGCGCCTTCAGCCATCTTGATGCTGAAAAGTTTTCGCTTGAGGTAGATGCGTCCTGCCTTCTGCGACCCACCGTACAGCGTCTTCAGACTTGTCCACGCAACCCAGGCTTCCTTGCAGTTGTCCAGCACATGATGGTAGTCCGCGTTCATGTGCAGCAGCATCATGCCAAACGCGACGTTGCTTGCCTTGACGTAGTCATCGGACGCTCGCGGGTCGGTGAAAGTCGGAGTCACTTCTGTTGTAACTTGAGCGCGAGGCGAAGAGAAAACGAAGCGGAGAGACCGGAGAGAACGAAGCAGAGAACACTTGCTCACTTGAGGGAGGATTCGAAAGTGATTGATTTATAGGTCTTAACTTCTGCCTACCCTAGACTGCATCCAATCACATGGTGCATCTGATCAACCTGATTTACACGCGTCCAATCATCCTACGCGTCTAATCATCTCTGAGGTAATTACCGATGTAAAAACTATCTCGTAAGAACTACGCGCTAGGTTCGGATTGTACCGGTAACCCTCAATACGCCCCCTCAATCCGAACACACACGGATGCCAAGCGCCGCCGTCAAGTCCTTGTGACGCGGTCCGTGAAGTCCCTTCGTCATGATGTCCGCCAACATCAACGTCGTCTCGCAGTATTCAAGCTTCACTTCGCCGCGCTTGACTTCATCACGGATGTGATGGTACTTGATGTCGATGTGTTTAGCGCGGCCGTGGTTGACCGGATTCTTCGTCATCTTGATGCACGACTGGTTGTCTTCACGGATGACGAGCTCGGGTCCTTCTTCGTTTGCAGCCGCCATGATCTCGCACAGCAAGCGATTGATCCACTTGCCTTCTTCGATCGCCAGGCTGAGCGCGATGTACTCCGCTTCGCTTGTAGACAGTGACACACTTGGCTGTTTCTTGCTGCCCCAACTCACCGGAGCACCCAATAGCATGAAGACGTAGCCGGACGTCGATTTGCGATCAGCAAGGTCACCGGCCCAGTCTGCATCTGAATAGCCTCGAAAGTCGATCTTCGCACTTGGCTTGTAGCAGATTCCATGCATCTTGGTGCCTTGTAGGTAGCGGAAGATGCGCTTGACTGCAACCCAGTGTTCTTCTTGGGGTTTCTCCATGAACCGTGACACAAAGCTTACAGCATAGGCGATGTCCGGTCGCGTTGCAGTCGTCAGATGCATCAAAGCACCCACTGCTTCACGGAATGGGACATCCACCTTGCTTGCAGAGTTGCTCGGAACCAGTCGAGAGCTGACGTCCACCGGACTTGCCACAGCCTTGCACTCATCCATTCCAAAGCGCTTGAGGACATCGTCGTCATAACGGCGCTGACACATAGTCACGCTGCCATCTTCACCGTCCAATAACTCGATCCCAAGAACAAAGGCACACTTGCCGCTGTCCGTCATCTCGAAGCGTGTCTTGAGGTCGTTCTTGGTGTGCGCAATCATCTCGAGCGAGCTTCCAGTCACCAAGACATCGTCCACGTAGACCAGCGCAAAAACACAATGGCCTTCCGAAGTCATGATGTAGAGACATGGATCGAATCCCTATGCTTGAAAACCAATCGAGCGTATGAACTCGTCGAAGGTCTCGTTCCAAACACGCGAGGCTTGCTTGAGACCGTAGATCGCCTTGATCAGCTCGAGACAGTCGAAATCACCTTCCATCCTGACGCCTTCCGGAACAGCGCAGAACACCTTCTCCTTCATCACTCCATACAGGAACGCAGTCACCACATCGAGCTGGTCGAGGGGCCATCCAAAGTGCTTGGTAATGGCGATGACCATTCGCAGCGTCACATACTTGACCACGGGCGAGAACGTCTCCGTGTAGTCGATGCCATACTTTTGGCGAAAACCCTTGGCCACAAGTCGTGCCTTGTATTTCTCGATCGACCCATCCGCCTTGCGCTTGATCTTGAAGACCCACTTTGTGCCGATGGCGCCTTGTCCGTTGGGTAACTTGGCCGCACGAAAGACACCGCGAAGCTTCATCGAATCGAGCTCCGCATCAATTGCCTTGCGCCAATGTACTTGGTCCGGGCCAGACACTGCTTCTTCAAATGTCGACGGCTCCGAAAAATCGACCGCTGCTTCGACGGCGTTTGCACTCGCATGCCAAAACGCGGAGGAAGTCGGTGTGTCATGTTGTTCCTCCGACTTCCTTTCTTCATCTTCGTTGGCTCGACGTGAAGAGAGGTCATCCGGCGCACTTGACTCTTCCAATCCGGGTCGTTGGCGTACTGCTCGGGGCATGCTTGCGTCGTCATTGTCGTGACTGGGTTGGGCCTTGCGCTTTCCTGTTTGTTTGAAGTGTCTCGGACGCGGTTCTTCATCATCAAGATCGATCGATTCGAAGTCCAGGCCATCAACATCGTCATCGGAAATCAGTATCGACAGTCCAAAGGCCGACTCATCGAAGTTGACATCGCGACTTATCATCACCTGCCCCGCTTCGACGTCGTAAACTCGATACGCCTTGGACACTTCTTCGTAGCCCAAAAACAATCCAGCCTGGGCCTTGGGATCCCACTTGAGTCGTTTCTCCTTCGGGGTCAAGATGTATGCTTGGCACCCAAAAACGCGCATGTGCTTGACACTTGGCTTAGAATTGTAGACAATCTCGAACGGTGTCTTGTGTGGAATCTTGGGTGACGGCAAACGGTTCTTCACATAGACGGCCGTCATTGCCGCTTCAGCCCAGAAGCACTTGTCCAACTTGGCATGATGGAGCATGCTGCGGCCGATCGTGACGATAGTTCGAATCGCGCGTTCAGCAGTTCCATTGGCTTGATGTGCGTATGGCACCGTGGTTTGTTGCTCGATGCCTTCGACTTCGTAGAAATCTTGAAGCGAGTTCGTCGCAAACTCGCAAGCTCGTCGTGGCGCACAAAACTTGACCTTCTTGCTGAACTGCGTCTGCATCATCGTGATGTACTTCTTGATGCACTCTTCGCTCTCTGACTTGGAATGCAGACAAAAACCCTTCATGCATCCGCTTGCTTCATCCACGATCAGCAGCAGATACTTGCTGCCACCCAGAGATTTTTCTTCCATGGGTCCGCAGATGTCGAAGTGGAGCATCTCGAAGGTGTTGTAGGTGCGCTTGTCACGGTTGCTCGGGAACGGTTTTTGGACCATCTTCCCTTCTTGGCATCCTCGACACACACTTGATCCATTCGGCTTGGAAGGGATGTGAGCGTCCTTGATCATGTGGCTTGTCACCATCCTGCGAAGCACGTCGACTGGAGCATGGCCCATTCGCGCATGTAGATCAACAGCGTTGCTGAGTGATGTCGCATTGGCCGATCGCTGCGTCGTGCGAAGCCAGTAGAGTCCGTCTACAAGATCCGCAGCTGCCACCACTTGATTGGAATCCTTGCGAGCGACGTACATCGTATCCCCGTCAAACACCACTTGGAAGTTGCCGTGCTTGTTAATCTGCGGCACCGAGAGCAGATTTTTGCTCATGCTGGGCACATAGAGCGCGTTCTTGATCTCGATCTCGCGCTCTTCCCCGTTTGGCAGAATCACCTTTTCCACGATGGTCCCCACACCTTTGATGGCCGCCTTGTTGCCACCAGCCACCAGGATCTCGCCATCATTGCCTTCGACCAAGCTTGCAAACTTGAACTTGTCGTGGCAGATGTGATGTGTTGCCCCGCTGTCAACGGCCCACATTCCTGGTCCATTCTTGTTCGTCGAAACTCCGCATTCGAACGAAACTGCAAACGCCACTCGATCGTAGCTGTTGCCTTCATCATAATGTCGCCAGTGGACATTGTTTGCCCCGCGTCGACGACCATTGCCGCCGCGTTGGGCTCCTCGACTTTCATCCTTTTGCTTCGTCCAGCAACGCTCTGCCGTGTGCCCCACCTTGCCGCAGTATGTGCATTGGTAGGGCTTGCGCTCGGTACTGAATGCCTTTGTCGCATCTTCAGTCTTCACCGTTGTCGTTGCCGTTGTCATCTTCTCGCCTTGTCGCTTGATGTGCTCGTTAGTCAGCACCTTGACCACATCTTGCGTGCGCAGCTCTGCATTGCTCATCTCCAAGTTGAGAACCACGTTCTCGAAACTATTGGGCAGACTGCGCAGTAAGCAGATCGCAATGTCTTCGTCTTCCATCTTGGCACCGATGCTGCTGAGCTTGGCGCCGATGTTCAAGACTTCGTTGCAATGGTGCAAGACGTTGGCACCTTCCGCCATCTTGATGCTGAACAGCTGGTGCTTGAGGTAGATGCGTCCCGCCTTCTGCGACCCACCATAGAGCATCTTCAACCGCGACCTCGCTGTCCATGCTTCTTCACAGTTGTCGACCACATGGTGGTAGTCGGCGTCCATGTGGAGCAACATCAACCCGAACGCGATGTTGCTCGCCTTGACGTACTCGTCGGAAGCTCGCGTGTCGGTGAAGGTTGGAGACGTTTCGCGGTTCACGACGTACCAGACTGACTTCGTCAGAAACACGCCGCGCATGTAGCGACACCAGGTTGAGTAGTTGTCCCCATCGACCTTATCGATGGAGACACTGGCCGAGGTGTTGTTGGACGACATGGCGCTTGGGCTCATAACCTGTTGTAACTTGAGCGCGAGGCGAAGAGAAAACGAAGCGGAGAGACCGGAGAGAACGAAGCAGAGAACACTTGCTCACTTGAGGGAGGATTCGAAAGTGATTGATTTATAGGTCTTAACTTCTGCCTACCCTAGACTGCATCCAATCACATGGTGCATCTAATCAACCTGATATACACGCGTCCAATCATCCTACGCGTCTAATCAACTATGGTAATTACCGTAAGAACTACGTCGTAAATACTAAGCTGAACAGGCGGTTCGGATTGGACCAGTCACGGTTACCAATACTGGTAGAAAACGATGACCGTCAACACGCCCCCTCAAGCCGAACTCGCACGAATGCCGAGAGCCGTCGTCAAGTCCTTTTGGCGAGGTCCCGAAAGTCCCTTGGTCATGGTGTCCGCCATCATCTCGGAAGTCTCGCAATACTCGAGCTGCACTTCACCGCGCTTGACCTCATCACGGATGTGATGGTACTTGATGTCGATGTGCTTGGCGCGGCCATGATTCACCGGATTCTTCGTCATCTTGATGCACGAATGGTTGTCTTCACGGATGACGAGGTCCGGTCCTTGTTCGTTTGCGGCCGCCAAAATTTCGCATAGCAATCGATGCACCCACTTGCCTTCCTGGATGGCCAGACTCAGTGCGATGTATTCCGCTTCACTCGTCGACAGCGACACACTTGACTGCTTCTTGCTTCCCCAACTCACAGGAGCACCCATCAGCTTGAAAGTGTAACCCGAAGTCGACTTGCGATCAGCGTGGTCGCCGGCCCAGTCCGCGTCCGAGTAGCCACGAAAGTCGATCTTGTCGCTTGGCTGGAAGCGGAGTCCGTGCGACTTGGTCCCTTGCAAGTAACGAAAGATGCGCTTCACCGCCGTCCCATGTTCTTGCTGCGGATTCTCCATGAAGCGCGAGACGTACCCCACAGCATACGCAATGTCCGGGCGCGTCGCAGTCGTCAAGTGCATCAAAGCTCCCACAGCTTCACGAAACGGAACGTCGATCTTGGCCGCTTCGCTGCTTGCGACAAGCCGAGTGCTCAAGTCGACCGGACTTGCTGTGGCCTTGCACTCATCCATGCCGAATCGCTTGAGGATGTCGTTGACATACCGTCGCTGGCACATCGCCAAGCTGCCATCCGATTCGTCCACCAGTTCGATGCCCAGTACAAAAGTACACTTGCCACTGTCGGTCATCTCGAAACGCGTCTTGAGGTCGGCCTTCGTCTGCGCAATCAACTCGAGCGAGCTGCCGGTGACCAACACGTCATCCACGTAGACCAGCACGAGCACACAATGACCGTCGACAACCTTGATGTAGAGACATGGGTCGAACGCCGACGCTTCGAAACCGATGGAGCATACGAACTCGTCGAAAGTCTCGTTCCACACACGTGAAGCTTGCTTGAGACCGTAGATCGCCTTCACCAACTCGAGACAGTCGAAGTCGCCATCCATCTCGACGCCTTCTGGTATCACGCAGTACACCTTCTCCTTCATCACTCCGTAGAGAAAGGCTGTCACCACATCGAGTTGGTCCAGTGGCCAGTCGAAATACTTGGTGATCGCGATCACCATACGCAGTGTCACGTACTTGACCACGGGCGAGAACGTCTCTGTGTAGTCGATGCCGTACTTCTGCTTGAAGCCCTTGGCAACGAGACGCGCTTTGTATTTCTCGACCGATCCATCCGCTTTGCGCTTGATCTTGAACCCCCACTTGGTGCCGATCGCGCCTTGGCCTCTTGGCAGTTTTGCCGCACGGAAAACTCCACGACGATGCATCTACTTGAGTTCCGCCTTCACAGCATTTCGCCAGTGAGCTTGATCAGGACCATTGATTGCTTCTTGAAAAGTCACAGGTTCTGCTAGGTCCGTTGCTTCCACTGCGTTTGCACTTGCACGCCAAAATGTTGGAGGCGTCGAGTCGTCATCTTGATCGTAGACGCTTGCATCTTCTTCGTCATCAGACATCGTTTCTGGAGTACTTGATCGTCGTTTCTGGTGACGGTTGGAGACGTGTTCCGGCGCACTTGCTTGTTCCAACCCAGTTCGAGGGCGAGCTGAACGTGACATGCCGGGTCTTGCTTCACTCTTGCGCTTGCCAGTCTGCTTGTAGACGGTTTGACGCACGTCGTCCTCGGTGATCGCCAGGAGGTCGAGGTCCAACTCCGCATCTTCATCGTCGTCACTTGGTCGGTCCATCGAAAAGTCAAAAGTCGATTCGTCGAAGGTGATGTCACGACTGATCACCACTTGGCCCGCCTCAATGTCGTACACTCGATAAGCTTTTGACGCTTCTTCGTAGCCCAGGAACATCCCTTCACGAGCCTTCGGGTCCCACTTCAATCGCTTCTCCCTTGGTGTCAGGATAAAAGCCCGACATCCAAACACGCGCATGTGCTTGACACTTGGTTTCGACTTGTACACGATCTCGAACGGAGTCTTGTGGTCGATCTTGGGTGAAGGCAGGCGGTTCTTGATGTAGATCGCCGTCATTGCCGCTTCAGCCCAGAAACACTTCTCCAGCTTTGCATGATGCAACAAGCTGCGTCCGATCGTGACGATGGTCCTTATCGCGCGTTCTGCGGTGCCGTTGGTCTGGTGTGCATACGGCACCGTGATCTGTTGCTCGATACCATGATCTTCGTAGAAGGTCTTGATGGAGTTGGTCGCAAACTCATGCGCTCCACCGTGCCAAACAAACTTGATTTTCGTGCCGAACTGAGTTTGAATCTTGATAATGTGGTTCTTGATACAGACTTTACTCTCAGACTTGGACCGCAGACAGAAGCCCTTCATGCAACCGCTGGCTTCGTCAACCACAAGCAGTAAGTATCTGCTGCCGCCGATCGAGACTTGTTCCATTGGCCCGCAGATGTCGAAGTGCAGCAACTCGAACACACCATATTGGCGTTTGTCACGGTTGGTTGGGAATGGTTTTTGGACCATCTTTCCTTGCTGGCAACCGCGACACACACTTGGACCAGTCGAGTTGAGAGGTGCCTTGGCGTCCTTGATCATGCCAGTGGCCACCATCTTGCGCAGAACTTCGAGGGGTGCATGACCCATGCGCGCATGCAAGTCGATAGTCCCATTGCGTGTTGCTGCATTTGCCGATCGTTGAGGAGTCCGCAGCCAGTAAAGTCCATCGACGAGATCCGCTGTTGCCACGACTTGTGTGGAATTCTTGCGCTTCACTTGCATCTTGGACCCGTCGAACACGACTTGGAACCTGCCACCCTTGTTGATCTGTGGCACCGAAAGCAGATTCTTGCTCATACTTGGTACGAACAGTGCGTCCTTGATCTCGATGTCGCGTTGGTCACCATTGGGCAGAACCACCCGTTTCATGATGGTTCCCATACCCTTGATCGCAGCCTTGATGCCATCAGCCACTGATAGTTCGCCTTCCTCTCGCTCATTCAGGCTTGCAAACTTGGCTTTGTCGTTGCAGATGTGATGCGTCGCACCGCTGTCGACTGCCCACATCCCTGGCATATTCTTGCCCGTCGAAAGTCCAGCCTCCAGCGAAACCGCGAACGCAACTCGATCGTAGTTGTCGTCGTTGTTGTTGTTGTTGGTTCGCCACTGAACGTTGTTGGCTCCGCGTCCACAGCATTGTTGCCGCCGCGTCGAGCTCCACCTTGATTTTCGTCCTTCTGCTTGGTCCAGCACCGCTCCGCCGTGTGCCCCAATTTTCCGCAGTATGTACACTGGCGAGGTTCACGCTCGGCACTGAACGCCTTCGCCGCGTCTTCAGTCTTCACCGATGTCGTCTTGTCACCTTGCCTCTTGATGTGCTCATTCGTGAGCACTCTCACGACGTCTCGCGATTGCAGTTCCGCGCTGCTCATCTCCAAGTTGAGAACGACGTTCTCGTAGCTCTTGGGGAGGCTGCGCAACAAGCAGATCGCCACGTCCTCGTCCTCCATCTTGGCGCCGATGCTGCTGAGCTTCGCGCTGATGTTGAGGACTTCGTTGCAATAATGCATCACATTGCCGCCTTCCGCCATCTCCATGCTGAACAGCTGACGATTCAAGTAGATGCGTCCAGCCTTCTGCGACCCGCCGTACAGCGTCTTCAAACGCGCCCACGCGACCCACGCCTCTTCACATTCATCGACGATGTGATGGTAGTCTGCGTCCATGTGCCGCAACATCAGTCCGAAAGCGATGTTGTTGGCCTTGACGTAGTCGTCCATGGCGCGATCGTCCGCGTAGATTAGCGACGTATCCCGGTTCACCACGTGCCACGCCGACTTGGTCAGGAACACGCCACGCATGCAGCGGCTCCATGTCGCGTAGTTGTCGCCGTCGAACGTGTCAATGGAGATCTTGGTGGTGGCATCATGAGCAGAGGACATCGTGCTTGGGCTCATAACCTGTTGAGGGGTGAAAAGCTTGACGACCGAAACTGGGAGGGATTCTGGGAGTCCACTCGGAAGACCGGAGAAGACACTTGGGGGGGGAGATTGTTGAGGGGTGAAAAGCTTGACGACCGAAACTGGGAGGGATGCTGGGAGTCCACTCGGAAGACCGGAGAAGACACTTGGGGGTAGATGGAAGGTTCGAAAAGTGATTGATTATCGGGCTTACTACTTACTACATGATTTATATGTGGTGCACATATAAATCATGTGAAGCGTCTCATCATCCTCCGCGTCTAATCAACTATGGTAATTACCGTAAGAACTACGTCGTAAATACTAAGCTGAACAGGCGGTTCGGATTGGACCAGTCACGGTTACCAATACTGGTAGAAACCGATGACCGTCAACACGCCCCCTCAAGCCGAACTCGCACGAATGCCGAGAGCCGTCGTCAAGTCCCTTTGGCGAGGTCCCGAAAGTCCCTTGGTCATGATGTCCGCCATCATCTCGGAAGTCTCGCAATACTCGAGCTGCACTTCACCGCGCTTGACCTCATCACGGATGTGATGGTACTTGATGTCGATGTGCTTGGCGCGGCCATGATTCACCGGATTCTTCGTCATCTTGATGCACGAATGGTTGTCTTCACGGATGACGAGGTCCGGTCCTGGTTCGTTTGCGGCCGCCAAATTTCGCATAGCAATCGATACACCCACTTGCCTTCCTGGATGGCCAGACTCAGTGTGATGTATTCCGCTTCACTCGTCGACAGCGACACACTTGACTGCTTCTTGCTTCCCCAACTCACAGGAGCACCCATCAGCATGAAAGTGTAACCCGAAGTCGACTTGCGATCAGCGTGGTCGCCGGCCCAGTCCGCGTCCGAGTAGCCACGAAAGTCGATCTTGTCGCTTGGCTGGAAGCGGAGTCCGTGCGACTTGGTCCCTTGCAAGTAACGAAAGATGCGCTTCACCGCCGTCCAATGTTCTTGCTGCGGATTCTCCATGAAGCGCGAGACGTACCCCACAGCATACGCAATGTCCGGGCGCGTCGCAGTCGTCAAGTGCATCAAAGCTCCCACAGCTTCACGAAACGGAACGTCGATCTTGGCCGCTTCGGTGCTTGCGACAAGCCGAGTGCTCAAGTCGACCGGACTTGCTGTGGCCTTGCACTCATCCATGCCGAAGCACTTGAGGATGTCGTTGACATACCGTCGCTGGCACATCGTCACGCTGCCATCCGATTCATCCACCAGTTCGATGCCCAGTACAAAAGTACACTTGCCACTGTCGGTCATCTCGAAACGCGTCTTGAGGTCGGCCTTCGTCTGCGCAATCAACTCGAGCGAGCTGCCGGTGACCAACACGTCATCCACGTAGACCAGCACGAGCACACAATGACCGTCGACAACCTTGATGTAGAGACATGGGTCGAACGCCGACACTTTGAAACCGATAAAGCATACGAACTCGTAGAAAGTCTCGTTCCACACACGTGAAGCTTGCTTGAGACCGTAGATCGCCTTCACCAACTCGAGACAGTCGAAGTCGCCATCCATCTCGACGCCTTCTGGTATCACGCAGTACACCTTCTCCTTCATCACTCCGTAGAGAAAGGCTGTCACCACATCGAGTTGGTCCAGTAGCTGTTGCATTGTAGATCGGAGCGAGGAAAGCGGAGCGAACGGAGCGGAGAGACCGAAGAGAGTAGAGCAGAAAAGACTTGCCCAATAGTTGGAAGATTCGAAAAGTGATTGATTATCGGGGCTTACTACTTACTACATGATTTATATGTGGTGTACATATAAATCATGTGAAGCGTCTCATCATCCTACGCGTCTAATCAACTATGGTAATCACCGTAAGAACTACGTCGTAAATACTAAGCTGAACAGGCGGTTCGGATTGGATCGGTCACGGTTACCAATACTGGTAGGAAACCGATGGCCGTCAACAGTAGCCAGTCGAAATACTTGGTGATCGCGATCACCATGCGCAGTGTCACGTACTTGACCACGGGCGAGAACGTCTCTGTGTAGTCGATGCCGTACTTCTGCTTGAAGCCATTGGCAACGAGACGCGCCTTGTATTTCTCGACCGATCCATCCGCTTTGCGCTTGATCTTGAACACCCACTTGGTGCCGATCGCGCCTTGGCCTCTTGGCAGTTTTGCCGCACGGAAAACTCCACGACGATGCATCGACTTGAGTTCCGCCTTCACAGCATTTCGCCAGTGAGCTTGATCAGGACCATTGATCGCGTCTTGAAAAGTCACAGGTTCTGCTAGGTCCGTTGTTTCCACTGCGTTTGCACTTGCATGCCAAAATGTTGGAGGCGTCGAGTCGTCATCTTGATCGTAGACGCTTGCATCTTCTTCGTCATCAGACATCGTTTCTGGAGCACTTGATCGTCGTTTCTGGTGACGGTTGGAGACGTGTGCCGGCGCACTTGCTTGTTCCAACCCAGTTCGAGGGCGAGCTGAACGTGACATGCCGGGTCTTGCTTCACTCTTGCGCTTGCCAGTCTGCTTGTAGACGGTTTGACGCACGTCGTCCTCGTTGATCGCCAGGAGGTCGAGGTCCAACTCCGCATCTTCATCATCGTCACTTGGTCGGTCCATCGAAAAGTCAAAAGTCGATTCGTCGAAGGTGATGTCACGACTGATCACCACTTGGCCCGCCTCAATGTCGTACACTCGATAAGCTTTTGACGCTTCTTCGTAGCCCAGGAACATCCCTTCACGAGCCTTCGGGTCCCACTTCAATCGCTTCTCCCTTGGTGTCAGGATAAACGCCCGACATCCAAACACGCGCATGTGCTTGACACTTGGTTTCGACTTGTACACGATCTCGAACGGAGTCTTGTGGTCGATCTTGGGTGAAGGCAGGCGATTCTTGATGTAGATCGCCGTCATTGCCGCTTCAGCCCAGAAACACTTCTCCAGCTTTGCATGATGCAATAAGCTGTGTCCGATCGTGACGATGGTCCTTATCGCGCGTTCTGCGGTGCCGTTGGTCTGGTGTGCATACGGCACCGTGATCTGTTGTTCGATACCATGATCTTCGTTGAAGGTCTTGATGGAGTTGGTCGCAAACTCATGCGCTCCACCGTGCCGAACAAACTTGATCTTCGTGCCGAACTGAGTTTGAATCTTGATGATGTGGTTCTTGATACAGTCTTCACTCTCAGACTTGGACCGCAGACAGAAGCCCTTCATGCAACCGCTGGCTTCGTCAACCACAAGCAGTAAGTATCTGCTGCCGCCGATCGAGACTTGTTCCATTGGCCCGCAGATGTCGAAGTGCAGCAACTCGAACACACCATATTGGCGTTTGTCACGGTTGGTTGGGAATGATTTTTGGACCATCTTTCCTTGCTGGCAACCGCGACACACACTTGGACCAGTCGAGTTGAGAGGTGCCTTGGCGTCCTTGATCATGCCAGTGGCCACCATCTTGCGCAGAACTTCGAGGGGTGCTTGACCCATGCGCGCATGCAAGTCGATGGTCCCATTGCGTGTTGCTGCATTTGCCGATTGTTGAGGAGTCCGCAGCCAGTAAAGTCCATCGACGAGATCCGCTGTTGCCACGACTTGTGTGGAATTCTTGCGCTTCACTTGCATCTTGGACCCATCGAACACGACTTGGAACCTGCCACCCTTGTTGATCTGTGGCACCGAAAGCAGATTCTTGCTCATACTTGGTATGAGCAGTGCGTCCTTGATCTCGATGTCGCGTTGGTCACCATTGGGCAGAACCACCCGTTCCACGATGGTTCCCACACCCTTGATCGCAGCCTTGCTGCCATCAGCCACTGATAGTTCGCCTTCCTCTCGCTCATTCAGGCTTGCAAACTTGGCCTTGTCGTTGCAGATGTGATGCGTCGCACCGCTGTCGACTGCCCACATCCCTGGCATATTCTTGCCCGTCGAAAGTCCAGCCTCCAGCGAAACCGCGAACGCAACTCGATCGTAGTTGTCGTCGTTGTTGTTGTTGTTGGTTCGCCACTGAACGTTGTTGGCTCCGCGTCCACGAGCATTGTTGCCGCCGCGTCGAGCTCCACCTTGATTTTCGTCCTTCTGCTTGGTCCAGCACCGCTCCGCCGTGTGCCCCAATTTTCCGCAGTATGTGCACTGGCGAGGTTCACGCTCGGCACTGAACGCCTTCGCCGCGTCTTCAGTCTTCACCGATGTCGTCTTGTCACCTTGCCTCTTGATGTGCTCATTCGTGAGCACTGTCACGACGTCTCGCGATCGCAGTTCCGCGCTGCTCATCTCCAAGTTGAGAACGACGTTCTCGTAGCTCTTGGGGAGGCTGCGCAACAAGCAGATCGCCACGTCCTCGTCCTCCATCTTGGCGCCGATGCTGCTGAGCTTCGCGCTGATGTTGAGGACTTCGTTGCAATGATGCATCACATTGCCGCCTTCCGCCATCTCCATGCTGAACATCTGGCGCTTCAAGTAGATGCGTCCAGCCTTCTGCGACCCGCCGTACAGCGTCTTCAAACGCGCCCATGCGACCCACGCCTCTTCACAGTCATCAACCACGTGATGATAATCTGCGCTCATGTGAAGTAACATCAAGCCGAACGCAATGTTGTTCGTCTTGACGTACTCATCACTGGCGCGAGGATCGGCGAAGGCGGGGGTGGTCTCCCGGTTCACCACGTGCCACGCCGACTTGGTCAGGAACACGCCACGCATGTAGCGGCTCCACGTCGCGTAGTTGTCGCCGTCGAACTTGTCAATGGAGATCTTGGTGGTGGCATCATGAGCAGAGGACATCGTGCTTGGGCTCATAACCTGTTGAGGGGTGAAAAGCTTGACGACCGAAACTGGGAGGGATGCTGGGAGTCCACTCGGAAGACCGGAGAAGACACTTGGGGGTAGATGGAAGGTTCGAAAAGTGATTGATTATCGGGCTTACTACTTACTACATGATTTATATGTGGTGCACATATAAATCATGTGAAGCGTCTCATCATCCTCCGCGTCTAATCAACTATGGTAATTACCGTAAGAACTACGTCGTAAATACTAAGCTGAACAGGCGGTTCGGATTGGACCAGTCACGGTTACCAATACTGGTAGAAACCGATGACCGTCAACACGCCCCCTCAATCCGAACTCGCACGAATGCCGAGAGCCGTCGTCAAGTCCTTGTGGCGAGGTCCCGAAAGTCCCTTGGTCATGATGTCCGCCATCATCTCGGAAGTCTCGCAATACTCGAGCTGCACTTCACCGCGCTTGACCTCATCACGGATGTGATGGTACTTGATGTCGATGTGCTTGGCGCGGCCATGATTCACCGGATTCTTCGTCATCTTGACGCACGAATGGTTGTCTTCACGGATGACGAGGTCCGGTCCTGGTTCGTTTGCGGCCGCCAAAATCTCGCATAGCAGGCGATGCACCCACTTGCCTTCCTGGATGGCCAGACTCAGTGCGATGTATTCCGCTTCACTCGTCAACAGCGACATACTTGACTGCTTCTTGCTTCCCCAACTCACAGGAGCACCCATCAGCATGAAAGTGTAACCCGAAGTCGACTCGCGATCAGCGTGGTCGCCGGCCCAGTCCGCGTCCGAGTAGCCACGAAAGTCGATCTTGTCGCTTGGCTGGAAGCGGAGTCCGTGCGACTTGGTCCCTTGCAAGTAACGAAAGATGCGCTTCACCGCCGTCCAATGTTCTTGCTGCGGATTCTCCATGAAGCGCGAGACGTACCCCACAGCATACGCAATGTCCGGGCGCGTCGCAGTCGTCAAGTGCATCAAAGCTCCCACAGCTTCACGAAACGGAACGTCGATCTTGGCCGCTTCGGTGCTTGCGACAAGCCGAGTGCTCAAGTCGACCGGACTTGCTGTGGCCTTGCACTCATCCATGCCGAAGCACTTGAGGATGTCGTTGACATACCGTCGCTGGCACATCGTCACGCTGCCATCCGATTCATCCACCAGTTCGATGCCCAGTACAAAAGTACACTTGCCACTGTCGGTCATCTCGAAACGCGTCTTGAGGTCGGCCTTCGTCTGCGCAATCAACTCGAGCGAGCTGCCGGTGACCAACACGTCATCCACGTAGACCAGCACGAGCACACAATGACCGTCGACAACCTTGATGTAGAGACATGGGTCGAACGCCGACACTTTGAAACCGATAGAGCATACGAACTCGTAGAAAGTCTCGTTCCACACACGTGAAGCTTGCTTGAGACCGTAGATCGCCTTCACCAACTCGAGACAGTCGAAGTCGCCATCCATCTCGACGACTTCTGGTATCACGCAGTACACCTTCTCCTTCATCACTCCGTAGAGAAAGGCTGTCACCACATCGAGTTGGTCCAGTAGCTGTTGCATTGTAGATCGGAGCGAGGAAAGCGGAGCGAACGGAGCGGAGAGACCGAAGAGAGTAGAGCAGAAAAGACTTGCCCAATAGTTGGAAGATTCGAAAAGTGATTGATTATCGGGGCTTACTACTTACTACATGATTTATATGTGGTGTACATATAAATCATGTGAAGCGTCTCATCATCCTACGCGTCTAATCATCTATGGTAATTACCGTAAGAACTACGTCGTAAATACTAAGCTGAACAGGCGGTTCGGATTGGATCGGTCACGGTTACCAATACTGGTAGAAAACCGATGACCGTCAACACGCCCCCTCAATCCGAATGCTCACGAATCCCGAGAGCCGTCGTCATCTGTTGTAAGTGCATGATGCACTGGATTCGACTCCAGAGATTCGACCCATGATAGGGTATGTCTAGAATGTTCTTTAGGGTTCTATGCATTATTATAGGTCGTACGGCAGCTAGACGTATGGATAGTTCTCACTTGTAGATTGACAAACCACTGATGAGGCCCCCGGCGGGGGGCCGAAACGCGTCTGGTGCGCGGTAATATACAAGTCATTTACTTTACTTAACTCCTACTTTTTTACAGGTTATGAGCCCAAGTGCTCGCTGCAGACACCTCACCAAGGACCAACTTGTGCGAGGGACACCCCGTCAGAGAAGGCGCTCGATGCACGATTAAGGCGCCGAAGAATTCATCGACAGGGATCGTTGACGGTGCGCGTGCAGTCGAAAAGGGTTTGTGCAAGGGTGGTGACGCGAGATGGTCTGAATGCGCGAGTGCTATCGAAGGAAGAGTCAAGTCAAGTGGTGACAAGTGTATTTGTGGTCAAGAAGAAGTGGAAACTACATGCAAGGCGAACGACGACTACGAGATGTCAAGATGTGACATGGTGCTGGACGATGGGGGAGCTGGAATACCTGGAACGCTCGGTATCATCGAGGTTGGCTGGAGCGCAGGGGCAAGACTCAATCAAGATTCCCATGGTGCACGGATGCAGCAGTGAGGATTACAGGCGGGTCGATACCAAAGTGGTCTGCATCTCATGTCGTCGAGGGGGAGTGTTGTAAGTGCATGATGCACTGGATTCGACTCCAGAGATTCGACCCATGATAGGGTATGTCTAGAATGTTCTTTAGGGTTCTATGCATTGTCATAGGTCGTACGGCAGCTAGACGTATTGATAGTTCTCACTTGTAGATTGACAAACCACTGATGAGGCCCCCGGCGGGGGGCCGAAACGCGTCTGGTGCGCGGTAATATACAAGTCATTTACTTTACTTAACTCCTACTTTTTTACATCATCTCCTTGTGGCGTGGTCCATAAAGTCCTTTCGTCATGATGTCTGCTAACATCACCGCAGTTTCACAGTACTTGAGCTTCACTTCACCGCGCTTAACCTCATCACGGATGTGATGGTACTTGATATCAATGTGCTTGGCACGGCCGCGGTTGACTGGGTACTTCGTCATCTTGATACATGACTGATTGTCTTCATGAATCATGAGTTCCGGTCCTTCTTCATTGGCAGCCATCACAATCTCACAAAGCAGGCGATGAATCCACTTGCCCTCTTGAATCGCCAAGCTGAGTGCGATGTATTCGGCTTCACTCGTGGACAACGAAACACTTGGCTGCTTCTTGCTGCCCCAACTGACTGGCGCACCGAGTAGCATGAACGTGTACCCCGATGTTGACTTGCGGTCGGTAAGATCACCAGCACAATCCGCATCCGAATATCCACGGAAGTCGATCCTTGCACTTGGCTTGTAGCAAATTCCATGCGTCTTGGTGCCTTGTAGGTAGCGAAAGATACGCTTAACTGCAACCCAGTGTTCTTCTTGGGGATTTTCCATGAACCGCGACACATAGCCCACAGCAAACGCAATGTCCGGACGCGTTGCAGTGGTCAGGTGCATTAACGCACCAACAGCTTCGCGAAAGGAGCATCGACCTTGGTAGTTGCATCACTTGAAACAAGTCGAGAGCTCATGTCGACTGGACTTGCGACTGCCTTGCAATCATCCATGCCAAAGCGCTTGAGGATATCATCGACATACCGACGCTGACATAGTGTCACACTGCCAATTTCACCGTCCAAAAGCTCGATCCCAAGAACAAAGGCACACTTGCCGCTGTCCGTCGTCTCGAACCGCGTCTTCAGGTCGTTCTTGGTTTGTGCAATCAGTTCGAACGAGCTTCCAGTCACCAAGACGTCGTCCACGTAGACCAGTATAAACACGCAATGGCCGTCCGAAGTCTTGATGTAGAGACATGGGTCGAAGTCCGATACTTGAAATCCGATGGAGCACACATACTCGTCGAACGTCTCGTTCCACACTCGAGACGCTTGCTTGAGGCCGTAAATTGACTTCACCAATTCCAGGCAGTCGAACGTACTGTCAAGTTCGACGCCTTTAGGAATCACGCAGAACACCTTCTCCTTCATGACGCCATACAGGAAAGCTGTCACCACATCAAGCTGGTCGATGGGCCATCCAAAATGCTTGGAAATTGCGATCACCATTCGCAGCGTCACATACTTGACCACAGGCAAAAACGTCTCCGTGTAGTCGATGCCACACTTTTGGCGGAAACCCTTGGCCACAAGTCGTGCCTTGTACTTCTCGATTGACCCATCCGCCTTGCGCTTGATCTTGAACACCCATTTTGTGCCAATGGCGCGTTTTCCGTTGGGCAGCTTGGCTGCACGAAACACACCGCGAAGTCGCATTGACTCGAGCTCTGCATGAATTGCTTTTCTCCAGTGCAGTTGGTCAGGACCGCTTACTGCTGCTTCAAATGTTGAGGGCTCTGATAAGTCCACTGCTGCTTCAACGGCATTTGCACTCGCACGCCAAAACACAGGCGGTGTTGAATCACCAGAATCCTTCGTTTCTTCGTCTTCTTCTTGGCGTGACGAGTTGTTTTCCGGCGCGCTTGACTCTTCTAGTCCTGGTCGTTGACGCACTGCACGCGGTAGTGGAGCTGCTGTATCTTCATCATTGAGTCGGTTCTTGCGCTTGCCTGTTTGCTTGTACTCCATTTGACGCAGCTCTTCGTCATCAAGATCCAGCAATTCGAAGTCCAGGTCATCGACATCTTCATCAGTGATCGGCAGTTGAAGTCCAAAGGCGGGCTCGTCAAAGTTAACATCGCGGCCGATAACCATCTGCCCCGCCTCGATGTCATAAACACGATATGCCTTCGAAACTTCTTCGTAGCCCACGAATATGCCAGCGCGAGCCTTTGGATCCCACTTGAGTCGATTCTCTTTAGGCGTCAGTATGTATGTATGACACCCGAATGTTCGCATGTGCTTGACGCTTGGTTTCAAGTTGTAGACGATCTCAAACGGGGTCTTGTGCACGACTTTAGGTGACGGCAGTCGATTCTTGACGTAGATGGCCGTCATCGCTGCTTCGGCCCAGAAACACTTGTCCAGTTTGGCATGATGAAGCATGCTGCGGCCGATCGTGACAATAGTCCTAATGGCACGCTCTACTGTTCCGTTTGTTTGATGTGCATACGGCACCGTTGTCTGCTGTTCAATGCCTTCGTCTTCGTAGAACAGTTGAAGCGAGTTGGTTGCAAACTCGCGAGCTCCGTCGTGTCGCACGAACTTGACCTTCTTACAGAATTGCGTCTGTACCATGGTGGTAAATTTCCGGATGTAGTCTTCACTCTCGGACTTCACTCGTAGACAAAAGCCCTTCATGCATCCACTGGCTTCGTCGATGATCAGCAGCAAATATTTGCTGCCACCGAGCGAATCCTTTTCCATGTACACGCAGATGTCCAGATGAAGTAGCTCAAACGTATCGTAGCTGCGCTTGTCTCGGTTGCTTGGAAATGGTTTTTGGACCATTTTCCCTTGTTGACATCCTCGACATGTAGTTGCTCCACCCGACTTGAGAGGGACTCGCACATCCTTGATCATGTTGGTCGCGATCATCTTGCGAAGTACATCGACTGGAGCATGACCCATTCTCGCATGTAGATCGGCACAACTGGTTCCACTTGTTGTCACATTCGCTGATCGTTGAGTCGTCCGAAGCCAGTAGAGTCCATTCACGAGATCCGCTGTCGCCACCACTTGCTGTGAGTTCTTGAGAGTCACATACATCTTGGACCCGTCAAACACGACTTGGAAGTTGCCGTGCTTGTTAATCTGTGGCACCGAGAGCAGGTTCTTGCTCATACTGGGCACATAGAGCGCGTTCTTGATTTCGATCTCACGCTCTTCACCGTTGGGCAGAACCACCTTTTCCATGATGGTTCCCACACCCTTGATGGCCACCTTGTTGCCATCAGCCACCAAGAGTTCGCCCTCATTGCGCTCTGCCAAACTTGCGAACTTGGTCTTGTCGTGGCAAATGTGATGCGTTGCACCACTGTCGACGGCCCACATTCCAGACACGTCCTTGCTCGTCGAAACTCCACATTCGAACGAGACTGCAAACGCCACTCGATTGTAGCCATTGACTTCATCATGATGTCCCCACTGGACATTGTTAGCCCCGCGTCCACGACCATTGCCGCCGCGTCGGGCTCCCCGACCTTCGTTCTTCTGCTTCGTCCAACAGCAATCCACTGTGTGTCCTATCTTGCCACAATACGTGCATTGGTAAGGCTCACGCTCGGTGCTGAATGCCTTGCCTGCATCTTCAGCCTTCACCGTAGTCGCTGTCGTTGTCCCTTTTTCTCCTTGACGCTTGGCATGCCCATTCGTCAGGACTCTCACCACATCTTGAGTGCGAAGCTCGGTGCTGCTCATTTCCATGTTGAGCACCACATTTTCGTAGCTCTTCGGAAGACTGATTAGCAGACAAATTGCAACGTCTTCGTCTTCCATCTTCGCACCGATGCCGCTAAGCTTGGCGGAGATGTTAAGGACCTCGTTGCAGTGATGCATGACATTCGCGCCTTCAGCCATCTTGATGCTGAAAAGTTGTCGCTTGAGGTAGATGCGTCCTGCCTTCTGCGACCCACCGTACAGCGTCTTCAGACTTGTCCACGCAACCCAGGCTTCCTTGCAGTTGTCCAGCACATGATGGTAGTCCGCGTTCATGTGCAGCAGCATCATACCAAACGCGACGTTGCTTGCCTTGACGTAGTCATCGGACGCTCGCGGGTCGGTGAAAGTCGGAGTCACTTCACGGTTGACGACGTGCCAGACGGACTTCGTCAAAAACACACCGCGCATGTACCGGCTCCACGTTGCGTAATTGTCTTCGTTGAACTTGTCAATGGAGGCGTTGCTGGTGGACGACATGGCGCTTGGGCTCATAACCTGTTGCATTGTAGATCGGAGCGAGGAAAGCGGAGCGAACGGAGCGGAGAGACCGAAGAGAGTAGAGCAGAAAACACTTGCCCAATAGTTGGAAGATTCGAAAGTGATTGATTATTGGGGCTTACTACTTACTACATGATTTATATGTGGTGTACATATAAATCATGTGAAGCGTCTCATCATCCTACGCGTCTAATCAACTATGGTAATTACCGTAAGAACTACGTCGTAAATACTAAGCTAAACAGGCGGTTCGGATTGGACCGGTCACGGTTACCAACACTGGTAGGAAACCGATGACCGTCAACAGTAGCCAGTCGAAATACTTGGTGATCGCGATCACCATGCGCAGTGTCACGTACTTGACCACGGGCGAGAACGTCTCTGTGTAGTCGATGCCGTACTTCTGCTTGAAGCCATTGGCAACGAGACGCGCCTTGTATTTCTCGACCGATCCATCCGCTTTGCGCTTGATCTTGAACCCCCACTTGGTGCCGATCGCGCCTTGGCCTCTTGGCAGTTTTGCCGCACGGAAAACTCCACGACGATGCATCGACTTGAGTTCCGCCTTCACATCATTTCGCCAGTGAGCTTGATCAGGACCATTGATCGCGTCTTGAAAAGTCACAGGTTCTGCTAGGTCCGTTGCTTCCACTGCGTTTGCACTTGCATGCCAAAATGTTGGAGGCGTCGAGTCGTCATCTTGATCGTAGACGCTTGCATCTTCTTCGTCATCAGACATCGTTTCTGGAGCACTTGATCGTCGTTTCTGGTGACGGTTGGAGACGTGTGCCGGCGCACTTGCTTGTTCCAACCCAGTTCGAGGGCGAGCTGAACGTGACATGCCGGGTCTTGCTTCACTCTTGCGCTTGCCAGTCTGCTTGTAGACGGTTTGACGCACGTCGTCCTCGTTGATCGCCAGGAGGTCGAGGTCCAACTCCGCATCTTCATCATCGTCACTTGGTCGGTCCATCGAAAAGTCAAAAGTCGATTCGTCGAAGGTGATGTCACGACTGATCACCACTTGGCCCGCCTCAATGTCATACACTCGATAAGCTTTTGACGCTTCTTCGTAGCCCAGGAACATCCCTTCACGAGCCTTCGGTTCCCACTTCAATCGCTTCTCCCTTGGTGTCAGGATAAACGCCCGACATCCAAACACGCGCATGTGCTTGACACTTGGTTTCGACTTGTACACGATCTCGAACGGAGTCTTGTGGTCGATCTTGGGTGAAGGCAGGCGATTCTTGATGTAGATCGCCGTCATTGCCGCTTCAGCCCAGAAACACTTCTCCAGCTTTGCATGATGCAACAAGCTGCGTCCGATCGTGACGATGGTCCTTATCGCGCGTTCTGCGGTGCCGTTGGTCTGGTGTGCATACGGCACCGTGATCTGTTGTTCGATACCATGATCTTCATGGAAGGTCTTGATCGAGTTGGTCGCAAACTCATGCGCTCCATCGTGCCGAACAAACTTGATCTTCGTGCCGAACTGAGTTTGAATCTTGATGATGTGGTTCTTGATACAGTCTTCACTCTCAGACTTGGACCGCAGACAGAAGCCCTTCATGCAACCGCTGGCTTCGTCAACCACAAGCAGTAAGTATCTGCTGCCGCCGATCGAGACTTGTTCCATTGGCCCGCAGATGTCGAAGTGCAGCAACTCGAACACACCATATTGGCGTTTGTCACGGTTGGTTGGGAATGGTTTTTGGACCATCTTTCCTTGCTGGCAACCGCGACACACACTTGGACCAGTCGAGTTGAGAGGTGCCTTGGCGTCCTTGATCATGCCAGTGGCCACCATCTTGCGCAGAACTTCGAGGGGTGCATGACCCATGCGCGCATGCAAGTCGATAGTCCCATTGCGTGTTGCTGCATTTGCCGATCGTTGAGGAGTCCGCAGCCAGTAAAGTCCATCGACGAGATCCGCTGTTGCCACGACTTGTGTGGAATTCTTGCGCTTCAGTTGCATCTTGGACCCATCGAACACGACTTGGAACCTGCCACCCTTGTTGATCTGTGGCACCGAAAGCAGATTCTTGCTCATACTTGGTACGAACAGCGCGTCCTTGATCTCGATGTCGCGTTCGTCACCATTGGGCAGAACCACCCGTTCCACGATGGTTCCCACACCCTTGATCGCAGCCTTGCTGCCATCAGCCACTGATAGTTCGCCTTCCTCTCGCTCATTCAGGCTTGCAAACTTGGCCTTGTCATTGCAGATGTGGTGTGTTGCGCCGCTGTCGACCGCTCACATCCCTGGCATATTCTTACCGGTCGAAAGTCCAGCCTCCAGCGAAACCGCGAACGCAACTCGATCGTAGTTGTCGTCGTTGTTGCTGTTGGTTCGCCACTGAACGTTGTTGGCTCCGCGTCCACGAGCATTGTTGCCGCCGCGTCGAGCTCCACCTTGATTTTCGTTCTTCTGCTTGGTCCAGTATCGGTCCACCGTATGCCCCAATTTTCCGCAGTACGTGCAATGGTGCGGTTCACGCTCGGTACTGAACGCCTTGGCCGCGTCTTCAGTCTTCACCGCCGTAGCCTTCGCACCTTGCCGCTTGACATGCTCGTTCGTGAGCACTTTCACGACGTCCCGCGATTGAAGCTCTGCGCTGCTCATCTCCAAGTTGAGAACCACGTTCTCGAAACTCTTGGGCAGACTGCGCAACAAGCAGATCGCCACGTCCTCGTCCTTCATCTTGGCGCCGATGCTAGTCAGCTTCGCGCTGATGTTGAGGACCTCATTGCAATGATGCAACACATTGCCGCCTTCTGCCATCTCCATACTGAAAAGCTGGCGCTTCAAGTAGATGCGTCCAGCCTTCTGCGACCCGCCGTACAGCGTCTTCAAACGCGCCCATGCGACCCACGCCTCTTCACAGTCATCAACCACGTGATGATAATCTGCGCTCATCTGCAGCAGCATCAAGCCGAACGCAATGTTGTTCGTCTTGACGTAGTCGTCACTGGCGCGAGGATCGGCGAAGGCGGGGGTGGTCTCCCGGTTCACCACGTGCCACGCCGACTTGGTCAGGAACACGCCACGCATGTAGCGGCTCCACGTCGCGTAGTTGTCGCCGTCGAACTTGTCAATGGAGATCTTGGTGGTGGCATCATGAGCAGAGGACATCGTGCTTGGGCTCATAACCTGTTGAGGGGTGAAAAGCTTGACGACCGAAACTGGGAGGGATGCTGGGAGTCCACTCGGAAGACCGGAGAAGACACTTGGGGGGGGGAGATTGTTGAGGGGTGAAAAGCTTGACGACCGAAACTGGGAGGGATGCTGGGAGTCCACTCGGAAGACCGGAGAAGACACTTGGGGGTAGACGGAAGATTGGAAAGTGATTGATTATCGGGCTTACTACTTACTACATGATTTATATGTGGTGCACATATAAATCATGTGAAGCGTCTCATCATCCTCCGCGTCTAATCAACTATGGTAATTACCGTAAGAACTACGTCGTAAATACTAAGCTGAACAGGCGGTTCGGATTGGACCAGTCACGGTTACCAATACTGGTAGAAACCGATGACCGTCAACACGCCCCCTCAATCCGAACTCGCACGAATGCCGAGAGCCGTCGTCAAGTCCTTGTGGCGAGGTCCCGAAAGTCCCTTGGTCATGATGTCCGCCATCATCTCGGAAGTCTCGCAATACTCGAGCTGCACTTCACCGCGCTTGACCTCATCACGGATGTGATGGTACTTGATGTCGATGTGCTTGGCGCGGCCATGATTCACCGGATTCTTCGTCATCTTGATGCACGACTGGTTGTCTTCACGGATGACGAGGTCCGGTCCTGGTTCGTTTGCAGCCGCCAAAATCTCGCATAGCAGGCGATGCACCCATTTGCCTTCCTGGATGGCCAGACTCAGTGCGATGTATTCCGCTTCACTCGTCGACAGCGACACACTTGACTGCTTCTTGCTTCTCCAACTCACAGGAGCACCCATCAGCATGAAAGTGTAACCCGAAGTCGACTTGCGATCAGCGTGGTCGCCGGCCCAGTCCGCGTCCGAGTAGCCACGAAAGTCGATCTTGTCGCTTGGCTGGAAGCGGAGTCCGTGCGACTTGGTCCCTTGCAAGTAACGAAAGATGCGCTTCACCGCCGTCCAATGTTCTTGCTGCGGATTCTCCATGAAGCGCGAGACGTACCCCACAGCATACGCAATGTCCGGGCGCGTCGCAGTCGTCAAGTGCATCAAAGCTCCCACAGCTTCACGAAACGGAACGTCGATCTTGGCCGCTTCGGTGCTTGCGACAAGCCGAGTGCTCAAGTCGACCGGACTTGCTGTGGCCTTGCACTCATCCATGCCGAAGTGCTTGAGGATGTCGTTGACATACCGTCGCTGGCACATCGTCACGCTGCCATCCGATTCGTCCACCAGTTCGATGCCCAGTACAAAAGTACACTTGCCACTGTCGGTCATCTCGAAACGCGTCTTGAGGTCGGCCTTCGTCTGCGCAATCAACTCGAGCGAGCTGCCGGTGACCAACACGTCATCCACGTAGACCAGCACGAGCACACAGTGACCGTCGACAACCTTGATGTAGAGACATGGGTCGAACGCCGACGCTTCGAAACCGATAGAGCATACGAACTCGTCGAAAGTCTCATTCCACACACGTGAAGCTTGCTTGAGACCGTAGATCGCCTTCACCAACTCGAGACAGTCGAATTCGCCATCCATCTCGACGCCTTCTGGTATCACGCAGTACACCTTCTCCTTCATCACTCCGTAGAGAAAGGCTGTCACCACATCGATTTGGTCCAGTGGCCAGTCGAAATACTTGGTGATCGCGATCACCATACGCAGTGTCACGTACTTGACCACGGGCGAGAACGTCTCTGTGTAGTCGATGCCGTACTTCTGCTTGAAGCCATTGGCAACGAGACGCGCCTTGTATTTCTCGACCGATCCATCCGCTTTGCGCTTGATCTTGAACACCCACTTGGTGCCGATCGCGCCTTGGCCTCTTGGCAGTTTTGCCGCACGGAAAACTCCACGACGATGCATCGACTTGAGTTCCGCCTTCACAGCATTTCGCCAGTGAGCTTGATCAGGACCATTGATCGCGTCTTGAAAAGTCACAGGTTCTGCTAGGTCCGTTGTTTCCACTGCGTTTGCACTTGCATGCCAAAATGTTGGAGGCGTCGAGTCGTCATCTTGATCGTAGACGCTTGCATCTTCTTCGTCATCAGACATCGTTTCTGGAGCACTTGATCGTCGTTTCTGGTGACGGTTGGAGACGTGTGCCGGCGCACTTGCTTGTTCCAACCCAGTTCGAGGGCGAGCTGAACGTGACATGCCGGGTCTTGCTTCACTCTTGCGCTTGCCAGTCTGCTTGTAGACGGTTTGACGCACGTCGTCCTCGTTGATCGCCAGGAGGTCGAGGTCCAACTCCGCATCTTCATCATCGTCACTTGGTCGGTCCATCGAAAAGTCAAAAGTCGATTCGTCGAAGGTGATGTCACGACTGATCACCACTTGGCCCGCCTCAATGTCATACACTCGATAAGCTTTTGACGCTTCTTCGTAGCCCAGGAACATCCCTTCACGAGCCTTCGGGTCCCACTTCAATCGCTTCTCCCTTGGTGTCAGGATAAACGCCCGACATCCAAACACGCGCATGTGCTTGACACTTGGTTTCGACTTGTACACGATCTCGAACGGAGTCTTGTGGTCGATCTTGGGTGAAGGCAGGCGATTCTTGATGTAGATCGCCGTCATTGCCGCTTCAGCCCAGAAACACTTCTCCAGCTTTGCATGATGCAACAAGCTGCGTCCGACCGTGACGATGGTCCTTATCGCGCGTTCTGCGGTGCCGTTGGTCTGGTGTGCATACGGCACCGTGATCTGTTGCTCGATACCATGATCTTCGTAGAAGGTCTTGATGGAGTTGGTCGCAAACTCATGCGCTCCACCGTGCCGAACAAACTTGATCTTCGTGCCGAACTGAGTTTGAATTTTGATGATGTGGTTCTTGATACAGTCTTCACTCTCAGACTTGGACCGCAGACAGAAGCCCTTCATGCAACCGCTGGCTTCGTCAACCACAAGCAGTAAGTATCTGCTGCCGCCGATCGAGACTTGTTCCATTGGCCCGCAGATGTCGAAGTGCAGCAACTCGAACACACCATATTGGCGTTTGTCACGGTTGGTTGGGAATGGTTTTTGGACCATCTTTCCTTGCTGGCAACCGCGACACACACTTGGACCAGTCGAGTTGAGAGGTGCCTTGGCGTCCTTGATCATGCCAGTGGCCACCATCTTGCGCAGAACTTCGAGGGGTGCTTGACCCATGCGCGCATGCAAGTCGATGGTCTCATTGCGTGTTGCTGCATTTGCCGATCGTTGAGGAGTCCGCAGCCAGTAAAGTCCATCGACGAGATCCGCTGTTGCCACGACTTGTGTGGAATTCTTGCGCTTCACTTGCATCTTGGATCCATCGAACACGACTTGGAACCTGCCACCCTTGTTGATCTGTGGCACCGAAAGCAGATTCTTGCTCATACTTGGTACGAACAGCGCGTCCTTGATCTCGATGTCGCGTTCGTCACCATTGGGCAGAACCACCCGTTCCACGATGGTTCCCACACCCTTGATCGCAGCCTTGCTGCCATCAGCCACTGATAGTTCGCCTTCCTCTCGCTCATTCAGGCTTGCAAACTTGGCCTTGTCATTGCAGATGTGGTGTGTTGCGCCGCTGTCGACCGCTCACATCCCTGGCATATTCTTACCGGTCGAAAGTCCAGCCTCCAGCGAAACCGCGAACGCAACTCGATCGTAGTTGTCGTCGTAGTTGCTGTTGGTTCGCCACTGAACGTTGTTGGCTCCGCGTCCACGAGCATTGTTGCCGCCGCGTCGAGCTCCACCTTGATTTTCGTCCTTCTGCTTGGTCCAGCATCGGTCCACCGTATGCCCCAATTTTCCGCAGTACGTGCAATGGTGGGGTTCACGCTCGGTACTGAACGCCTTGGCCGCGTCTTCAGTCTTCACCGATGTCGTCTTGTCACCTTGCCGCTTGACATGCTCGTTCGTGAGCAATTTCACGACGTCCCGCGATCAAAGCTCTGCGCTGTTCATCTCCAAGTTGAGAACCACGTTCTCGAAACTCTTGGGGAGACTGCGCAACAAGCAGATCGCCACGTCCTCGTCGTCCATCTTGGCGCCGATGCTGCTGAGCTTCGCGCTGATGTTGAGGACTTCGTTGCAATGATGCATCACATTGCCGCCTTCCGCCATCTCCATGCTGAACAGCTGGCGCTTCAAGTAGATGCGTCCAGCCTTCTGCGACCCGCCGTACAGCGTCTTCAAACGCGCCCATGCGACCCACGCCTCTTCACAGTCATCAACCACGTGATGATAATCTGCGCTCATGTGCAGCAGCATCAAGCCGAACGCAATGTTGTTCGTCTTGACGTACTCATCACTGGCGCGAGGATCGGCGAAGGCGGGGGTGGTCTCCCGGTTCACCACGTGCCACGCCGACTTGGTCAGGAACACGCCACGCATGTAGCGGCTCCACGTCGCGTAGTTGTCGCCGTCGAACTTGTCAATGGAGATCTTGGTGGTGGCATCATGAGCAGAGGACATCGTGCTTGGGCTCATAACCTGTTGAGGGGTGAAAAGCTTGACGACCGAAACTGGGAGGGATGCTGGGAGTCCACTCGGAAGACCGGAGAAGACACTTGGGGGGGGAGATTGTTGAGGGGTGAAAAGCTTGACGACCGAAACTGGGAGGGATGCTGGGAGTCCACTCGGAAGACCGGAGAAGACACTTGGGGGTAGATGGAAGGTTCGAAAAGTGATTGATTATCGGGCTTACTACTTACTACATGATTTATATGTGGTGCACATATAAATCATGTGAAGCGTCTCATCATCCTCCGCGTCTAATCAACTATGGTAATTACCGTAAGAACTACGTCGTAAATACTAAGCTGAACAGGCGGTTCGGATTGGACCAGTCACGGTTACCAATACTGGTAGAAACCGATGACCGTCAACACGCCCCCTCAATCCGAACTCGCACGAATGCCGAGAGCCGTCGTCAAGTCCTTGTGGCGAGGTCCCGAAAGTCCCTTGGTCATGATGTCCGCCATCATCTCGGAAGTCTCGCAATACTCGAGCTGCACTTCACCGCGCTTGACCTCATCACGGATGTGATGGTACTTGATGTCGATGTGCTTGGCGCGGCCATGATTCACCGGATTCTTCGTCATCTTGATGCACGAATGGTTGTCTTCACGGATGACGAGGCCCGGTCCTGGTTCGTTTGCGGCCGCCAAAATTTCGCATAACAATCGATGCACCCACTTGCCTTCCTGGATGGCCAGACTCATTGCGATGTATTCCGCTTCACTCGTCGACAGCGACACACTAGACTGCTTCTTGCTTCCCCAACTCACAGGAGCACCCATCAGCATGAAAGTGTAACCCGAAGTCGACTTGCGATCAGCGTGGTCGCCGGCCCAGTCCGCGTCCGAGTAGCCACGAAAGTCGATCTTGTCGCTTGGCTGGAAGCGGAGTCCGTGCGACTTGGTCCCTTGCAAGTAACGAAAGATGCGCTTCACCGCCGTCCAATGTTCTTGCTGCGGATTCTCCATGAAGCGCGAGACGTACCCCACAGCATACGCAATGTCCGGGCGCGTCGCAGTCGTCAAGTGCATCAAAGCTCCCACAGCTTCACGAAACGGAACGTCGATCTTGGCCGCTTCGGTGCTTGCGACAAGCCGAGTGCTCAAGTCGACCGGACTTGCTGTGGCCTTGCACTCATCCATGCCGAAGTGCTTGAGGATGTCGTTGACATACCGTCGCTGGCACATCGTCACGCTGCCATCCGATTCATCCACCAGTTCGATGCCCAGTACAAAAGTACACTTGCCACTGTCGGTCATCTCGAAACGCGTCTTGAGGTCGGCCTTCGTCTGCGCAATCAACTCGAGCGAGCTGCCGGTGACCAACACGTCATCCACGTAGACCAGCACGAGCACACAATGACCGTCGACAACCTTGATGTAGAGACATGGGTCGAACGCCGACGCTTCGAAACCGATAGAGCATACGAACTCATCGAAAGTCTCGTTCCACACACGTGAAGCTTGCTTGAGACCGTAGATCGCCTTCACCAACTCGAGACAGTCGAAGTCGCCATCCATCTCGACGCCTTCTGGTACCACGCAGTACACCTTCTCCTTCATCACTCCGTAGAGTGTTGTAACTTGAGCGCGAGGCGAAGAGAAAACGAAGCGGAGAGACCGGAGAGAACGAAGCAGAGAACACTTGCTGACTTGAGGGAGGATTCGAAAGTGATTGATTTATAGGTCTTAACTTCTGCCTACCCTAGACTGCATCCAATCACATGGTGCATCTAATCAACCTGATTTACACGCGTCCAATCATCCTACGCGTCTAATCATCTCTGAGGTAATTACCGATGTAAAAACTATCTCGTAAGAACTACGCGCTAGGTTCGGATTGTACCGGTAACCCTCAATACGCCCCCTCAATCCGAACACGCACGGATGCCAAGCGCCGCCGTCAAGTCCTTGTGACGCGGTCCGTGAAGTCCCTTCGTCATGATGTCCGCCAACATCAACGTCGTCTCGCAGTATTCAAGCTTCACTTCGCCGCGCTTGACTTCATCACGGATGTGATGGTACTTGATGTCGATGTGTTTAGCGCGGCCGTGGTTGACCGGATTCTTCGTCATCTTGATGCACGACTGGTTGTCTTCACGGATGACGAGCTCGGGTCCTTCTTCGTTTGCAGCCGCCATGATCTCGCACAGCAAGCGATTGATCCACTTGCCTTCTTGGATCGCCAGGCTGAGCGCGATGTACTCTGCTTCGCTTGTAGACAGTGACACACTTGGCTGTTTCTTGCTGCCCCAACTCACCGGAGCACCCAATAGCATGAAGACGTAGCCGGACGTCGATTTGCGATCAGCAAGGTCACCGGCCCAGTCTGCATCTGAATAGCCACGAAAGTCGATCTTCGCACTTGGCTTGTAGCAGATTCCATGCATCTTGGTGCCTTGTAGGTAGCGGAAGATGCGCTTGACTGCAACCCAGTGTTCTTCTTGGGGTTTCTCCATGAACCGTGACACAAAGCTTACAGCATAGGCGATGTCCGGTCGCGTTGCAGTCGTCAGATGCATCAAAGCACCCACTGCTTCACGGAATGGGACATCCACCTTGCTTGCAGAGTTGCTTGGAACCAGTCGAGAGCTGACGTCCACCGGACTTGCCACAGCCTTGCACTCATCCATTCCAAAGCGCTTGAGGACATCGTCGACATAACGGCGCTGACACATAGTCACGCTGCCATCTTCACCGTCCAATAACTCGATCCCAAGAACAAAGGCACACTTGCCGCTGTCCGTCATCTCGAAGCGTGTCTTGAGGTCGTTCTTGGTGCGCGCAATCATCTCGAGCGAGCTTCCAGTCACCAAGACATCGTCCACGTAGACCAGCACAAAAACACAATGGCCTTCCGAAGTCATGATGTAGAGACATGGATCGAATCCCGACGCTTGAAAACCAATCGAGCGTATGAACTCGTCGAAGGTCTCGTTCCAAACACGCGAGGCTTGCTTGAGACCGTAGATCGCCTTGATCAGCTCGAGACAGTCGAAATCACCTTCCATCTTGACGCCTTCCGGAACAGCGCAGAACACCTTCTCCTTCATCACTCCATACAGGAACGCAGTCACCACATCAAGCTGGTCGAGGGGCCATCCAAAGTGCTTGGTAATGGCGATGACCATTCGCAGCGTCACATACTTGACCACGGGCGAGAACGTCTCCGTGTAGTCGATGCCATACTTTTGGCGAAAACCCTTGGCCACAAGTCGTGCCTTGTATTTCTCGATCGACCCATCCGCCTTGCGCTTGATCTTGAAGACCCACTTTGTGCCGATGGCGCTTTGTCCGTTGGGTAACTTGGCCGCACGAAAGACACCGCGAAGCTTCATCGAATCGAGCTCCGCCTCAATTGCCTTGCGCCAGTGTACTTGGTCCGGGCCAGACACTGCTTCTTCAAATGTCGACGGCTCCGAAAAATCGACCGCTGCTTCGACGGCGTTTGCACTCGCATGCCAAAACGCGGAGGAAGTCGGTGTGTCATGCTGTTCCTCCGACTTCCTTTCTTCATCTTCGTTGGCTCGACGTGAAGAGAGGTCATCCGGCGCACTTGACTCTTCCAATCCGGGTCGTTGGCGCACTGCTCGGGGCATGCTTGCGTCGTCATTGTCGTGACTGGGTTGGGCCTTGCGCTTTCCTGTTTGTTTGAAGTGTCTCGGACGCGGTTCTTCATCATCAAGATCGATCGATTCGAAGTCCAGGCCATCAACATCGTCATCGGAAATCATCATCGACATTCCAAAGGCCGACTCATCGAAGTTGACATCGCGACTTATCATCACCTGCCTCGCTTCGATGTCGTAAACTCGATACGCCTTGGACACTTCTTCGTAGCCCAAAAACAATCCAGCCCGGGCCTTGGGATCCCACTTGAGTCGTTTCTCCTTCGGGGTCAAGATGTATGCTTGGCACCCAAAAACGCGCATGTGCTTGACACTTGGCTTAGAACTGTAGACAATCTCGAACGGTGTCTTGTGTGGAATCTTGGGTGACGGCAAACGGTTCTTCACATAGACGGCCGTCATTGCCGCTTCAGCCCAGAAGCACTTGTCCAACTTGGCATGATGGAGCATGCTACGACCGATGGTGACGATAGTTCGAATCGCGCGTTCAGCAGTTCCATTGGCTTGATGTGCGTATGGCACCGTGGTTTGTTGCTCGATGCCTTCGACTTCGTAGAAATCTTGAAGCGAGTTCGTCGCAAACTCGCGGGCTCCATCGTGTCGCACAAATTTGACCTTCTTGTTGAACTGCGTCTGTATCATCGTGATGTACTTCTTGATGCACTCTTCGCTCTCTGACTTGGAATGCAGACAAAAACCCTTCATGCATCCGCTGGCTTCATCCACGATCAGCAGCAGATACTTGCTGCCACCCAGAGATTTTTCTTCCATGGGTCCGCAGATGTCGAAGTGGAGCATCTCGAAGGTGTTGTAGGTGCGCTTGTCACGGTTGCTCGGGAATGGTTTTTGGACCATCTTCCCTTCTTGGCATCCTCGACACACACTCGATCCATTCGGCTTGGAAGGGATGTGAGCGTCCTTGATCATGTGGCTTGTCACCATCCTGCGAAGCACGTCGACTGGAGCATGGCCCATTCGCGCATGTAGATCAACAGCGTTGCTGAGTGATGTCGCATTGGCCGATCGCTGCGTCGTGCGAAGCCAGTAGAGTCCGTCTACAAGATCCGCAGCTGCCACCACTTGATTGGAATCCTTGCGAGCGACGTACATCGTATCCCCGTCAAACACCACTTGGAAGTTGCCGTGCTTGTTAATCTGCGGCACCGAGAGCAGATTTTTGCTCATGCTGGGCACATAGAGCGCGTTCTTGATCTCGATCTCGCGCTCTTCCCCGTTTGGCAGAATCACCTTTTCCATGATGGTCCCCACACCTTTGATGGCCGCCTTGTTGCCATCAGCCACCAGGATCTCGCCATCATTGCCTTCGACCAAGCTTGCAAACTTGAACTTGTCGTGGCAGATGTGGTGTGTTGCCCCGCTGTCAACGGCCCACATTCCTGGTCCATTCTTGTTCGTCGAAACTCCGCATTCGAACGAAACTGCAAACGCCACTCGATCGTAGCTGTTGCCTTCATCATAATGTCGCCAGTGGACATTGTTTGACCCGCGTCCACGACCATTGCCGCCGCGTTGGGCTCCTCGACTTTCATCCTTTTGCTTCGTCCAGCAACGCTCTGCCGTGTGCCCCACCTTGCCGCAGTATGTGCATTGGTAGGGCTTGCGCTCGGTACTGAATGCCTTTGTCGCATCTTCAGTCTTCACCGTTGTCGTTGCCGTTGTCATCTTCTCGCCTTGTCGCTTGATGTGCTCGTTAGTCAGCACCTTGACCACATCTTGCGTGCGCAGCTCTGCATTGCTCATCTCCAAGTTGAGAACCACGTTCTCGAAACTATTGGGCAGACTGCGCAGTAAGCAGATCGCAATGTCTTCGTCTTCCATCTTGGCACCGATGCTGCTGAGCTTGGCGCCGATGTTCAAGACTTCGTTGCAATGGTGCAAGACGTTGGCACCTTCCGCCATCTTGATGCTGAACAGCTGGCGCTTGAGGTAGATGCGTCCCGCCTTCTGCGACCCACCATAGAGCATCTTCAACCGCGACCACGCTGTCCATGCTTCTTCACAGTTGTCGACCACATGGTGGTAGTCGGCGTCCATGTGGAGCAACATCAACCCGAACGCGATGTTGCTCGCCTTGACGTACTCGTCGGAAGCTCGCGTGTCGGTGAAGGTTGGAGACGTTTCGCGGTTCACGACGTACCAGACTGACTTCGTCAGAAACACGCCGCGCATGTAGCGACACCAGGTTGAGTAGTTGTCCCCATCGAACTTATCGATGGAGACACTGGCCGAGGTGTTGTTGGACGACATGGCGCTTGGGCTCATAACCTGTTGTAACTTGAGCGCGAGGCGAAGAGAAAACGAAGCGGAGAGACCGGAGAGAACGAAGCAGAGAACACTTGCTCACTTGAGGGAGGATTCGAAAGTGATTGATTTATAGGTCTTAACTTCTGCCTACCCTAGACTGCATCCAATCACATGGTGCATCTAATCAACCTGATTTACACGCGTCCAATCATCCTACGCGTCTAATCATCTCTGAGGTAATTACCGATGTAAAAACTATCTCGTAAGAACTACGCGCTAGGTTCGGATTGTACCGGTAACCCTCAATACCAGTCGAAATACTTGGTGATCGCGATCACCATACGCAGTGTCACGTACTTGACCACGGGCGAGAACGTCTCTGTGTAGTCGATGCCGTACTTCTGCTTGAAGCCCTTGGCAACGAGACGCGCCTTGTATTTCTCGACCGATCCATCCGCTTTGCGCTTGATCTTGAACACCCACTTGGTGCCGATCGCGCCTTGGCCTCTTGGCAGTTTTGCCGCACGGAAAACTCCACGAAGATGCATCGACTTGAGTTCCGCCTTCACAGCATTTCGCCAGTGAGCTTGATCAGGACCATTGATCGCGTCTTGAAAAGTCACAGGTTCTGCTAGGTCCGTTGTTTCCACTGCGTTTGCACTTGCATGC